CAATCCGTTAAGTCACCGTTAAGTCCCAATTCTGTGATCGTGGATTTTACTTTGATGGTTCAATCGAGCTATTTGATGATTGAACTAACCCGCCTGTTCATCCTGTTAAGTCAAGGAGCTGCTCTGTCAAGTGCCCCTGCTGGGTCATGTTGAAGTGCCTGAGATGCATGTGCCCAGCGTAACCCCATATGCCTGTGGAATCACTTCAAAATTGTCGTATCCCCGGTTTTTCGACATCGGTAAACATGACAAGTCATGTCATTAAACCCCATGTGTGGTATTGACCCATTATATCCAATCTTTCACTGTTACAACCACCCCTTTTGCAACTGCTACATAGTGCCTCCAGTAGGTGTGTCTAAAAAGGCATTCCAGAAAGATTCAGAAAGAATTGACTCATTTCTTTGCGTGTTATTCGGTGTCATTGTTCAAATGTCCATCTTGAAAGCAAAAAAACACAGGGAATCTTAAGGAACCGTCGGAAGATATAGAGCCACCCTAGTACGGTGAAGAATGGGCCTAAGCAAAATACCTTGATGGGGCTATGATCGTGAAAAAAAAAATATATCCCTCCCTGAGTCCCTGGATATCCCTGGATTATTTTGAGGATCACTGACATGCTGAATCTTTCCTCAGTTGTGGCTAGAACAATCAAGGAGTGTAGGATTGATTGAACCCTTTTTTCGACTCAGATACCCCATTGTGGTGTCTCACCTCCCATCTATCAAATCCCACTAGGGATCCGAGTCCCAAGCTGCTTGGTATCCAAACAACAACACCTTGGATTCAACTACCCCCCCCGGTGACCATGCAAATAATGGAATGGTGAATGAGCACTAGCTAGTAGTTGTTGGTGGTGGTTACCGGTTATATTTAGGCCCTCAATACGCCCTTAATAAACCTTGATTCTTTCGGGGGGTTCACCTTTCGGAGTCTAATAGAATCCTCAAGCTGCTGATACGCCAATTCCTCCTGGGCTTTTCGTCGAGAAGTCTCTCGGGCGTGCTCTTCCTGCTTTTGGTCCAGGGTGTGCTGCATCTCCAACCTCAAATCAATGCGGATACCAATCCCCAAGAGAGTCCGGTGAAACGACATGAAACGACATGACTAAGGCTTTTGACTAAGGCTTGTACTACCAATGGCCACTAATATGATATGAGCTTATGAAAAGCATCGACTTCGATAAATTGAGAGTCACCCATGAGTCGCCCTGAACAAAATGCTACTGATTGGTGGTAAAGATTCTCTCTATCCATACACCCAAGCAATTGTTTGGGGGGTTAAATCTCCATCAGAACATTGGCTACGCTGTACATCTGGATTCCTTTGGGTCATGCAACGTGAGTGCTGGTGGTCCAATGCAAGAAGCTGACTGACGGTGTTTTTCACCATCTTCTGTTGCCGCAATATGGGGCATTTAGATGCATTTGGCAAATCTTTTGCCGATTGAGTTTGACCTGTGGCGGTATTGCCAGTATGATCATGGCATCGGGTGGGGGACATTCGGTAGCACTCCCACTGCTGTTACGTATGTGGCATCGCTGTGGGGCGGTTCCATTGGCGGCATTGTGGTCGGAGTCCTGGTCATCATCCTTGTGTCAATACCATTGTGCTGTGGTGTTTTGAAGCACTAACGTAAAGCTGTGGTGCAGTTGGCATCGTGCTGGGCACAGTGGCTCTCTGGATTCCCTTCTTCGTAGCAATTGCCTCGTGCGGTCCATTCGTGGATGGTCTGTGCGAAGATCTGTGCGGCCCAGGAACCAAATGTGAATACGTATCAGTGGAAGGCACATATGGCCCAGTGGGTGTGCCCACAGTGGGGCATTATCTACGTCTATGTGTTTGTCTTCGGTTGGGCAGCCTGCATCCTGGGCATTGTGGGGGTGAGCCTGGCCTGTTGCGTTTGTTGCGTTTGTTGCACCGATGTGCCGATTCCTGCACCTCCTGTACCCTTTGCAAACTCTTGGAAGACAGAGCGAAGTTGAGTGACAACTCCACGTAGCAGCCGCATGGTGCCTGTCCTCAGCTTTCAGCTGCAGGTGACTCGGCACTGCCAACTTTTGGGGTCCTGTTTTGGGTCACCACAGGTGCCATATTCAGAAGCCACCTCCTACTGGCTTTTTGCCATTTATCTTCAAGTTCCATAATTTCATTCGGGTCCGTGTCCATTTCGACACAGTGCGAAGTCTTTGAGCTTGCTTGGCAAGCAAAGCACAATTTTTGATCCTTCAAACTGTTGCTTGAGCCATCGCCGTTTTGGTTCAACATGTGTTCTCAAAGTTGTATGTTTTGGCTGGAAAAAGGGGGGTGCGGGGTTCATACAATGTATAGTTGCGTGGGTCTAGACGCTAGACACCTACTTCTGACTGTGCGCACCTTGTCAATCTGATAACATGTCCAATAATCTTATCCATCGCATTGACATTTCACGCGATCTGCCCAAACGCTCAGCGATCCCTCGATCCCTCTCGATACGTCGTGACCCCTCGGCCCCTCCTCATGACCCCTCGGCCCTTGAGCTTGGCTCAAATGCTTTTACTTCGCAGCCGCTCCATCTGAGCGCAAAGTTGGGATCCCCAGTTCCACACAAGAGGCTGCTGGAATCACAGAGGATATGTTTGGCAAGGTTTCATTTTTGACAACCCCCCACTGGGATAGATAAACTTTGTTTCACTCTACAGCCCCCTTGATGTGAAAGTAGAGAGTTGCTAAGTATCTCTGTATAGCTCGCCTATCAACACTGGACCGGTGACATTTCTTAGAAATGCGACCCATGATCCCTATCCAAGACTCCGCTGACAATAGCGTAGACATCTTTGGGTTTAACCCAGTGATGAGGGTATCTTCAGCGCAATGCAAAAAATGGTGATGCTTTGGCACAAGTTGCCAAAGACATCTGTTTAGATTTGTCCCCACAACCTCCGAGCTTTGCTTATGAAGGTTCGCGTAGGTCTGAAGGTGCAAAAGGGTGCAGTCAAAAAACTCTCGTTTCTGGTGATCTTCCATGCACAAATTGGATTGATCCAGCACTTGCAATCCCCGCGCGTAACCCCAAACACACACAGCGACCTCCCCGTCTAATGGGGTGGCATCACTCTTCTCCGCTTGCTGGCGAGTTAGATCAGCCAGCCAAAAAGTCAGAATCTTGGACGTTACTGCCTTTGAAGAAAGACAAGGAAACGATTGCCTCAATCTTCTATTGAGACGAGCAACTGTGAATCTAGGCTGCGTGCACGTCAACTTGTGCTGTTTTTTCCAACTGTTGAAGTTGGAGTATGCTAGTTTCAAAAGTGAAGCCAGCTGATCTTTGTATTCACCGCGGGCAGGCCAAGGAGCAAAGAAACCTCGTTCAAGTAGGTACACCAAAGCGGAACCGTTCAGAAGCTTTCCAGTTCCAAGCAGTTGTCCATGACAGCAGTCATGTAGAAAGCGTTCATATAGTACCCCGGGCACGTCGAAGAGAACAGAACCTCAGCAAACAAGTGTTTGTTTTGTTGCATAGCTATAGCTGAACGAAATAATTTGTAGGGACCCACATCAACCAACATTACTAAGCACAAACCGCGTTGCGATCTTCGGGGTTTGTCCACTCTATGTAGTCTTTGTGAACCCACCGTGTGCGCATATGCTCAGCGTCTGTGCGAAAATTTCCTAGTGTGAGGCCAATGTTGTCATTCTGCTTCTGGCATGGGCATCGAGCACAGAAGTCATTTTTTCTATAATTGTTGAAGCCCAATTTTTCAACGATGTATTTGAGATCGCCCTGCGTAGATGAGTACGCAAAGCCCCATCCCGCTTTGCTCCAAGGGTAGTCAGCATCCTCACTAACAAGTCGCTGTAGCCTGGGTGTAATTGCCTTCAGTATGTCATGGAAAGTCTCTTCACAAGCTGTTTGCTCTGCATAAACGCTGATCAAAAAATATCTCATCAGCGGGTGGTTGTTGAAGGATAAATCGCTTGAGAACCCCAGCACTGAAACAACTCCAGCTTCCGTGTTTTTGAATGCTTGTACTTCATCTCCATATAGGCTTATTGGAATCAATTTCTCCTTGTCTCGATGCAAAGCCGGGTGATGTTGTATCCATGGGCTGGATTCCAAAACCCTGCCCCAAAATTCAGAAGGGCTAGCACTTCCAGTAAGACACTGTTTCCAAACTGTTTCCCCTTGGTTCCAGAGAGACAAAAGGATGTCATCCGGATAGACAATGCTTGTATCACGCCAGAAAGTTTCACCAGTGTGAAAATTGTAATGTCGAGCTTTCACCACTGATACTTTTGTTTTCATGACAGTACTCTCGCCCAAGTTAAACAGAATGTGGTGTAGGTCCCGTTCGATATTTTGTGGATGAGCTCCCCTGGTCCCGGCTGACGCAATCTTGAAGACAACGTCATCTTTTGTTAGTTGCCCCCCTTGTTCTTCACACCATCTAACTGCTCTTTCAGCTGTTTCTCTGACCTTGGCTGGATATTCAGCATCAACTATAGAATTGATGGCTAAATTTTATGAAGGGTATATCAACATATTTGGGGGCATACAAAAACATAATATAATATAATATAATATTAATATAATATATACATAACTTAAAAATTAAAAACATATATATATATATGCAGAAGAGTGGCTTGTACACCCGTCATTTTACCAAGCGAAAAATCTTGAAGGAGACCTTCCCCAAAGCTAAATTTCACCTGTTTCACCTGCAGGGTCTGCCAGTGGATTCTTTGTGGGAAGGGTTGCATGGGCCCAATGAATTGACCATTGATACATATAAAGATTGAAGAGATCGCTTATCTAGAATACGGTATAATACGGTCAATTTCCCTTAAACCATGCTGTTTTTTGTGGTGATCATCCCATGACTATATTGAACCAAAGATGTTCCCTCCAATTCTGACCTTGTCATTGGCAGCTGGCTGCCCTGTGCGAGGTCGCTTTGATGGATGTCGTGGCTCCTGGATGGGTGAACGGAGGCGCCAACACGTGGATGGTGGATCAGGGAAATGTGGCCAGCCCTTTAACTTGTTTTTTTTGGCTTCCTTGATGTCCCTGAATAATGATCCCAAAATACCACAAGCCTCGTGGTGAGAAGAAAGTGGGGTCACAAACGAAGATGATGCAGCAGCAGTTGCCCTTTTGCGATCCAGACCTGCGGTGGGGCAAATATATTGGCTGTTTAATCTATTTGCAATTAACTTTCAAATGTTTAAGCCATGCCAAAACTATCCAGGAATTTTCATCGTCTTTCGCACATGATGGTCTCGTAATGTTCTCACACAATGTTCACAGTCCATGTTGGCCTGTGAAATCATCATATGCCCCCCCACAAGCTGTGCCGGGTTTGCACAGCACACTTGTGCATGGTTCCCCAAGGTAATTTGATTTGGGCATCCCCTAAAAAGGTGTCCTTTCCCATGCAGTTCCTATGAAATCCTCATGATTCTTCATGTACCATTGATCGGAAAAACCATGGGTGGCCCAAACTCACGTCAAAAGAGACAGGATTGTGGAACAGAAATCCATACTTCGCACTGTGCGGCCCATTCCAGGCAGCTGTCACTTCCACTGCACCTGCGCTGGAGCTCAATCCCGGTGTGGATGGGTATATATGTAAGTAACATGTATATGTGTATATATATATAATTATGTTTGTATAAGCCTATATGTAAATGCATGTAAAGATATATATTGATGTATAATATGTGTGTATGTATGCGCAAATGTAAATGAGTAAATATATAAACATATTTGAAATGAGTATATATGTGTATGTATGTATGTATATATATGTGTATGTATATATATATATAAGCATACATGTATATATGTATAGATGTAAATATGTACATATGTATATATGTACATATGTATATATGTACAAATATATGTGTATATGTATATGTATATGTATATATATATGTATATATATGTATATATGTAAATATGTATATGTGTATATTTGTATATGTGTATATGTGTATATATGTATGTATATGTATATGCCTGTGGATATGTCTATGTATATGTGCATGTAATATATATATATATATATATATGATATTTATTGATATGATAATTATACACACTCTGTTCTCCACATGAGAACCTGTGAGCTTTAAAGCCATTGCATGGTGTTTAAATGACAATTGTTGAATATGATGTTTTTTGGTCACCACCATTAATCCCCATTATAGGTTCACATTTCAAAAGTCATTATGCCGCATAGGCCCAACAGAAACCACCTGGCCTAGGGTTCCTCATCTTCATCTTGTCCCTTCTTGCCTTTTCTGGGGCCTTTGGGACGGAGGGAGCGGACAACAGCATCCGCCGCTTTCTTGTCCTCGTTGTAGTACTCAGATCGTTCAACAGCCAGCTTCAAAGCGGCCGATAAGGCAACCTCATCGTACGCAGGGTCGTCCTGGAGTACAAAGAGAGATGCGAGCCCAGGCTTGGTTGGGGTCACACATGCAGGTGGACTAGTTTCACGTGGTGGGTCCTTAGCATCTTTCACCATTTGCTTCAGCTGAAAGTAAGAGGTTTCCAGGTCACCGGAATGCACCTTCATGGTTTTGCCTTATTGTAAAGAGCGGTACATCAAATTAAGATCTGAAACTGAAATGGACAGGCCAGTATGAAATTAATTTCGCTATGGTACACAGTTCATCCTGATGCTTCACACCGGAAAGCTTGACGGGATAGACTTTGCTTGACGTGATTTCCCCAAGAAGCTTTTCCATCATGAACTTTGCCGCAGGGATGGTTTCCACGGGCATTTCCTTCCTTAGTGGAGAGAATGCTGAGTGCTTAGAATCCAGCTGCTGAGAAAGATATGGGATCTATTTGATATCATAGTATGTACTATATATATTATATATTACATGTATATATATATATATAGATATATGTTTAGGTTCGTACACATATTCCTTGTTCAATCGCATTCCTATAAACACCCCTATACTCTGGTTATTTGTCCCAGGGGCTTCTTCTTAGGCACTTTCTTCTTGTCTTCTTTGTCCCCTGGATTTGTCGGCTCCTGCATGCCGGGTGATCAAGCAAATGAGGGACTGTAACATTGGTTTGTGCACAGCTACTGGTATTGCACACTATATAGTTACAGCAAAATATGAAGTGGTCTTAATGGTCCTCAATCTTGGCCGGCTTTCCAAACTTCTGCATGGGCTGGTATGTACTGGACGCCGTAAGTAAGCCAGAGGAACTCGAGCTAAAAACTTCAGCCTCAAGTACAATTTGCATTGCCAATCATATGTTTTATGCTTTAAATTGCTAAATTATGAGTGATTCAAGTACAATCATCCGATCGATATCAAGGGGCTGAAGCACCGGGATCCACATCCGCAGTCAAGTCCATGGTGACCTTCTCTGAGGAGATGTCCTTGTTGGTCGTGGAGAGATCCAAAAGCACCTGGGCAAGGCAGAGGGGTCAGCGGGGAAACCTTGTGGTTTTGATTAAAAAGATTGGTTTTTGACCGGTTTGGACATTACCATATGCAACCAATGGTACCCAGTAAAGGTTCATGCTGGGATAGTCTGGGAAATCGGGATGCTCCTTCACCATGTTCTCAGAGCGCTTTCGCTCCAAGAGGTCATCCACAAGTTTGACATTTCCATTGTACATCACCAACAGCTGGTCCCTGTTGCGCCAGCCTGTGATTGGAACTCAGGGCTAAACATAATTTTGGGAATTAGAACTCTACACTTCATGTGGTTTAAGTATCTGGTTTAAGTATCAATAGTAGGATTCTGACCGTACTTCCTCTTCCCTTCAGTGCGGTCTTCTCGGGAGCGACTGTGAGAAATTTTCATCCTCAGATGGGATCGTTTTGACATGTAGACCCCAAAGAAGATCTAAGCTGCCTATGATGCAATTCTTGTTGAGCTACTTGCATTGATGCCTAGATTCTTACCCCAGTCACCACCGGCGTGGCACCACATCTGAAACAAATGCCCTTTGGCTGTCTTGCTGTTGGTGCTGACTGCTTCCTGCCAGGCTTGCAAGAACTCCTCTGGCACGGCAATCGAAACAGCTTCACCGCTGATTTGCCTTGGCAGACAAGGCAAGGCGATCAGGTTTTGATTTGGCGTGAATACCACATAGATTTTGAAGACATACAATCTAAATATCATTATATATATATATATTATGTGCATATATAATCTATGAATGTAGTGAAACATATTATTTTCTCACCTTACTAGGATTGTCCAAAGAAAAACAGCTTTTGCAGCAGAGGGGCCTCTTGAAGGTGGCAAAGTGTTTTTGTCGGTCTTGGTAGCTGATGGGTTCAATGGCATTTGCCTCATTCAACAAGGACATGTTTGTGGGACTCATCCATTTATGAAATGGCAGTATGCTACAGGACCATCGTTGTATGCAAATATATGCAGGGCATGGTACACCAGCTGCAACTTGTACCTGTGGCACTGCTGACTGCTTGGGTGCAGGAGGCTTTGGCACTGGGGTTGTTGCAGGGGCTGTTGCGGGTGGTGCAGGGGCTGTTGCTGGTGCTGGGCGCGGTGCAGGGGTTGTTGCGGGTGCTGGAGCCTTTGCAGGTGTCGGGGTTGGAGGTGCTGTTGGATGTGCCAATGCCAAGGTGCTTGCTGCTGCCTTACTTGCTTCTGGGGTTGCTGCTGCCATGTGTGCCTTTGCAGGTGGTGCCACGGTCTTTGGGGGTGGCGGCGAGGGGATGGATGTTGCCTTTGGAGGGGCCATTGCTGTGCCCTTGCTTGCCACTGCCACACTGCTTGTTGGTGCTGTGTGTGCCTTGGCCGGGGGTGGTGAGGCGCTTGCTTTGGCAGTGTTTGCTGCTGGGGCGGGCAGGGCTGCAGCCGGTGAGGCTTTCAGAACTGGGGATGTGGTGGCCGCTTGAGGGGTGGCAATTGTGGCTGTTCCTTTGCCTTTGCCTGATACATCGCTGCGGTCAACAGGTGAAGCCTTTGCAACTGCACCTTCTTTGGGGGTTGGTGGGAAAGGAGGTGGCCTCTGCAATGGCACTTCTTTGGGTGACGCTTTTGCTGGGACTGCAGGCAGTGACGGTGCTGCTTTGGCATCAGGTGGGCTGTTTGCTGCTAGCGACTTTGCTGGTGCAGGTGACTTGAACCCACCTTCATGCTTGATAGAAGTGATGCAAACTTCAGGGTCTGCTTCCTCTGGCTTGGGCTCCTGTTTTGTAACTAACGAGGGACTTGCGCTGGGGCGTGGTGGTGTCTTGGAGCTAGATGTCTGCGGGTTGCCTGGCTGACCATTGTTGCTGCTAAAGGATAGCTTCCTCGCAACTGGCTGGCCGGTGGAATGTGCTTTGGCTGGGGATGGTGTCTTGCATGCCGTGGGACATTCCACAGGGCGAGCCTTCTTGTTGGTTTCCTCTGCTGCTAGGATCTCCCTCTTGACCGATGGTCTTTGTGGAGGGGGCGGGGGAGAAGGTGTCATCACAACGTCAAGGGAAACAGAACCATCGCTAAGCTGACTCCGGTAAGGTGTCACCATCCTTAGATACCAACGGGATGTTGAAAATATGATTGGCAGGAATTCAGGACATGGGAGTAGAAACAACATCATGCTGTCATGACAAAAGTCTCAGCAACATCCAGCCCACCAGCTGCGGCAGGGATGGTGCCATATTCGTACGGTGTGTACACCTGCCGTCACAACATACATAAACAAAACATTGAATTTCTGGTTGACGTTATACTTGGTATTTGTGTGTTCCAAATGCTACCCCTGCCTCTGTGGTGGCCTGACTGTCCATACGATCGAAATCCAGTCGTGCATTCTCCTGCAGGTTGTAAGGTTACGCTGGGGAACAGGGTGAAAAGCCATATTTGTAGAGAATAACCATGGTTGTCTTACACATTGTGTTTCCTCCTCGGTGGTGGCAAGATCACGGCATATCTCTCGATCCAACAGTTCCTGGCGGTTCGAAATGACACATGGAAGGTTGTCCAAATTGAACAGCATATCTGGCCTTCTTGCATGCACCTGGCCACTTTCTAAAAAATTCTTGGATGCGCACACGGTAGGGAACAAAGCCATTCTTCCCTTGTGCAGTGTCCTGATGCCCCATGCATGGTTGGGAATGAACTGGGGTATTCATTGTTCCATGGAATGCATCAGGCGGTCCTCGAAAGAGGCTGGCATGCCAGGCACCCAAAGACCGGATTGGTGATCACGGGGCTCTGGCCAACACGTGTTCAAATCTGATCCACAATAAGCTCTCGGGGAACAGGTATGGGAATCCAATATTTATCGATTTTCTATCCGACGGCTATCCGACGGGTATCCGACGGCGACCCCTGGAAACAAAGGCTTTTTGAGGTATCATCCCAATCTATCCGACGGGTATCCGACGGGTATCCGACGGTGGCCCTGTAGACCCCAAGATCGTTGCCCCATGGGTATCCGACGGATAGGTATCTGATGATTCTTATCAAGCTTATCCGGCAGCCATCAAGTATTTGATTTTGGGGGTATATCCTTTCTATAATTCATTATTCCATCGGTATTGGTCTGCTACATTCCCGTATGTAATTCCATAATTCAATTCATATTCGATAAGTTTTTTTAATAGCTGATTCAGCTGAGGTTTTGATTTCACAACATGTGCTTCCTATCTTTGGAACACGCTGGAGATACAGGCAACCATTTTTCGATGAAACTTATCAAATCACAATTGACTCGATGCGTCAATTAACCAAATGATAGTATATACAGTAGGGCCCGGAAACATATGGAAATGGGGAAGCATTGCTGTCTAACACCCTACAGGACCATACATGCTAAGTTTCCAATTGGGTTAGGTTCCCAAAAAAGACACCCACAAGTCACAATAGTTTGTGGGGAACGCAGTATATATGTTGTGCACTGGGTGTTGTGGGTGCATTTTTTGGTGAACCAACCCACTTGGAAAATTACCCCACATTTGATGAGATCACACCAATTTCATCCAATTTCGATATCCCCATGTAATCCATTATAATCCATATGATTTGCTTGTATACCTAGGGATTCAAGCTGGTGGATCTAAATTTTTGCATATATAGGTTCCTATCCAAATGTGTTTTCGAATCCTTTATAGGTGGGACACCCTGATGACCTCCCCAACACCACATTCTACATCCGTGCGCTTGGTCCAACTGTGGCCAATGGAACCGCAATCCACGGAAGCTGAGACAGAGGCTGGCAGCGTGATCAAATCACGCAAAATGCCAAATTAACATGAAGCATTGCCGGGACGGAACTTAATCCTTATGCCCCCTACCACGGGCCCGTCTCACAAGTTGATGCACATGCTCTTCGATCTCACAAAGCCTTTTGGGCAAGGGGATAATATGTGAAGAGCATCCCACTTTAAAGGGGTCCAATGGATTGCCAATCAACAGAATGGGAATGCCCCAAAACTAGTGATGCCCCAAACTTTGCATTTTAAGGCCCTGGGGGACTCATATTCAAGATATCCGATATATAATGTTGACAGAACCATACCCATTCTACCCGACTATTTTATCTATTCAGCTATAGAATTTGACCAATGGTATAGATCGTATAGATAAGTAGCTTCGCATCGTCCCATGGATCAAGGGAGCCATCCACATGTCGGTCTCGGGCAGGGGCATCAGCCATCAAGAGATGGTTGCGACATACCTTGGGCCAAGCTGTGACTTTTTAGTTCCTATATCTGGAAGATACCTGCATTGAAGTCATCGAATAATTAATATATTACGGGCCATGATAATGATTGGTGATTTATAGATGTGGGTCAATTAGAATATATTTATATAATTTCAAATTCACATCAAGATCATCACCTGCCATGGGGAAAGACATAATTATACATGGCCGGGTAGGCACTAAATACCCACAAGCTATGCATAGGCCATCATCCACACGCGTTAATTACATAGAGATAATGTATAATTGCATATAATTATAATCCCCATAGAGACTCCATATGAAATAAAACCAAGTGGCTTCCATCCCAAAAGCCTTGGGGTACTCCTGGGAAGCCTTAAGGTTTTTCTTGTGGCCCTTGAAGCGGCGTTTGCCCTTTCCATCGGTATACGTGGTTGTAGTGCATATTTTCCCCAAGTTCTTCAACTTTCGACGAACAAGCTTCCTTGGCACTAGAGCAGACCCATAACAATAAAGAATATTTTCCATTGTTTGGGGTCCAAAAAGACACATAAAAAGAACATGTTTCCGTTAATTGATCATTTTGGGTCAAATCATGAAAAATCCAGTACTGTTGCCGATTAGTGTCCGTTTCAACGTTTGAACCCACCTGTGAGACCCAAACAGCTTGATTGGCTTCGCTGTTGCAGCACCAAAGCATCCGAGCCAGGTGTGCACTTCAAAGCAAGGTCGGGCTGCCCAAATTTGGCGGAGTCGGGGATGCAGGTGAATCTCGGTGATGAAACCAAAGATAATTGGACATGCGCTATATATGGGCATTTGTGGGGTCCCAAAGAACAGAAGCAACCGGCGATCGAATAAAATGAATTATATAAATCAGGCAGCCAAGCTTTGGAGAGGATTTTCAATCATGTAGTGTCCACCAAGATGGAGTATAGCTTGAATCAACAAACTCACCTCAGGGATTGATTCTGGCCATTTGTTTGTGGGACCATTCATACATATCATGCAGCATGCACGCCACATTCTTTTGCTGAGTGCATGTTGTACCCAAAAACAACTAGGAACCCGGCTCGGGATACCATCAAGTTCGCTGATGCTACACTCGGGTATGTCCTAAAGGTTGCACGTCAATGTTCAATTACATTCATCAATTGGGTCAGAAGATCATGTGAACCAATCAGCTCGATAGCCCTTTGATAATATACCCTTTGAAAGGCCCAGCATCTCTCGTCCAAGTGGACATTCAACTGATCTTCGTGAAGTTCCTCCTTGCATTCAGCATTGACAAAGTAACACTATAGCTGATCATAGCTATGCAGAGTGCTGGATATAGTGGAAGGTTGCATATGCATCATGTGAACAATCATGTTTTATTGTATAGCCAAATTTCTGTTGCAGATGCTCCAAGAACTGCAAACAACCCCCATGGTGCATAGGGCGCCAGGAAGCATGTTCATCACTGCCCAAAGATGCCGTACAAACCCTTCAGAAGAGTTGATATCCTCAGCCCACAAAAAAATAAAATTTCAAACAAGGCCAAATGCGAACCCCTTTGGTATTATTTGAGGGCCCATGATGTTGAAACTTTGATTTAATAAGAACAAAGAATCATCCCTTATATATTGAAATTAGATTTAGATCAAAGATTCATCCCTTCTATCAATCTTGATGTCCAGGGTTGCAACATTGAGATTGCGAGCGCGGAAGGCACGGCTGATTGCCGCCTGCCCCGCAAACATGTCCACGCAACTGTACTTCTCTGGCAGCGCCTTCAATGCGAATACCTGAGGCGAAGAAGGGAAGATACTGGCATCCGACAATGAACAGGAGGCACCCATGGCGTAAATCCAGTGGGAATATGGATCAGAAAACTATATATATATATTATATTATAGCTTTATAGGATGACAGCTTGGGATAATTTGGGATAGATAACCCAACAAATTTCAATATAAGTAACACTGGTGAGTAGAGCCATAATCTTCAGAAGGCGAAGTGGAATGAATCCAGGATGGTGCTCAGGAAGCCCCCGTGGAATCTTGTAAGCCGAGGAGTCATCATAGTCATAGTCGTCGCACTTCCTAAGTTTGGAAAACATGTTAACATATATATGTTATATATAGTTCATAACTCTTGCATGCAACAAATACATTCTATATAATCGACATTTTATGATAATGTACACACCATATACTCACATTTCCCATGGGAAGAAGAATAGTCAGGGATTCTAGCTTAGGCTCTTCCTGGATCGTTTCTGGAGTCGGAGCATGGTTGCCCACCAATCAGATCAACGTGAAGCCCGGGAACAATTTTTTGAAAATACTGCGGATCGGAAAAGCTACATGTGACAATTAGCAAACTTCAGAACATGTGCATGTATGTCTTGCATGCAGTAGCTGCCCTTGCACAATCCTGATGAATTGTGGTGCATGTTTTTTTTTCCATAAGCTGATCACATCGATCCATATGCATTTGGCAACGTATTGATTAAACACATGCCATCGAGTATCGTATCAGGATTTGTCGGCACATCATGAGTGTTGTACTCATGGCATTGGTGTGTGTGCCATGAAACCCAAAAGAGACCCCAAGAATGGGCATCCAGAATCCACAACCACAAAATTCGAAACATAAACAATTGGTCGATCATGATTTTTTAATCACACAAAGGGTTGAATAATAACATATCTGAGTGGATTTGAATACCCCAAAGTTTGCGAACTTCAGCCGCTCAAGGAACCCAAGTCAACATGTCAGTTGATCATACGGAATCATACGTACCACTGGCCAGCCCGGTGGAGATCAAAACACAGAAATTTGACCATGGTTTGCATATAAACATATGACCTCCCCTGGGCACCATGTAAGCGATGCCAAATTAAGCCCCATCGGCAGGGCCATCAGCAACATCATCGTCATTTCCCAAATCATGTGTGTCCGTCTTTGAGGATCTGGGTTTTTCACGGAAAATCCCACACCGGTCATCCACCAACCCAGTCTGGCGGAAAAGTTTGGCCGCTGTTTGGCCAATGTCTCGGCATTCCTCTTTGCTGTTCTGCTTTGCCTTTGCCTGCCTATAGGCACTGCTATACACATGGTTTGCTGTGGTGTGTGCGGGTGGTTTCCGCATCTGGCTCCCTTCCCTCAAGAACGGTGTGACTTGATCATCATCACCTCCTTCCCCCCCATCCCTGCCATCTCCTCGGACGTCCTGATCAGCAGCCGGGCAGGCTGGGGCGGCATGGGCAGACCCTGCCGGGGCGGAAGGAATGGGGCGGGGGTGTGCAGGACCAGCACTTGAGTTTGGAGCAATTTCATCTTCGGGAAACGTATATGCTACTTGATCATCTGTTTTGGCTCGTTTTTTGCTAGCCTTCTTGGAAACCTTGGCTGGCTTGACTGATGGCTCAGAAGCAGCATTAGGCTCAGCAGGACTGTGTTGCTTAGTCTTGCGTTTTCTCCTGCCTGTCTTGCCTTTGCTCCCTTTGGGGGGTTCCACCTTTTTCTCACAGACTGCAGTCTTCTTGCATTTGCGCTGCGACTTCTTACCCTTTCTACCCTTTCTGTTCTTGCATCTTTTCTGGTGCTTGCCGTTTTTCTTTGCCTTTCTTCCCCGTTGCTTGCCTACCATCTGCCCTTGTTCGCTGAACCTAGGTGGCTCGGCTGATGACATGGCACTGGCGATCTCACCCACCTGTGGAGGGCGGGCGCAGGGATACTTCTCGACCTCAGATGGGAAACACCCAATGGGGTCCGTAGGGCACCTAAACTGACACCTAAAGGATTTTCACATTAATTGCACACATATGCACACATATGCCATGATCATTATTGATTGCTTGCTCGTTTATAGGCTTGAGAATAATCACAACAACAAGGGACAATGGACGACTTTTCCAAAGAGCTCTTCATTGGGTTTTCATCACCATGCCCACACACGGGTCCGGGATGGGGGGCGTCATGAAGATCTTCATCTCCATGTCCACTGGGTCCGGGATGGGGAGCGTGATCAACATCCTGTGAAATTGGTTGCAATATTTAAAAAACAGATTACAACTTGAAAGTGCATACATTATAGAAACAGACTTCACACAACACACTACACACAGGTCCACCCCACCTCAGTCAAATCTGGATTGGCCATGGGGTTCAGGATGGGGTTGTCCGAGGAGCCAGGAACAGGACACAACACACCCTTCAAGGTCTCCACAAAAGTGTCAGCGTCACCATCCAACTCTAAGGAAATCACTTCAGCCTGGGAGTCAGCCAAATCCATTTCATCAAGGTTCATACCTTCAAACGGGTTGTCGTGCCACTCCGGTGGGGTTTGGGAATCTTCCCAATGGGTTTCGGTGTCCAACTGGGTATCATCTTCGATCGTGATGCAAACCTCATCCCCTGTAGGTGCTGGGACCAGGGGCTCGGACGGAGCTGCCTCACACATGCCATCATCACCCCCAAGTGCTTCGGTAGGCCTAATAGGCTCACGACATGGGCTAGGAAGAGGACGAGCAGACTCATCAGCCATACCTTGGCCAAACAGATTGCTAACCCAGCAGGGTAGTAATATATATTAAATTATATATATTATATATTACATATATATATATATTAACTATATAGCATTCTTTTATGAACGGGAGTTCACACCACCAGCCCCAAACTATCTATAGTCTTGACCAAACCCACTGAGCCACTGATGAGCACCAGCTACAGGCCGACCAAAGCAAAACCTGAAGAAAGGCAAGCTTATGGGAGATCTGTAATGTGCTGGGTCTGGGCCAAGCTGCATGAGAGCGCATATGCTCCCTGCACATGGGGAACATTGATTTCGAGTATGAACAAATCATCATCATCATCGGCATCTTCTACTGCATGAATTGGCGCTGGTTTTTCATTGATAAACTCAACGACATCATCATCAACAGCAGCGTCCTTCTTGGTACGTGATTTACGGGGGTTCTTTTCCATGACCTCAATCAATCGTAGAGCTTCCGATGTTCTGCTCTTTCGCTTTAGTGCTGTGCGCCAATATCTTCTGGCATAGGATAACAAGCCGAAGAGAGTGTAGCTTTCCTAAGATACAAACATCAGTGCATGTTTTAACTAGGAAAATGCTTTTGAGATTTGTTTGATGTGTGGGTGTGTCTGAAAATGAGGTATACCCGCAAATAGCCAGTCTAAGAAAACATATAATAACCCATTGGGATTGGGGATACTTTTTTTCAGACAAACCCATTTTAAATTAAATCAAAGTTCATCAGTGCACCATCGTTTGGCTTCTCGTACTGTGGAACACTGGGAGAGGCGGCCGTCGTTGAGGCTGTCTAACCGGGCGAACCATTCCCCCATGTTGACAATTGAGAACTCACCTGCGCCACGGTACATCTATATATCATATATATGTACGAAAAGATATGATGTATTTCCACTCATATATAAACTTTGATGCGCCTTTTGGGCAAAGTTCGAAGAGAGCCACAATGAGATCGAGATACCGCTGCATATCTTGAAAGGTAATGGACCCAACACTGTCCACAGTGAAGAGTGTATTAAGGGGAGGCTTCAATTTGCCACAGTTCTCGAAGGCTTCAGCAGGAAGGTGTAGCTGAATACATCCTAGGTTTTGCATGAGCATATCCATGGCCTGAAACATTTTTTGACACATGTATAATATATATGTCTATATGTAACGGGAAGCCAAGGTACCAATGAAGGAATCGCAATCTTCTGCCATGTGGTTCACTGGAGGGGCCAATACCCTGGGCAAAGACCCGACCTAACTTCTCTGCTGCTTGTAAGCCCTGAAACAGATAGGACGGGCAACATGTACCATGGAATGCAGGAGTTGATTTTTGATCTCAAACAGCCCGTCAAACATGTGCTTGCATATAAAATCCATTATTCCATGCACAACTTGCTGGAATAGAGTTCCGGTTGCACATGGTTGCACAGCAGGGGCAAGGAGGGATTCACCTCTCATGCTGCGAGGCATGGCTTGGCCAGCTGGTTGCAGCTATGCTGAGAAGAGTGCTGATTGAAGATGTGCTGTGGGCACACATGGGAAAAAATGCGGGTTGTCTGCCGCCTTCTGGCTTACATGCATGAAGCTATAATTGAGCCATACCAATGTCCCATATCATTATACTATACTTGGTTGCTAAGTTTCCCCACTATGGATCATCATCAACCTTATAGTAAATTAGGTATAGTATAAGTACCCGAATAACCAATCAACCACGGTATTTTTTAATGGCTCGATTAGGATGATTGGGATAGAATTGAAAGAATCATACATTTGGGCATAAGGTCACTTTAGATATGATACCAATCATACTTGTGCCAATGGCTGCCGCCAACAAACATATTCATTCACACAATGAGTAGGATCTTAGATTTCTTTGTGAACCAGGTGGCCACCCCCTTCGACCCCTCATAGCGAGGTATCCAACATTAGGCCCAGGGATCATGAGGGGTCAGATTTTGCAAAACCACCTCGACACGTGCATTGGAAGTACCCGATACCTGCGTTGGAGATACCTGGGAGCCTTTGGGTGATTGATATCTTGCTCCATGCTGCCATGGACTTGCATTGCATAAGTCTGATTTTTCGTATCGCCAGGCAGCTTCAAGAAATGGGCAATGAACTCATTCACGCCTTGCCCCTTCCAACTTCCCTTCTGTGCCAGGCAGAAAGAGTGGAAGGCTGAATCATCGAAACCTAGGCGTTTCACCGGAACCAGGTTCTCGGGGACCCCTGGTTCACGAAATGGGCCCTATCTGAAAGTCCCAGGGGATCCTGTGAACCGATGTTTCGCATGCAATGACTACATTTAATGATTGCATATGATTGCATTGCCTGCACTTCTGATTGTGATTGGTCTAAATGCAGCAAAATTAAGACACGTGTCGACATCTTCCACAAACTTGGGGAGTAACCTTCATCAAACCACCCTTGAGCGAAATGCGAGGCATAAGAACACAAAAACCCGTCACATCCAATGGTAAAATCCGCAAAAAGAACCTGCGGCCCTGATAGATAGATAGATAGATAGATAGGTAGATAGATAGATAGATGGATGGATGGATGGATGGATAGATTAGATAGATAGATAGATAGATAGATAGATAGATAGATAGATAGATAGATAGATAGATAGATAGATAGATAGATAGATAGATAGATAGATAGATAGATAGATAGAGAGAGAGAGAGATAGATAGATAGATACTTAGATAGATAGATAGATAGATAGATAGATAGATAGATAGATAGATCAAGATAGATAGATGGATAGATAGATAGATAGATAGGTAGATAGATAGATAGATAGAGAGATAGAGAGATAGAGAGATAGCTAGATAGATAGATAGATGGATGGATGGATAGATAGATAGATAGATAGATAGATCAAGATAGATAGATAGATAGATAGAGGAGGTTAGAGCAGAAGAGTCTAGAGAGATTCGCTAGATAGCATCGATGGATGGAGAGATACGAGGAGATCAGAATAGCATTCACGATAGACTTAGATAGAAGAGCAGATAGAGGGATAGATATAAGAAGATAGACTAGCTGGCAATAGATGGCAGAGTAATAGATAGATAGATAGAAATATAGATAGATAGATAGATAGATAGATAGATAGATGGATAGATAGATAGATAGATAGGTAGATAGATAGATAGATAAGGTAGATACTATAGATACAATAGATACAATAGATACGATAGATACGATAGATACGATAGATACGATAGATACGATAGATACGATAGATACGATAGATACGGTAGATACGATAGATACGATAGATACGATAGATACGATAGATACGATAGATACGATAGATACGGTAGATACGATAGATACGATAGCTACGATAGATACGATAGATACGATAGATACGATAGATATAGATAGATAGAATCGATAGATACGATAGATAGATAGATAGATAGATAGATAGATAGATAGATAGATAGATAGATAGATAGATAGAGATAGATAGATAGATAGAAAAATAGATAGATAGATAGATGGATGGATAGATAGATAGAAAGAAGATAGACAGGCAGACAGATAGATAGGTAGGGAAGAAATTAGATGGATAGAATGATAGAATGTTAGATATACTTCATAACCAAAATTCATCCAGCTATCTATTTCGTCTCCACTGGACCGGGCAGTCCGAGCAGCCTAGGCTTTGCAGAATGCCCAGCACCTGTGCCACTTCCAAGCGGTGCGAGCCACCGCCGCAGCGACACAAAATCTCCGGCCCTTCGTCCACGGTGATGAACCAACCCTTGGCGGCTGGGCAGTCCAGGGCTGCGAGCCTGGGCGAGGGATGGCTAAGGGTGTAGTGGCTGCGTCTATACTTAAATCTACTATGTGCCTTTACCTGAGAAATCCACTTATGCAAAATTTATGCCGGTTTCTGAAATACAATTATTTTACGCTGTTTCTACGAAAAATTGCCGTTTCAGGGAAAAAATGCTCGCGCTATACCTCCAACGAGAATGCACATATACAGAAAAACACGTCAGGATCTTCGGTTAATACCATGTATGGAGGATTCAAACTTTGGCCGACGCCCATCTCCATGAGAAACCCAAGTGTTGCATCCTAAGTATAGAATTGTTGTCCAGTCTTGGAGGAACCTCGTTGATGAAAGATAACCATTCGCAATGGAAAAAAAAACAGATCATCCAAGAGCACCAATCCAGTTCCGAAAAACCGTGGCTCTAGATGCGATTCTAAAAGTATCAAAATAACGCCGTTTCAACGGGTTTTTTCCGCCGTTTTTGTTCCGGCCGTTTTTTTGAAAAAACGCATCTAGGGGCTCTTGGCGATCTCCACCAGTGTTGGAGAAGAAACATGTCCAGCCAGAGCTTCATCGAGGGCTGGGTTTGTGATTTGGACTACTAAAAAGATTCCCGCATCCTGGGATCTATACAATCGACAATTGCATCCTTTTAAATCATGTTGAATCCCTTTGGACATCCCTGATTGCCATACAACCATTTTGGCATCTTTCCTTGACACTCTTCATGCAAATTCAGCGAATCATACTGTTCCTAGGCACACCGCTCCACCAATTCTAAAAAATGCTCGAAAACAAAAAATATTGCACAGTTTGCTCCAAAAAGCAGAAATTCCTGAAACAGCAGAAATTTTACACACAATTGAGTTCTCAGGAATGCACCTTTTTTTTTTGCACACGCAAGTGTATGTGAATAAATATATATATATATTTGTATTTGTATATGAGTATTTGTAAACATGTAAAAACATAAATGCCTAAATACATATATCTACATACTTAAATTCATATGAAAACATGAAAATAGGTAGATAGATAGATAGATAGATAGGTAGGTAGGTAGGTAGATAGATAGATTAGATAGATAGAACAGAATAGATACAAAACAATAGGTACCATTAGATAGAGATAGATATGCACGTACACATGCAACTATAGATCCGGACCGAAAAATAAATATAGATGGATGACTGTGTATATAATATTTACATATCATATGTATACATGTAATGTTCATAAACTATGTGTGCACAATGTACATACACAGGTGCATCCTTGTGGTTCCCAAACTAATTAATCATGATTCAGCATTTCAAACTTTGAGACTTTCAAGGATGGGACAGTCAAGTATGATTACGGCCATGCATGTTGTGTTGCCTGGAGGTGGCAGCTTTTCTTGAAAATATATTGGTCATGATGGGTATGTCTTGTCTTGGCACCCGATAGACCCATTGGACAGCTCTGAGTGATCTCATATTGGGATGTTTCAGAGCCTACTTATATCACCAAACATCACGATATTTTTTGGAAGGCTGAATTCACAAATTATTACTGTAGATATAAAGATACTCTCCTGCTTAGTAGGCTACCAAAGACTGCTATGCTTTTGCCCCTTCCAGTTCAAGAAACTCCTGTCGAATGGCCTGTACTGGATCTGGAGGTAAGGAAATTGCCTGCAGGTCGACAGAGCTGCGATGAACAAACCCACGCCTGATGTGGATGAGACTGTTTGAAGCTTAAAAACAAATCTGGAAAAGAACAACGCTGACATATGGTTTCAAACAATATCCTTATGAATACCAAAAGCTCCAAGTTGGCATGACTTATATATAGTTATATATATGTGTGAATATACGCATGCATGTAATGTGTACCATATACATAAAATATATGCAAACCATGTTTGGTGTAGTTGAGTATGGTTCATTGATGGCATTTAACATTTTGCTTGCTAGTCGTGGATCCCGCCATCACCTGCAGTTAGAAAACCTGCCCCATAATCATAATAATAACTACCCAAAAACTACCCATAGGTCTTATCATTTGGGAAGGGGGGGACGTTAAATATTAGGGGCAAGTGATTCCAGCGTGAAAACATGTTCAGCTGAACCAAAAAAATATTGAACAACGCAAGATACACACACACATATATATATATATATCATACAATGTTATCGAAAAAATAATATATTATTTATATATATATATATGGGCTATAATTCGCCTCGGGCCATTCTCCACTCGAGGCTCCCCATCGCCCTAAAGGCTCCCCATTGGCCACCATCGTTTCGCCGCACCTTGCGGCTGAAAGCGAAGTTGAAGCGCTCGAGCAAAGGGCTGCTGCGTTTTTTGAAGTCCACTTTTCGCATCGACACCTCGGCGTTGTCGGTGGGCTGATGCGAATCTTCCCATGGTGGATTTTGGGAGTATGGCCAAACAAAAGAGTTTTGCTGTTTTGGTGCGCCTTAGCCTCATACCGTGCAGCTTTATATAAGAATACATATGACATAAGAAGCGTTTTTTCCCTACAGGACAGCTAGAACTGCACGTGCAGGATGGGGTACCATAAGCACATGCAGACCTACAAGGTCGTGCCACATGGATATGTAAATTTGATAATTGTACCATCTATTTATTTAACATAGCCATGGAAAATCACATTTTTTAAAAAAGTACACCATCTATAAATGGGCCATTTCCCCACGGCTATGTTAAATAACCAGAGGGTTATTAGTAAAACTTAGCGCGTAATTTTTATAGGAGTCTAACACGTTTAAGGTTGAAGTGTAGTTAGATGGGTTAAGAAACTAACAAACATCACTAGGCACCATTTAGTTTGGTGGTTGGGGTGGTTGGTCACTGTTCAGCACCTGCTCCACCAAGCCACAGGCCGTGCCACATCCTCAGCGCAAAGGGCTTCCAGGAGCACCAGGTGTTCCGAAATTAATCCTCTTGTAAACTAAAAAAGCTGATGAAAATGGACATTTATAGTTGGTTTATACCTATTAACGATGATGATCTTCCAAAGCTATGTTAGTTTACCCGAGGGTATAGCTAAAGTCACAGAAAAACACGACGATAGATGAGGATAGCACGTCCAAATACCTGGATCTAAGGTGTGTGTGGCTGATTCTTGTTGCTGGCCAAGGTAGAAATTGCACAATTCACCACCCCTGGTGATGCATGGGGCATGGCTGTCATCTCCCGGGTGTCATGGATTCGTCAAGTCACTGGTACTGGTCGAATGAGGATGGCACCAATGCGGCCCACCAAAAAGCGCAGGCCGGGCCAGCGTCGGGTCCAGAGCTTGGAATGAAGCAACGAATGCTGCTGCTGCCTGCATGGTGAAATCGCTGAAACCCCAACTAGATAGAGATCTTCTGGTAATATTGTCAAGCATAAACCATGCATATTTTCGTGGTTTATACCGCCCATGTGAAATCAAAACTAGGAAAAAGGACAATGTTTATATAATTGGTAAATCATCTGCAAACCCATTTTCCATAGCTATGTTAGGTTACCAAAGGGTATCAAAACACGAGTGCCTTGATTTTCAAAGCAGATTGTAGCTGGATGTTTATCCAGCGCATATGATGTTGCAGCTTTGCCCCAACCCCAAAATCACATGTAAAAGTAAATGTCCACATATTTGCGACTGAAATGTTAAGCCCCAGGTTCACCCCTCAATCACAAAGTCCGGAAATTTTCAGATGTGATTCCACCCCCCAAATGCCATAAAGCCATCTCTAAGTCCCCCATTTTCATTGATGGCAATGATTGCTGAGAGGTGCATCTGCTTCTCGTACTCTTTTGCTTGTTCAGAACTCATCCTTTGCTCCTTTTGACTCGGAGCGCCCTCTGAGTGTCGCAAAGCGCAGGCAGAGCACAAAATACCTGGGAAACTGCTGGACACCTTCATCATCACCATCACCACCACCACTATCATCATCATCATCATCATCATCACCATCATGATAAAAATCATTGGGTTCGAAACTGCAACATATCACAATAGGTCATACTATGTCATCATATTCAATATATATATATATATATCTATCTACCAAGCATCCAATATCTACCAGGCATATCAATTCATATATATATATACACATTCAATTACATCCATATACCATCTCACCATCTCAGCTCTCATCCCTTTACTTCAACACGTTTCAAGCTCCGTTTCAACTCACCTTGAAACCGCTGAAACCGTGTGGCGAGTGTCCCAAGGAACCGCTGACGGGTGGACCTCGATGTGTTTGATCCTTTGGCAAAGGCCCAGCGGCGCAAAGCTGGGCATCCCAACTGCCTGCTGAAACCGTGCACCACGGGGTAAGTTTTTTACATGTGCATACCATTTAAGATATGTTCATATTATATATATATGTGTGTATAATGTATTTAATGATATATATATATAATTCTAAATATGTATATATATATATATATACACAGTAACTCAATATGAATTAGAATGATTTTGGGCCCACAAGCCAGTGGTAGCTACGTCTCCTCGATTCTCAACCGAATACTGCACATAGGTCAACATAGGCCCCCTTCAATCGCTGCTGCTGAGCCGTGTGCAAGTGATTGGGACTGAACAAGTGTTGGACAATCTTCATACGTCACTACAGTATGATGGTAATCCCCGGAGAAAAAGACACGTGCTATTTTAATTGGATTTTCCTGTTCTATCATCTATCTTTTTGGATGGTGGCATAATCATGTTCAAAACAAGATATCAACAACCTGCCTGAGCAATGTTGTTCCATCCATCCCCAAAAATATGTGTCTTTCTCCCTTCAGTATTCCAACTTAAATACCGGAAACAAATCCTGATCTAGGGGCTTAGGGATGCCGGAAACCTTCAAACGTCACGATTTTGATAGTAATAAGACCACTGACCATGGAAACCTGTCAAAACCATTCCTGGCATTTGTCGCGTGGAGCCCCGGGAGCCCCTACCATCTCCACCCAACATGTGAGGATCTGGTAGGCCCTCCATTCCTCCACGCCTTGCACAAGGTGTACCTCGAAAGCCCCGACACGACTGGGCGCTGCGTAGCTGTAGGAACCTCTGTCGTGATGCCAAGCAACTGATACAAACTCACCACATGAAACACAGGCTATTTCTGGAAGTTGGGAAGATTCTGAAACATCCCTGCGTAGTATCATTGGTGAAGCCACTACTGCCTTGAGGTGGAAGTTGGTGGAAAATTGCTATGGAACCGCCAAGTGGCGACGGGCCTGAAAACATGTCTTCGCAAACACATGTGTACAAGTATATACATACATACCTACATACTTTACATGACATGACATGACATGGCATGACATGACATACACATACACATACACCTACACCTGCACGTACACAGTCACATACACATACACATACGCATGCACATACACATACACATATGCATATATATATATATATATATAAATACACCTATGACAAAATAATTGTTTTTAATTCTACATGCATATATATATATATCTACATATACATATTGTACGTGCGTGCATGTGTGTGTGTGACAGTGTGGTGGTATACGTTTGTGTATATATATATATTTTTTAATATAGGTGTATACGTATGTGTGTGATGTCTCTCTCTCTCTCTCTCTCTGTCTCTCTCTCGCTCTCTGTGTCTGTGCGTGCGTATCTAGCGAATGTATGTAATTAATCGTGTGTGCAAGTCACAGTTTGTTTGGACAATCACGGTGATACGTTCAATTTGTGGATCAAACGGACAATAAAGTGCATACAGCAAACAAGCATATTCAAAAGGAGAAACTACGAGATAAATGATAAGGTGAGCAAGCATATGTGATTACCAAGGTTTCCCGGCACATTTTCCCCAAAAGAATCAACAAATGAAGGGTCATTTGACTTCCGTTTGGATTTCAGTCACGTTTAAACCCTGCAGGTCCATAGTGCAAGCCCGCTTTTTGAGATCAAAGAGACTATTTGAAGCAACCAAACCGAAAGATCGTTCCCACTCGGAGTATCCTGAGTGGCTGGGCGCGGCGCTGTTGGGCCACTGAAAGCCCCATCAGTACATAACCTACTTCCAAATATATCAATGTATATGGTTACATCAAATAGATCCAGAAACTACACTTTAACATACTTTAACAATATAGATGTATCAGTCATTACCAAGCTATATGATTCACTTGCTTTTGTTCAACTTAGCTCAAGCACAAAAACCGTTTAGCACCGTGGTCACCATCCAAGTGTCGATCGTAGATGCCGGCAACTCGCTTCTTGATGGGTACCGGCTCATCGATGGTGAGCACTGGAAGTGGAAACCCTCTTGATATCCGACCTGTGGCCAAGTTAAGGGAGAGATGGCCCTCGCTACAATTGATCCAGATATGGGGGTTTCCTAAAATGGGGGTACCCCCAAATCATGCATGTTAGATTATACACCATCAATTTGGGGGTACACCCATTTTAGGAAACATCCATATGGGTTATGACTTACATACTAATCATTGGTTGCGATGCACTCCAAGAAACCACGCTGGTTTGTTGGAAGCGATTTCCCAGCTCATGGGTGGGTTGTGATAATCTCCAATTATATAATCTTGCGTAGAATCAAATACCCCGGAACTAGTCATGAATCAATCATCATGCAATGTCATGTATCAGTTCTATGCCCATATGTTAGATGTACCTTACCAAAAACCAAGAACCTATTATCATTATAAACCCATGTGTTGAATATAAATAACTGAACATATCTAAAGGATGGCTGCTGTAAAAACCAAGAAAACATGACATATGCTAATATGTTGCTGAAAACAACATATACCAGACATGGTGGTTACCCAAAGGCAATTGAACATAATTATGGGGAATTACAATTGATTAATAGGTAAGCCCTGTATTTAAATGGGTCATTTTCCATAGCAAACAAACTGTGAAATAGCCAGGGGCTAAATCATCTTAGTTTTATCATGTTATATCCCACGAAATCCCATACTAGTCCATTAATATCTCATTATATGCGTGTCTTTTTTTTTGAAAACCATAGATGATGATTTAAATCAAAATGAAACATTGTATACTGAAATAAATTTCCAAAGATCTATAAGCTGCTTATACCATGATGACTACTAAATCTTCTATAATAATTAACCCATGCACAGCTTGGCACCGCTGCCGCCTTCCATGAGCTCCTTCAGATTGCTGGCAACCCTCGGCAGCGCTTTTAGCGCGAGGGTAAGCGCCGGGAAGTTCCAGCAAAATTCTGAGAACAATATATGGGAAACATGGGAAAACTTGGAAAATATGAGGATCTATCTTTATGAAAATCTTACCAGCAAACTCTGAGGATTGTTGGTTATTTTTTTTTGTCATTTTTTTGTCATTTGGTTTTGCATTTTTTTGTCATTCCTGTTTTGTGGTGTCATTTTCTGTCATTTTTTTGTCATTTGTTAAGTCATTTTGTGGTCATCTGCTAAGTCATTTTTTTGTCATTTTCTTGTCGTTTTCTACTTTCTAGCATTGTTCATTTTCTTGTCGTTTTCTCATAAGGATCAGGCAAGCGGTGAAGGTGGCAAACCCGGTCTAGGAAATGCAAAAAAATGCAAAAAAAGACTCCCGGTTTGGGAAATGCAAAAAACATGCCAAACAAATGACTCCCAGTCTGGGAAATGCAAAAAACAATGCCAAAAAAATGACTCCTAGTCTGGGAAATGCAAAAAAAATGCAAACAAAAATGATTCGCGTGCTGGTAAAGTTGCGTTTTTGGAGTTTCCAGGTCGGCCCCGCTTCTCGGGCCTGAGCCGCCCCCCCCGGGCCATTTCACCCCGGACCCGGTTTTTGAGCCGGCCCTGCACCCCGAGCGGGGAGACAATTCCTCGTCCAGGCAGGCCCAAAAACGAATTCCCCAGGGCAAGCTCCCCTGCCCTATCCTTCTTCACCGCCGGCTGGCTTTCCAAGAGTTCCTGCACTTGTTCCTTGTATTTGGTGCTGCCACGAGGTAACAAAAGGTCGAGTCATGGTAGTCATTTTTTAACATTGTTTTTTCTCCATTTTCCCGATCCCAAAATGACAATAAAATGACAATAAAATGACAAACAAATGACAAAAAATGACAAAGAAATGACAAAGAAATGACAAACAAAATGACAAACACATGACAACACAAATCCAAAATGACAAACCCAAATGCAAAAAAAATGCAACAAAAATGCAAAAATAATGACAAAATAATTATTTTGGAATTTCCAATGTTTGCAGGCCCAAGATTTTCCTAAATCTATCTCATTACTTAAGTATTGACAACATATCACTATTATACACATTTCTGGTAATATGCAGTGTTCATTACAAAATGCGATGACTTTCATGTTTCGCACATTATCAACTATGATCACACACTATCATTACGAGCTATCACAACATATCTCACACGTTTCTCAATCTATGTGTTTTTTTGTTCCAACCACTAGGTCCTAGGTGTCATGTATGGCGTGGTGAAAGGACTGGGGATTCACCGCGCCAATTCACTCGACCCTCCAAAGAACTGCTTGGCACAACTATGATGTAATAAAATACAATAAAATCATATACTAAGGGCTTGTTAACAATCTATAATGATCTATAAATGCGGTATGAACATGTATGAACCCATCATCCAGCAGCGCCGGCGACCTTCATCATACCCTTGCTGAATCTTCTAATTGCAAATTACCATTCCAGTCTCCATGGAATGAAACATCATTGCGTGAAAAAGAATAAATAATAATAAACCTTCCCCTCCCCCGAAGCAAAAACACACACAAGAACAGGGAACAACAATTTCTCCACTCCATTTCCAACAACCCAGAAAACAATCGTGCTTCAAAGGCCGGAACCCTAGAATGAAGACTTCCAAAGCTGGTTCGTATGCATCCCTGTTAGAGGAAATCCATCCAAAAAATGTAAATCAAACTATCCCAAGTCCCTTCAACCTCGAAAGACAAGCAACTAGTTGCCTTTTTGACAGTTTCAACCCCCCATCCCAACAACAACAACAACAACAACAATAGCAACAGCAACAGCAACAACAACCACAACCACAACCACAACGACAACGACAACAACAACAACAACCAAACAAACAACCAAACAAACAACCAAACAAACAACCAAACAAACAAACGAACAAACAAACAAACAAACAACAACCAACAACCAACAACCAACAACCAACAACCACAACAACAACAACAATTTCTTCAAGTCCCAGTGGCTCTTTGTATTTCAAACCACCGTTGTGTGCTGGCAGGTAGGCGCTGGTGCTCCACAGCATCTCGATGATCAAAGCAGAACCCTTCCCCGCGAGACCCAGGACTTTGCTGCGCACTTCGCCGGGGATCAACTCCTACAATGGGAAGGACACAAATCAGAACGAATGTTGATATATTCATGTACAGATCGAGTAGGCATATAGTTATATGATGACATATACATGTATTATATATGCATGTATTGGTGTATAACTGTACAATTAAAGACATCTCTGTATGATGTTCTTGTTCTTTGTAAGCATGCATGTATGCATGTATAGAGAGATAGATAACCGGGGTTTGCCTGAGAGTTGAAACGGGATCTAACTCTCTGTTGGCGCCAATTTTGCACAAATAAACAATCTCCGACCCAGGATGGGATTTCCAAATTCCACAAGTACATATCTCTCTCTCCATCGCCATCTCAGAGAGTTCAACAGAAGGCTAGCAGGTGGCCCAAATGAAGTTGTTAGAGGAAGCGGCCCGATGTCACAAGAATGTACAACCAGGGCTAGGAGTTGATCCCTAAAAGGAGCGCGGCGCAACCTTGGCAAAACTTGCAGATCAAGGGCTTCCCCCAAATGATACATATGAAATGCAGCACTTCGCAGACAACCCAGGGGTTTAACATCCGAGGTTATTCATTAACGCAAATAGAAGTGCCTCAACCCAAATCCCCTGCATACAAAGCGCTCTCAAAGGTGGCGTTGTCCATTCCTCGCTGAATCAGCGAGGCAAAGCAGGAAAAACTGAAGGCACCTGTAAGTGGTGGTTTAGAGCCATGTAAATAACGCATAAGTTGTGGTATTTCAACAATTGTTTTCGGTACGCGTTGCATTTCATACCCACCCATATCTCGGAAACCGTTGAACTTGTGCTCTTCAGTTTGTGTGTGAGTTCTATATTTCTCTGCATGCTTATATAAATGTATACATCAAAACATCCAAGCTGTAATTTCATAAGTGTCCATCTGTTCAAGCTCCCAAATTAAACCGCAACTAATAACGGCCAATCCCATGAATTAAATCATCGTTTCTGTTGGCTAAATCCCTAAACCTCCATGGCTTAGTGGGGAAAACCCCAGGCCGCCAATCTCATGTGGCTGGAGGGGACCAACTGGCCCCACGGACTTCCCCCGTAACATGGAACACCCGATCCCATGCCCGTAAATGTATGTGTTCCAATCCTCTACTAAACCATGGTTCCTAGGGGGTGTTGGTTTGTTGTAAACCATTGAATCCCTATATCCCATTAAATCCGGATGTTTGATGGTGATATCCCTATTCTATATGTTGAATCCCCATTCTCACTCAATCGTTCCCCCAAGTCAAGCATCCTTCTGTTCCTCTCGCGTCCGCTGTTGCTGACTCGCTGGGCGCCGTTGCTTCTTTGGCCGGGCACCCTGGCTGCTGACGCTGTGGCGCGAGACGCTATGGCGCGAAAAGCTGTGGCGCGAGACGCTGTGTACGTCCTGGTTTCGGTCCTGGTTTTCGTTGCGGTCGCTACCGCGGCTGTTGGACCTAGGGGCCAGCGCCATGGGGTGACAGCCAAGTGGGAAGATCAAAGGGAGATTCTACAGGAAAACAGGGGTTATCTCCAAATATGGAATTTCCGAAGCCGATTTTGCCTCCAAACAATTTTGAGGTTATGAGGGGTAGCATTCCATGATGCCAAGACATAGATTGGCATTGAATGGCATTAAAGGGTTGCCCTTTTGTGGGGAAGTTGATTGTTCATCCCAAGTAAGCATAGAATAGAAATTGGAAGAGAAACCTAAGCCAGCCCATTGTTTAGCTTGGACAATGACGGCGTAACGCTTTCTGCAATATACATCCAGCTGACATGCTATCGTTCATCTATTTTCTTGGTATTTTGTTTTGTTACCAAACCCACTTTGCTTTGCGCTGTCCTGTTTTTGCTGTTGTTTAGTTTCCTCATCCACAAGCTCTTTGGTTGGGCTTGGCCGAGTTTCGATTGATCTATGCTGCATTGAACCACAACTTTATTGCTAGCAACAGTGAAACCCCGCGTCTCCCGTGAGTCAAAACCCTGCACTTAATGGTTTCCATCAATGTTTCTTGTTGATCATGCCATCCCCTTAGATGTTCATCCTAGCGATATATGGATGTGTGTGTGTGTGGGGGTGGGTCATGTCCTCGGTCATGAACCTATTTCCGATGCGGTAAGCCCAGTCATGAAACTGCTTTTCGGACTGTGAGTATCAATACTATAGTAAAAAGATGTGAAAAGAACATGGGTTTTGTATACTCTCTCTCATCAAACATGGTTTGCCGGAAAATCCTACCATTTAGTTCGATGATTTTGCCAGCTATAAACCCTCATTTTGTTTGGGGACATTGCTGAGCGGCGAGGCAGTGGGCCACAAAAAGCGTCTCTGTGCCAGTCAATCCGCACGCAGAAAACTATGAATCTGGCCCGGGGAAACTAAAGTTCACGTGCTGCTCAATTCCCGGGCTCCAAAAAAGAGGGGAAAAATGTAAGTGATTTTGCATCGAAACTTGAATTCAACAAGATTTCCCCATGTTTTTTCCATGTTTTCCCCATTGAAACCTCCAGGTTTTTCCCACGGATTCACCGCTGCGCCACCGGGATCGACCAAGCGTGGGCAATCTGGGAGGTCTTCGGGAACCTTGAGATTCGGCTGAGGGAGGACGCGGGGGCCGGCCACGGCAACCTGAGCGCCACGGCCGCGACTGTGGTGAAGTCCGTTTGTTTCACCCATGGGCCTAAACATGTTCACCAAATCATAGAAAATTCTCATGGATATACACTATAATCAATATATAGTCTTATATATTAAGACTATGTTATTGACATTTATTGACTGTATTCATCCGAATTTTGATGGTTGTGTTTCCTCTGCAATACGGTTTTTGAATCTCGCTGCTTGGAAAAATGCGATTTCTAAGACGCAAGTCATCTAAAAGTCCTGAGACGGGCCAGCCAGCCATGTTCGGTCACTGTGGCGGACATGATTGAGCACAAGTTATAGCTACAGTTACATTTCTGTCCACATTTGACGAACTGTGTGCACAAATCAGCAAACAATGTGCATGTCTTGGTGGAGATCTGGCTCAGCCCGTCGTTGGACATCTAAGGACATTTGAAGAGCATTCATTCCTCCCACAAGGAAACCACAATAATTAAATAAGAATACTGAACTATAAGTCATCACCCCGACTCATCCTATAATCGCATATCCTTGGGGGTCAAAGTTGCTATACAACAGTACGCAACCATATTTAGCGGGGTTATACCCCAGCCTACTGGGGCTTAAATCCAACAGTTATACACCGTCATGCCCGATAATTTAACAAATTGCTATGGAAAATCATCGAGATGATCAAACCAAATTGTCATAACCCAGCAAACTCTTAAATTACCAAAGGATATTTTCAATAAATCTAAGCTTAGGACTAGTATGTGGTGCCCCACACAATCATAAATCAAACAAACAGTTATATACACCCTTATTTTTGTGGATGAAATCATCATGTTCATTCATGTTCATCCATTTTTTCTTGATTTCCCTTGATTTTTCGATGCTTCACCCCCGGCCCACAGGCATCCAGATGTCTGCCGCGCAACGCTGCTTGGGCGACTCGGGAAGGCGCACCCAGAAATCCTCCGCAGGGCCCAGGCGGCTGGATTGGCTCCAGGAGCTATTCACGGACCTGGCGGTGGTTGCCCTTCAAGGCCCCGAAAAAATACAGTATGTGGAAAAAGGTTGATCACGATTTTTGGTAGGATGTTGCTGTTCACTGTTTGATCCTTTTTGGGCTAAATATATAAAAGTACTTATAAAATATCTCAAAAGTACATCGAAATCTATCTGGCTGAAGGCATGTTGCTTGATTTCATGAATTTTCATGGTGCCAAGAGGCCAATTCGAATACAAAGACGACTGGCTCAGAGGGGCACGACGCGGTGAACCCATGGCGGATGATCTGACAAGGGAAAGCCGTGAAGTTTGATGAATGAAGCCTAGGGTAAACTAACATAGCTATGGGAAATCACCATTGTTAACAGCTACGTTTTCCAAAGCAAACTGTTAAATGACCAAAAGGTACATTGAATTACCATCCTCATGTGTTCTATAATGTTCTTCTTATTGCTATTCATTCTTATTGTCACCACATATCACTATCATTTTAACATACTGATTTTCTGAGTGGTGGTTTCAAGCCACCCAGTTCAAGCCATGAAATCAGCAACCAGCTAGTATGATGATCCATTATGGAAATGATTCATGATCTCTCTCTCTCTCTCTCTCCTTTCATTGCTAAATGCACACATAATATATATATATATACAATATACACAATATACCACATATACATTCATATACATATGCATATATATATAATCGCATATATATATATATTTATATGCATAATCCTCAGACTATATAATCCAATAGCTGAATTTCATCATTGCCCGCATGAATTGTCAAGAAAAGGTTTAAGTTCATCCTGTAATACAAGATGTTTTAAGAGCATAGAATTTCTGAGGTCATGCCTTGGAAAATCACCTCTGTTCATAGGTAAATCAGTAAATCATCCAACTAAATCTGGTTGGTGGTCGACCTACCCCTCTGAAAAATGATGGAGTTCGTCGGTTGGGATGATGAAATTCCCAATAAATGAAAAAATCAAAGCCATGTTCCGAACCACCAACCAGAAATGGGTCATGGCCATAGCTAAGTTCACGCGTTTCGCACGGCGTGCTCCCTGCTCTTCGTCCACGCGGTGAGGGCGGTGAAACAGCTGCGGGGCATGGTGGCCTGGTGGCCTTGACCCATCCCAAACCTACCCCCCCAAAATAGATTGAACAGTGGAAAAACCTGGAGAAAATAGAGGGACAACATCATCTAGACTAATATCTACGCAATCCTGGAAATCCATGTTTTTTGGTTTGCTTAATCTTTTTGGTACTGGTCAATACTGGTCAATTGGATAATTGGGACCAGTATACCAAATCGTGCTGAACCAAAAACAACAAAGAAACTAACAGCTTGAAAACATGCCTTTTTTGACCGGCCTGAGCTTCCCTGGTTCAGTTTCCCACTAGCAGATCGAAACTCAGCCAAGGTACAAAACCCAGGGGAGTCTTACTTACTACTGAACATGGCCAAAATGTGCTGCCCCTTGGGGCCTCAATGACTCAAGTTAGCGTGAAATTCACAAACCTGCCCGGCGCCCAGCCTTTGCTTTTCAACTTTCTTTGAAACCTCTCAGGGGGCTATAGGGAATCGGATCGGCTTGGGTCAACTGTAGACCTCATAAATAAACGGCCACAGAACTGGAAGTTTGATACTTACAAGAAAATTCTATTGTACATCTATGTAATGTACGTGATATGTTTCCATAAAATTGCCCCAAAACAGCCCAAAACTGGCTCGCTTCATGACAACCGTCATCAGGTAAAAAAACACTCAATTCTTGCCACAGCTTGGTTTAAAGGCCTTGAAGGACATCCCCTTGGCTGGGTTTAAACCAGGCAAACTCTCCGGAAAAAAATCCCTTCCACCCAGCGTACCACTTTTCAGCACGTTCATCGTCTTCCAATGGTAGCTGCGGTGGTCTTAGATCGCCTAATGGGAGGGGAAAGAAGCCTGGGGGTCATGGGTGAACTGCCACGGCTCTTGAACTATGGTATAACATGTACAAGCAGAAAGAACAATTCAGTACCGTGAATATCCAACAAAGCAATCTGCACGCACATACCTACTTTGCACGCATATTTCTGTCATGATCGCACCAGCTGATTGCACTGCGGTAACATCCCCACAATATAGTAACACCGAGGTTATGAATTCGCAATGAACAAAATCACAGAAGAATTGAACTTTTGGATTCTTCTATCTGCTCTCAAATGGTTGTGTACCTGGCAAAGTCTGAACCTCTTGAACAAACATTAGTACTGTAGTCTTTCCACATACTATCACCCCAGTGGGAGACCAACATGAAGATCCTATCCAACCAAGGTTTGTGGGATTTTGTGGGATTAGATATGCATGGCTGTGCTGAAGGAAGCCACAAAAATTCAATAACAAGAAACGCGTGGCTTCCCCATATGGTGGAATACTTCCTGGGTGGAATTCCGCAGCGCGGCTCTGAGTTCTCCCTACTGTCATGAAAGAACTCCAGCCTCGGGCGAGCAGAAATCCCGGCGAGCCACCAGCGGAAACAGTTTCCAGAGATTTCAGTGAAAGTTAGGCTAAGCCGTGGGTACTTCATCAATGTGATCTAGATGGGCCATGGACTTAGTTAACACCAGGAATCGCGGTTTTCCCATGGCCAATCTAACCGTTGAAATTTGACCAACCCTACGGATTCCCACGATGATTCTTCAGCCACTCATCTCAAAGCATGAGTGTATCAAATATGTGATTAGTGTCACCCTGCCAAGTAAGAAAGTTATTATGGCATTGCGTTTTGTTCCGGTCAAACATGGATGGTTAGTAATGATGAATCCATGTTATTCCATCATGACAAGTTCCAATGGTCTTTTAATGGCAAGGGATTTTGAGATCTGCCAAGCAAATCTCCCTTTTCCTTTCTCAGGCGTTCCATCTCCATCCCCTCAGCACCCAGGAAATAGGACCTCAGCGGCTCCCAGACACCTATGCGAGCCTTGCGGGACATCACCACTACTCCCATCCGATATCAAACACCCTCCAAATATATAGTATAATACATGGGGAATTGACACATATTTGAAACCATTTAGGAGGTGTTTAGAGAGATGGGATTAATTGAGCCAAACATTGAGACTATGATTTAGACACCAAAAAAATGTGGACTTGACCATGATAAATGGTGAATCAACCAACATGAGGATCTTTGACCCAAAAACATGGGGTGTGACGCCCAAATATATGCAAACCAAACGGAATTGATATAATACAATTGATTCAGTTCATGTAGTACATCGCTGTATCTCCCCTTTTTTGATTACATATGGATCCCTCGTATTGTCCGTTTTTCGTAGTGACACTGGCACCCCCATCTTGCAGTTGCCATCTCCAACGAAGACACTCGTAGCCAGCACCATGGCGCTTTCCCTCAGGCATGGTGGTCCAACACACCACTTTTTTCGAGGGAAATGCATGACCCAACGAAAACGACAAACAACATTGAATAATAAGCACAACCTTAATAAGCTTTGTTGGTTTCACAATTGGGTTCAATATTAGGGCCACAAACTGTAGTTAGCCGCCCCTGGCCGCGTAGGGCCTCGAAAAAGTGGCCAATCTGTCATCCAGTGGGTCTACAAACTTTGCCATCACACACACAATGATGCCCAGTGATTGGGTAAAATAAGGGGGCAATCAGTTGCTAAAGTTCACCCACTGGCTCTGAAACATAGGGGGGTTAATCATTATTTTTGCCTCCTTTTCATCAATACAAATTGGGGACAACCACGCCGTGCCCCCGATTCATAAGTTAACTCTGCTCCCCGCCCATCAGTTTTATCCTTGCCGATCCAAATACATACAGTACCAAAACACAGTATACATATATATATATATACATACCCACCTGGACAGCTTGGTTCAAAAAAAAAAATAAGCCTAAATTGGGAGTCCCACTTAACTTCCTTAAATAGTCCAGAAAAACATAAAAACTACATATATATATATATATATCATTGCAATGTGTTGTAGTGTTTCATTTATTTTGGAGTCGGTAAACAAAAATCCATGATATGGAAACTAACATAGCTATTGTACGTAAACTAACGTAGATATGGAACATCGGAAAATCAATGGTTTCCCTACGAAATGATCTAAACTCAAGCTACGCAGGGACCGAAACAAAAGCCGGCAACTTCCAAGCTGCCAGGAGCACCTGTCTCCTCGAACGTCCTTGCATCGATGCTCGAGTCTAGGGTGTCTATCGAGCCTGGTGACCCTAAAAATGACGGGATTGCCCTGGGTCAAACATACCAAAAAATGAGGAATACCTATGCACCCTTGGACAAAGAATCTACAAATAATGTTTTTTCATGTTTTTTTTCCACATCTGTATATTCACAGGTGAATATGAATATTCATCAACCAAATATATTGGAGTATCAAGCAGCAATTGATTAGTAAATCGTCCTGACCCTTGACCATTACCAATCAACCTGGCTGTATCACTTTGAATTCGTGGCCACCCCCGGGCTCCAAAATCTGTGGTTGTCCATAGGGCATCAACCAGTTATTCAGCCCCAGGTGCCTTGAATTGTTTCACATCAATAATTGTTCCAATTAAATCACCATCCTTAGGTTGCTAAATTCACATAATTGGTTGGTCAAATCCACAATTTGTATAACTCATGTGGCGGAGCCAATGCCATAAACCTACCATTTGGGATGCTTTAAAATTACCATCCGTTGGTCATTTGGGGACGGTTTCTTGTTGGGTTTACCACATGAAATCTGCATGGATCATCTGTTCCGAGTCACCAAAGGAGCAGCCTTTGGCCACACCACGGGAGTCCCAAGTGCCAACGGTATGTGGGCCCAGGTCCTGCCAAAGGTCCAAACCGGTCGATGATCTCTGGGTGGATCGTGTCATAGTGAGGCCAACATCTAGAAATGTTAAATGTTCATTAGTGGTAATGCATTGATCGTGTATACATATGAATATAAATAAAAAAAACTAAAAATAAATATATGTATTATATATGAATATTAAATATATAAATAGGCACACATGTTCACAAACATATGTTATGTCACGTTATGTTAACAGTTTTGTTATCTTATGTTATGTTATCTTATGTTATGTTATGTTTTGTTATGTTATGTATGTGTGCATGTGTAGTGTGTATATATATATATATATATTATATATATACATACACTAATACACATATATACGTATATGTGTGTATATATATATACATATACATATACATATGGGGATATTTTCCTTACTTGGCATCATTTGCAGTGATGATGTTGTGAGTTTTGCTGGTCTAGAGATCTGGGAAGCGATGTGAAAATTCGGGAGATTTGCCTGACCAAGCTACCTCCGCTGCTAAGGTGATCCTTCCAAAAAGGATCCATGGATCAATGAGCTATATCCACCAAACATATCCCAATAGTACTGACTTCCAAAGTGTAAAGGCCACAAACAGCTACATGATTTCATACAATATAATTAAATATATATATATACCAACGATTCATAAAAGTCAGGGATCACCAACAGCAGGGCATTTTCGATGACCCTGTGACCCTGCCATACCCTGCCTCCGCCACACGCCAAGGTGGGCAAAAGAGCGAGCGGGGCTTGAAGGCAGCCACATAGACCATGCTATATGCGCCTGCCAAGCGAACTTCAGATTGCACCAGAAACCGGACAAAAATTCCGACCCCAAAAAAGAATTGTATAAACACAATTGTATATGAATATTTTAAATATCTATCTATCTATCTATCTGTCTATCTATCTATCTATCTATATTTATATATATATACAAACAGTGAGTTAGTGAAGGCTGCCGCTTTTCGACTTAGGGAACTTTGGGCCAAGAATAGGCGCCGCATCACCCAGCAGGCGCCTTTGGAACGTCTGAGTGCTCGAGCCATCCTGGAAGCCCCATCTCTGCATGGGACATCGTCATTGGATAGTGCGCCTTTTTTAAACACATACACAGCATGTGAATATATATATATATGTAGTGAAGCAATATATTATCTATATATAAACTTCTCATCAAATTACGGAACACACATATGACAAGCTGGCGAGCTGATGGGATTCAATCATCATTGCTGAATCATCGGTAGGTTCAATCTCAAAAGAAGCAAGGTGCAAGCCAGCGTCAATGCAGCCTTCACGTTCGGACTCATGCGGGCCGCAAGGGAAAAACAGGATAACATGCATCTAATGTATCTATGATCAGCATTGTCAAATAACCACTGTGAGCATATGTGTATCCCCCAATCCCGCAAGCACCTTCTCTGACAATAAGTAACTGTCAACTTTGTGACTTAGAGCTGTCCGCCTCACCTTCCAAAGCATCATCGTCTACATCTACTCTCCAGCCCATGATCTTTACAAACGTGATGACCATGGCATATATATATATGCACATTTAATTAGGTGTACACCGAAGAATAACCCATCCTATGAAGTAGGCATTTCTGGGGGCTGTTAGAAATCATCTCAAATGGAGGTACACTGCAACAATCACACACAATCAACCCCTATTGGGGATTGTTTGAGCATAGCTGTCCTAATATCCCATCATTATACTCATGAAATGGCATACTGTTCACTTAGCCTAGTAAACTTACATAACCGTGGGAACTTTGTCTTCTTCATAGGTAAAACATCAAACTGAATGGGCCGTCTATACCATACCAAACTGCTAGTTCCCAAAGGGTATGGCTCTGGATTTACCCTCCGGTAACCAAACGTTGCAATTGAGCATCCACCACTTATTAGTTCGATGATTTTCCCAGCTCTAAACTTCCATTTCTAAATAATCTCTCCATATCTTCTCAATGAAACATTGATTTGATATTTGATTTTCCCACATTTTTTCCCATTAGAGCAGTTTTTTTTCCAGCCATCTAATTTTTTCTGGTCTTTAAACAAGACCCCATGCCGAGGCGCATGCGGGGCGCAGAGAAGCGCGAGGCGCAGCGACACCAATCCACTTGAAAGGCTGGCAAGGCGAAGCAGCCGAAGTGATGCCGAAGCATGGCGAAGAGGAAGACCTTGAGCGGCGCGAGCGGTGAATTCTTCGGGAATAAGGGGAAGCAAGTGAGGGTTGGGGGATCTGCCACTAAGATGAAGCATGAATCATCACGAATCACCCGTTTATTAACCATGAGTTAATATTTTAATCACCATTCATCAACATAATTAACTATTTTTAACCATCATTAACCATGGCAAGTCTTTGATAGTTCACATTTTTTTTTTTGCTGGTTGGCTGGTGGTTTTCCGTTGCAAAAAACTAAAAGTTAAACTACTCATCCAAGGTTAGGGATGACGAGGATAGCAATGGGGAAAAACGATAGATACGCGAATGTGGTAAACCCAAAAGCCATAGATTATCTCCAAATTCACCAGAAACGGATGGTATAAACATGTAAAAAAAGTGCAAGACTGGCGATACACTGGAAATGACAAGGGATAAAGGATATGTTTTTCTTTTATGAGATATGTTTTACCGTGTTTAATCAGTTGGAAAGCTGTCGGAAAATAGCTCAAATGATGGTTGCTGAAAGAGATTGGTGGATTACAGTACCCTCACCCTTATATTCAGCCGTATAGCCCCCTACTGTGAAACTGCTCAGGTTGGTTTCTGCGGGTTGATCGGAAAAAACATGATGCCATGGCTCAAAAATGGGGGCACCAATTGAGCCTTCAAATTGTTCATTTGTAAAGTGAATCAATTTTTAATCGTAACCATGTAATCAAAATTTAACCGTAACCATTGTAATATATCCAATTTTTACAGTAAATCAAATTTTAACCGGAACCATCTGATAAATTACCAACAACCGTCTGCAGCTGAAGTGTTTTAAGTGCTTGCTGAAAATTGTGGTGAGCGATTGAAAATGCAGGTCAGTCTGGAATGGAAACTGAAGATGCGGTGGCTGTTTCTAGTCCATTGGCTACCCTCTGGTAAAATACACAAAACTATGGAAAATCACCATTTTCATTTTTAATGGGTAAATTCACTATAAATGGCAATTTTCAATAGCTATGTTAGTTCCCAACGCCGCCCCCAGGCAACTGGTAACGAAACCTTTTTTTTGTTTTTTTTTAGGGTTTGGGGTGGGGTGGAGGATGTTAACGTCCCTGTCACGTCATGTATGCTTCGTGAAACTTTGGGGTTTGGGTGGGGTGGGGGGATGTTAACGTCCCTGTGAACTTGCTCACGTCATGTATACTTCGTGAACTTCGGGGTTGGGGTGGGAGGGATGTTAACGTCCCTGTGAACTTGCTCACGTCATGTATGCTTCGTGAACTTCGGGGTTTGGGTGGGGTGGGGGGGATGTTAACGTCCCTGTGAACTTGCTCACGTCATGTATGCTTCGTGAACTTCGGGGTTTGGGTGGGGTGGGGGGGATGTTAACGTCCCTGTGAACTTGCACACGTCATGTATGCTTCGTGAACTTCGGGCTTTGGGTGGGGTGGGGGGGATGTTAACGTCCCTGTGAACTTGCTCACGTCATGTATACTTCGTGAACTTCGGGGTTTGGGTGGAGTGGGGGGGGTGGTAACGTATGTATGTTTTATGAACTTCAGGGTTGCCTGGGTGAAATAGGCTAGGCTTATTAGTTCATAATATTGCACAACGCAGGTCGCATTTAGATACATATAAATATGTATATAAACATGTGCATACATATACATTCATTTTCATTATTGTATACAAACAAATGTAATTACATATCTTCTTGTTTGTTTATATTTATGCACAAAAACATATTTCTCACTTACGTATAGACATATAATTATAAAATATATATATATCACATGTATGTGTATAATATATATATATAAATAAATGTAAATATAAATATAAATATACATTAATATATATATATATATGTAATTATATACTTATGTTTAGACAACTTAAATTCAGTTGCCGGGGAATGTTCCATTGCACTTTCTCAAACAATTGGCCAAAGCTTGCAATGCTCGCTGATAATGGCGCAAAAACAAAAGAGCACAAGGCGCAAAGAACAAAAGGCGTCAAAAAACACCAGTTGCCCAAGGGCGGCGCGACCTGTTAGTTTACCATTGGGTAATTTGCCAAACAAAGCATATCATATCATGCAAAACCATGGCCTGGAATCAAGGTCCAGCAACAAAATGTGGATGCAGCCAACCTTCGGTGGTCCCATCATAGCCGATAGCTACAGTAGATCCCGCATCCATAAACCGCCCCTAGTTCATCAATGTTTTCTGAAACAACTTGTAGCGACCGACTTACACTTAGAACCTATTTTTCCAAAAAAATGGAGCAAACACTTAGTTCTAAGTGCAAGTCGGTTGCTATAGTCATATATACGGGGCCCAACTTCTGTTGGTCAGCGAAATCTTTGCTTCAGATTGCCATTGAAATTCCCTTCCAACCTCTGCCTGTTCCCTGGGTTCACTATATGCAGGGTGCTGCATCTCCTGCTGAAACTTTCAACTGTTAAACCCTTGTTGCTATATAACAATTTGTTTTCCCATCTGGCCATAGATTTGTTTTTCCGATTTGCAAAGCCTTCATTTATGTCCCTGACTGGTTGATTTGTCGCTCCTTTTCTTGTTGCTGTGTCCTTTGTGATTCCTGGGCTGAAGGCATTTAATTCAACGAGGCGTGTTCCTCGCAGCAATCAGAGGTTCAAAGACTACACTGCAGTTCTCCGTGCAGTGTTGCTGAAACTGGCACAAGTCGTGCTCGAAGCCAGAATCAGTGGCGGCAGTCGGGAGAAATAAGAGAAGATTGCACCAGCATTTGCTTGTCTCTACTTTGTGATTGAAATTATCCACCGTGTTGTTGACCGGACCTTGCTTGAGGGCCGTGGTCGCGGCATAACACGTCATCCCCATCTAACTTGTCCTGAACCTCTAGAATCTCGTAGACCTGCGAGCTAGGCTAACAGCCTGGCCCTCACCTCGGCTAACCTTACTTAGAAAATTCTTGTCAAATACATTGCATAATTTATCTTACAATAGAAGTGGCTGAACCTAGGCTGGCACAAGGCCCATGAAGGCACACAGAGGCACAAGACCGGCTCAACGAGCAGTTCGTCGCAGATTGCGTAGAGCTTGCATCCGGATAATTTTGCGGTTGAAAACCTGGCTATGGTATGTGGCTTTTTGCGTGTTGATTCAACTCCCGCTTGTTGTTGCAGCTTGTTATAGTTGGATGAGAAAGCCTGACCCCCATGCAGTTGATGATTCGCACCAGCCCCGGCACAGGAATGCATGTGAAAGACCTTGCTTGCCTGACATGTCAGATTTAGTTGTGGATTGGGAGCCCTTGCCGGAAGATGCCGTCGTGAATCGTGTTTTACATGCATTGCGTTGTTGGCAGTCCCAAATCCATGTCCATGAGCGTGTTGAGCATGAACTGTCTCGTCATGTGCAAAAAAAACTTGTTGGCTTGGCCCCTGGACATGTCAGTGGTGTTGATGCTTGTGTTCTGCGTTGTGTAACGATTGCGTGCTGTGCATGTGATGACCCACTGTTGGCCAAAGAACTTGCGCACCAGCTGAGCCTTGTAACACATGCAATGATAAACTAGGCATTCCCTCTTGGTGTCAAAACGAAGAAGGCCACTAGCATGGATTTTGACCACTTGTTGCATGTTGTAGGTTCTGTCCGCATGCTTCTGCATACTCGTTGGCAAGCGTCAGCCGGCCGTTGTCGCAAAGCTTGGGCACGGCAACGTTTGCAGTGCGTGCACCCTGACTTGTCAGTTGCTTTATCTCAGACTTGCCCCCTGTCGCTTGAAGATAAATATGCGTGTGCTGACCTTCTGGCCACACAGGTAAACTGCAAGTCCACAGCCACAGAAGGCAAGGGTTACTTGTACTTGTTGTGTTCTTTGCGGCACTGTTACCTCGGTAGTACAGCATGCAATCGCCGTGCATGGAGGTGCACCTTGCGTGCACCCATGGCCCGATTCTATGAGCACTTGCATGACCTGAGAACAGCTAGGCGCTCTGCCAGCCATGCAAAATTCTTACGCAAAACCGCTATTTTTAAGCATGTTTCCCTCGGTGACTTTTGTGTATGGGTTGTTGGAGTTGAGGAGCTGTCCATGGTTAGAGCCCTCGAGCAATGTTTCCTGCGTGCTGGTCACTGGCCTGCCAACAGTCAGTCCACCAAAGCACCGACACAAAAACCAGTGAGGCATAGCAAAGCCAGCCGCCTTGGCGGCAGGCGGGCCCCACCACGCTTTCGTTGCATTCATGATACTAAGAAGCATCTTACTGACAGAACTTCAAATGTCATCTATAAAGCGTGTGACTTGATCCGCCGTAGGGCTTGTTGCTCCCAGATTTTGGTTGATCAAAAGTATTTGTCGCAAAGTTTCTTTCTCACCTTTCACGCAGCATATTGGCATGTGAGTTTGCACAGACTGGCCCTTACTGGTCAAGCTGGCCCCCTTGACTTGCGGCACACCCACTGTGCATCTCTCTTTGCATGCTATGTTTGTGAAACTAAGACGACATGTTGGGAATCCATTAGGCAGCGCTGGGGTTTGCAGAGTGAACCACCAGGCAGTGAAGCCATTGTTGCCATGTTTGCATTGCTTGAGCAGCCTAGTTGTAATATCCGGAAGCGGGGCATCAACGCTTGTGGCCGGTGGCTCCGTAGTCATGGGCTTCCTGGCACCCGGAAGAGATTGCTGCGATGGCCCCTGTCCTTGCCAAAGCGTGTTTTTCAATCTTGCCTGCGTGATATCCAAAAGCAGTTATTGTTGACATGTTCACCGCTGATTGCACGTTGGATTGTCTTTGCGGTTCAAGCTGTGCAGCCTCCGCGGCACACCTTTGCTGTAAGGTGGAACCATATCAAGACTTGCCGGAACATGACTGATAAGCACCTGTTTGACCTGCCGCCTAGTTTGCTGAGGCTCTCGCCAACTGAGGGTGCTCAGATGAGGCTTTGCAAACATTATTGGAAGACCCCGGTTTGGGAGTCCCCATTCTCATGTGCGCAGCGCGCAGAGTGCAGCGTGCAAGCGTGGCTACGGTCGCTGGGCCAGAATGTTGGCCAATGCTGGCGAAGACATATCCGTGGTTGGCTCCACCACCATTTGGCTAGCTTTCAACCTTGCCTAGACCAACATTTGTCCTACGTTGCAAACTTGACTGTCCCTCTTGATCATGTTGCTGTGCAGGAGGACAAAGACAAAGCTTCCTGCTGGATCTTGCCAACAATGGTCTACCAAAAACTTGTTGCTCTCATGGTAAACCAAGATGTCGACCACTGGGTGCGTCACCAAGGTTGTGCTGCGGACATTGCAGAGAAGTACCGGCAAGCTCACGTTACTAGGTTGCCCCCATTCTTGCAAGCATGTTGTGGCCCTTCTAGGTGGAAGAATTGGAAGCTAGCGTACATGTATGTCAATATCAAGTCCAAATGTTTCAGAAGCGGCTTTGGTCGAACCTGCTCCAAAGATTTCCATGCATGTTGCCGGCGTGTGGTAAGCTGGGCCGCACATCCATGCAAACGGCTTTACAAGGCAACTGCCCGAGGACTTGAGGCAGCCATTAGGCTGTGGGGAAAAGGGTTTGAAACACATGACCTGTTCTCTGCCGTCAGTGACCTGCGTGCTGCAGTGAGCAAGTTGCGCCATGACCATGGTTGTTTGTCTCAGTGTTATAAGTGCTGTTCCCCTAAACCACCCTTGTGTGCATGGGTAGGTGATGCGGCCCAGTTGTTTGAAGAAATTTCTAGGGATGAGGTCTTACGCCGGCTTCGGCTTGTATTTGCGGAACTTCGCGACAGTTCCCATCAGTCATTTGGTGTGGTTACCAAAAAAAGCCGGCGCTTGCATTACTGGGTAGCCCGAAACAATTTCCGCCCAACTGCTGGTTCCCATCTCCATCGGTGGGACGACATGTTGACAATTGCAGAGCTTGCCCTGATGCAGACATGTGTGAACGTTGGACCAGTTTTGTTCGAGCAACGCAGGGGTGTTCCCATAGGTGGTTTTCTGTCTAAACAATGTGCATCTGTTATACTAGGTGTTTCTGAAGCGCATTGGGTCGACACTAACAAGGGCCAGGGCGTCTGGTACCCACCTATGATGCGCTTCTGCGAAGCAATTGCTGCCACTCGCTATGTTGATGACCTCTGTCTTGTTTCCTCTGTTCTTTGCACCAACTGCTTACATGAGCTCCCTAGCCACATGTACGATAAACCAGTGTCTTTTGACGCAACACAACAAACGGACTTGGGGTTGCCTTGGCTTGATGTGTGGATTCAATGTGTGGGTCTTGATATGCATGTCCATGCTCATGGTGTTGAAAGTACTTGGCGTTCTCTTGCCGCGCAGGGAATCCTTGAACTCCCCACCAAGTTCCGCTTGATGCCTTTTCAAGGAGAAGCGCTTCTAGATGTCCCACAGTTGCTTGCACTCCTTCATGGCAAATTGAATCGTTGGCGTTCTCTGGACTTGCCGCTGGCCAGTTTGCATCGTGCAGTTGAATGTGAGTTGCAGATTTGGGCTTTGCATGGGTACCCCCTAGGTGTCATGTTAAAGATTTGGCGGCGTGGCCGATACTGCCCGCCAGCTATTAAGCATGCTCGGGAAATCTTAACAAAAGCAATTGCCGTGCGAGGGCCGCAAGCTTGTGTCGGTATAAACCTTTAGGCCAGCTGCATGACATTTCCTATATGTCTTGTTCCCCTATTGCTGGTTGTAAGGGACGGATTTGTTCGGTTTTTCTTAGGTAAGCTTTTCACATGACTGTTGCCATCCCAGTGCTCACCTGGCACTCAGCTGGTTTCACCTCACCTTTCTCTCCTTTGCGCCATGGGGAAAGGCGGCTATGGCAAAGCATGGTCACGCCGTCAGCCATGGCAGCAAAACCACAGAACTTGGTCGGGCAAAGGCGGCTGGCAAAAGTGGGATGGCCATGACCACCGCCACCACTCCAACCATTACAGTGAAGCTCACCAGTCATCTTTGAATCAGCTTTGTGCAGGGGTAGTGAGTTCTGCATGGGATGGCGTTTGCTCCGGAGTTGCCTCCGCAGCATGGAAAGCTGTTGAGGGGACAGCTGGGCTTTTTATGAAATCTTGCCAGAATGATAAGCAGGCTGTCAAGCAGACTGCCCAGGGCATGATGGCTTGCCTGGCAGGCAAAGCCGAAGAACCACAGAATGCCGTTGACATGCCAGCCGAAGAACCAAGCGACCAAAAAGGGGAGCAGAAGCTGGTATTGTCCATACTTGAGCTGCAGAAAGAACAGATGCAACAGCAGTCTCTCTTACAGAAGCAACTCTTTGACATGTGCAATGCCAAGGCAGAAAAGCCACCTTCCGCACCCAAAAGTGCTCGGCAAAAGGCCACCACCAATGGAAGCAATTCCCGGAACAGCAGCAGTGGCAAGTCCAAAGCTGCTACATCCAGCCCTTCAGCTTCGGCACCCTCAGAGAAACCGACCCGTCGCAGAGTTCGCGGTGGAGCTTCGGCCGCAAAAAAGCCCACCAGAAAGACAGGCAGAACAGCTGCCAAGCCCAAGGCAAGCAAGACAGCATGCAAGACCAAAGGCAAGACGACTGAGTGACTAGTTGCTGCCTTGCGCAGTGCGCTGGCTGCTTGCATCCAGCTCTTTCAGGCCTGTCTCTGGCAGCTCTGCTGGTTGACACTGGTCATGAGCGCATGTTGGGCGCTGATCAGGGTGAATGTCTGGCTGGCACGTGCTGCTTTGGAAGACCTAGAGGCTGCATATGCCTTGCGGGTGGCCAACGATGCTTTGATGAAAGCAACGGAAGCACTGAATGCTGAGAGGGGCAGTAGGACAGCTGAGAATGTCTTGGGGAAGGTCTTACTATCCCTAGTGACATCCACCACGGGTGGGTTTTCCCATCTGGCCATAGATTTGTTTTTCCGATTTGCAAAGCCTTCATTTATGTCCCTGACTGGTTGATTTGTCGCTCCTTTTCTTGTTGCTGTGTCCTTTGTGATTCCTGGGCTGAAGGCATTTAATTCAACGAGGCGTGTTCCTCGCAGCAATCAGAGGTTCAAAGACTACACTGCAGTTCTCCGTGCAGTGTTGCTGAAACTGGCACAAGCCGTGCTCGAAGCCAGAATCAGTGGCGGCAGTCGGGAGAAATAAGAGAAGATTGCACCAGCATTTGCTTGTCTCTACTTTGTGATTGAAATATAACAATACCAAAAGATGGGTATACTGATGTACCCACAGACAGTGGGAAGCAAAGCTCCAAAGACCCCTGAACAAACCAAAAAAAAGTGATGTCACAACTAAACTAAACGACCAAATTGATCCATGAACAAACCCAAATCGGATTTCACCCCCTAAAATCTTTCAAACAACTTTGGTCAGGATTTGACGTGATTTTCCCTCCGCTGATTCAACAAAACTATAGAACGTCACCATATTGAAATAGGTACTGTATAAATCATTTAAATTATTATCATCTATGTCAAAAAGGGCCATGGCCCATAGCAAACTAATGCAAACCGTGAAATTACCAATCATTATTTTGATCATCCATTTCAAAAAGGGCCATAGTCCATAGCAAACTAATGCTGTGAAATTACCGGGTAATATATAGGAATACCCCATATATTCCATATATAACTAAATCATAGCCATAGTCCATCATGGGTATTCCTATTGTCCTATTCCTGTTACATACATCCCAATGACTTTCCCATCTTCCAGCCGAGCCGAGCCACTGCAGCTGCCCCGGGGCGTTTCAACTGCCCAGCAGCGAAGGCCAGCCAAAGCGCATCAGCGCGGTGCAAGGCGCCACGGGCGCCCAGTACGTCGTCCTGTAGGAAATCCTTAACTGAGTTAATCAATGGGATATTTAAGCTGAGGTTAATAAGATATCATTATGTCTTTTTTAAGCTGGCCCAATGAGGATCGATGGTGATATTGAATAATAAAAATAGATGGGTTAATAAGCATGCAACATGATTTTATCATAAGTGACCCTCCTGTGGATTCTACATAGATGTGGAAAAAGCCATGATTTGTACATCATTTTCTTAGGGAAGAATGGATTTTCCACATCTATGTTAGTTTACTGAGTTAGATACCCATAACTGATAAGGAGAACTTAGTTAATCCCATTGTAAATGACAAAGCGGTTAGTAACTGAGTTAATCTTAGGAATTGGCTCAATTCCCCATATTTCTTGGTTACCCTCCGCCAATCAGCTCCATGGCTGAAAAAAAACATCCATTTAATCATTTAGTTCGTTGATTTTCGCAGCTATAAAGCTCCGTTTGCCCAGGCCAAGCATGATTTATGATGGTAAACTTTTGTTAGATGGTCCACCATTCGAATCCGCTGTTGGCCAGCATTTAATTCCTTCCTACTGGTATGACCATCCCCCAATGGGCTACTCTTTTCCAGCTATTGATTGTGGCTGCATTTAAATCCATAAAGCCATAAACTCCCATTAACCTCCCATGAACTTCTAAACATCCAACTTTTGACATCATCTTTAGACCAGAAGTGTCCCCTGCCCTGGTCCCGGAGGTCGCCATAGGCGTAGATCTTCAGTATCTTGGCAGATCGTTTCTTCTCCATGAGCCGCGAGAGATGCGACACCGTGACCGTGCGCGCAGCGACCGAAGGGATGGTGGCACCGCTGGGGGCAACCGCCTCGGCCCACACGCGGATGGAAGGCAAGTTCTCAAAAAGTCATGGATGTTCAAGGAGTTTTTGGCGAAATGGCAAGGAATAGTGGCTATCCAAGGTGAAGAAACGTGGCGTTGCTTTTGTCAAATAAATACGTCTAGCGAGAGCACAGCTAATCATGACACTGGTGGGCTCGCATCCAAACAAATGAAAGATCACAGTGGCTAGAATGTCCATCAAATGATGGATTTGGGTGGTACAATTCTTCGGCCTGAATCAATGTGATGCCCTTCGTTTTACAAGTTACTTCAAATAGATACACCATAAACCCATCATAAACCCTACTTAAAACCAACTTAGCAAATGGCATCACATGGCACCACCTCTTGTCAAGGCCAGTATCGTTGGATATCCTTGGGATACTAACGCCCACTCCCTGCGGCCAGCACACTGAAGCACTGGCGTACGGATTTCCATCCGCAAGGCCCAGGAAATGCATACGGCCCCAGCCACTTCTCGCACCAGCAAATGCTTGAATCACCTCCAAGGCCCCGCGACAGGGAGTTCACCACTTGCGAAATGGCCGGAGAATCAACACCACTAAAGCTGGTACCCTTTTTTTCATGCAGTGTCTGGGTACATGCATTCTTCTTGATCCTCTTGTTGGACATGTTCTTGCCTGGTTAGGTCCACATCAGTGGCAATCCGTTGGCCATCGAAACATGTTAAATCCCCATTCTTTTGTTGGTTGATCTTCCGCTTCGTTTTTGAAAAAACTAGTTTACTCTTAGTCAATCCCGTGTCAAACACACACATAATATATATATATATGATAGATAGATATAATAAATACATATATATATATAATATTTAAATATATATAATATTTAAATATATATATATATATACATGATGTTGAGTTGCACATGCTGTCACATAAATCCCGGGTGGAACGGCTGGTTTCAAGTTTTCGTTGTCAGTTTTGAGGTATTCGGATTGTATTGGTTTCATCCCAACTTTTCCTGGCTTTACCTTCTAAATCTGATTTGTTTCATATTTTCTCCGGTAAATCTCCAACTTTTGGAAGGTCCACAGCGAAATCTGCCTGGAACTTGTGCTCCCAGCCATTCATCTGCACGCTCCTCTGCAACGATGAGGCCACCTCTGGTAGTGGCTCCACAGCCACGGCACCATGGAGGCGCCTCCCGTGGAAAGCCGGTGGTTTTTCAGATGAAAACAGAATAGATCTTCCATATAAAAAACTAAAAAGAGGATACCATATATATATATATATTTGTGATTTAAACCAACTATATAAATATATATATATAAATATACACACATTTACATATATATATATAATGTGTGTGTGAGATATATGTGGTGGATTTTCTAGCTCCTTTCCACCTCATATCGAATACCTCTATTTCAAACCATGGCTTAGTACTGGATCAATTCATTTCGAAGGGCATTGTGGTGATATCTAAAATCGGGGAATGGGATTGTAGACTAATCATCTGGTTGGTGGTCTCAAGTAGACTAATCATCTGGTTGGTGGTCTCAACCCCTCTGAATTATAGTCAGTTGGGATTATTATTCCCAATCTATGGAAAAATAAAAAATGTTCCAAACCACCAACCAGTTAAACATTGAATTTCCCCACTTTCATTTAAAGCTGATGTGATGACCATTGCTTCCAAAAAAAATCGTCACCGAAATCGGCCTGAAATGTCGATCGGATCACAGTGGCATATCTCAACAGAATGCCCCCAACTCCTTAAGGTATGGTTTTAACATGTTTGAACCATGGTTTAGTAGATCTACGCATATTTCTTTGATTAGGAAGATAGGATTCCGATTCTTCCATGCCCACTAGCCATGGCCTCCCCAAATGTGCCGCCGTCCAGAGGGCACAATCTCCAAGGTTCGCCCCCACTTCTAAAAGTTGGACCCAGCCAGCCATAGCAGCGGAGCGCAGGACCAGTTCCAGAAAACTCAAATCACCTGAGTGGTGAAATCCTGATCTGCACCCGGTAAATTCCATGGTAAATTCACAGTTTGCGGAAGGGAAATTCCCATTTTGATGGAAAAAAACTATAAGTGGGTCATCTTCATTCATGTTCCATTGCTATGCAAGTTTACCAAACAGGATTAGAAAAAAAAAAGGAAAATGGTGGGACTTCAGGGTCAACATACAACAAACATCTGGCAAACCATGGCAAACCTTTAGTTTACCTAGGAAAATGATGAACTTTCATGGCGGGCTTTCCTATGTTTACAGGAGAGTAAAATGGCAAATCATCAAGGGCAATCGTGGCATTGTCCCATCCTAATATTCAACACCCCCATTCTATGGCCCCAAAGATGTGCAAATCCCCGATTTTAAAAACAAAAAAGTTTCTCGAGGTGCTGGATATTTGCCGAAGCTGAAAACCTGGGAATCTCAATTATCATGTGTGACTATGTGCAACGGAATGAAATGGCAATGTTCTTGGCAGTAATTCAGGTTTGGTTGGGATCAAAAGAGGCAGGGCAGCCATGGACATATTTTCCGAAGCCGCACCTGTGAATACAACACTAATAACAACAAAACATTTAAAGAAGCGTTTTGGCCAATCATGTCCTACTCCAAATTGCCATGTTTACTTGTGCTTCGAGTTTTAGTTTCCAGGATTCATGATGAAAATCGGTCTTTCTCAGCAAAGCTGCAGTATGGCAGGCGACAAGCGCGTACCACATCAGAGACCTGCTGCGTCTTCATCAGCCGGGACAGGAAAACAATCTCAATACCCTCTGGTAATTTAACATAGCTATTGAAAACCACCATTTTTAATGGAAAATCCACTATTATATAATGGTCATTTTTAATAGCTACATTAAATTACCGGAGGGTAGATCATAAGAGATCACATGCTTTTAGGTGAGTCGACATGATACAGGACAATACAAGGGTGAGCACTGTATAACACTGTCATGGGTTTTTCCCAACGGATTGATCTCAGGGAACATCGTGCCTGGAAACCATGGTTTTACCACGATACATACGATAATTCTTAAGGGCTTCTAATTCTAGTTTCAAATGATCAAAGTCTGGGATATTTGGGATCATGATTGGTGTATCATATTTTTCCCAGTTACCCCCTGCTGGTTTAACAGTTTGCCATGGAACATCATCATGATATCATGGTCATGATTTATAGGTAAATCATCGATCTAAATGAGGCATCTATACCAGATACATACCAGATACCAGTTCGGAAACTGTCCGTCATCCCTAAATTCATGAAGCACCTCCATTCATAGATGACTCTTCCGATTAAAACATCCATTTTAGAAATGTTCCAGTGATGTTCCCACTAAAACCTCCATTGAATTTGGTGATTCTCACTGATTTTAACATGAAAAACATCGATTATATAATTAGAGGATGTTCCCATTAAAACCTCCATGTATAGATGATGCTCCCATTCAAACATCAATTTACAGATGACTTCCCCATGAAAACCTCCATTTCCAGATGATTTCTCATTATATAGATTTTCTCCATTTACCCTCTGGTAAACTGTCACATAGCTATGGAAAATCACAATTTTCAATGGGTAAATCCACTATTCCTATGGTCATTTTCAATAGCTATGTTAGTCACTACCAGAGGGTAAAGGATTTTCCATGGATTTTCCCTCTCAAATCCTCCATTGAGGCAGTTCAGCACCTTCTCAGCCATGGGGAGCAGCGCCATCCAGGGACGGGGAATCGCCGCATGGCGGGGCAAAGTCCAACGAAGCTGCGCCTAGGGAGGAAATATTTTCTTTTTTTTGGTTATATTTATACATATTAATATACAATATCCAATATACATATATAGTATATACACCTATATATATAAATATATATTTACTTTCATATATATATATATATCATTGAAACATATTTAAGCTAAATATGCAATGAAATATAGATTATGACATCATAGCGATCATTGTGCATATTTGACTAGGTCGATAATTCAATGATGAATGATAGAATGATAAGTTAAATGTAGTTTTAGAATTTTAGAAGTCCCGAACGACAGCTAGATAAGGGTAATCAATATTAGTATATATCAGTAAAATATGGACTATAACACAATGATTAATTAATTGGTTTGGGGGAAATTGAACCGCGGTTCAACCCATGGTTCATCCCCCATTCTCAATGGCAAGATTTCCATGGTTCATCTTCCTGCAGATTCCCCTCGGATTATCCCACTGAATGTATCCTATGTATATGATATATGATCAGCACGTATTGGCAATAGAAAGAAAAACAATATATAAGAATCATCATCACAAAGACCAAAATTGTAGACAAGCAACATGGTGGTTTACTCAGATCGACTGACCAATATCACCCAATAGTTACCTGCATAGCGAGTTACATTCCCTTTTTCTTTGGGGAATTTCAATCCAAACAGCTAATCCCTGGCTGACAAAACCACCGATATCTATCAAAACATTCAAAACTACCATATTTTGGGAGATGAAGGCCCATTTTCCAGGAAGTTTGGTGCTGGCATCTCCCAAAAGTCTCCAAAATTGTCATCGGGGAGAATGATGATTCCGGATTTTGGGGCATCCGGTATTCCAAAACAAAAAACTTTGAAGTTGAATACAAGTCTGGAATAATGGTAAACTCATCCTTTTCTGCATCTTTGCGGGGCTTAATTACTATAGCATCTGAAATCACCCACCAGTTGAAAGCCTGCCTCGCAAGCCAATCTGTCAGCCATTTGAAAGATGGGCCAACGCGAAGAGAGCGCCACGAAAGGCGGGTACTTGGCGTTTAAGAAATGGTCCTAGCATGGTGGGTCTTTGTTGCGTGAAATAGAAGTCGATGTAGCCATGAATGTTCAGATTGTTGGGGCCGGTGATGGTAGTGGTCATTGCGATGATGACTCTGAAAATTTGACCATGTGACAACTTGACAAAACAATGACCATGACGATGAGGATAAGGAAGATAAGGACGAGATAGGATAAGGATGAACATGAGGATGATGATGATGATGATGGTGATGATGATGATGACGATGATGATGATGATGATGATGATGATGATGACGATGACGACGACGACGACGACGACGACGATGACGGCGGCGATGACGAGGATAATGATGATGACGATGACGAGGATAATGGTGATAATGATGATGATGATGATGTTGATGATGATGATAAGGAGGAGGAGGAGGAGATGGGTGAATAGGACAATTATATCAAAGAAACGATGACGACATTGATATTGTCCTGAATGATGGTTTGATTGTGCGGATGGATGATGGTTCCTCCAATGGAGATCTTGATTGTGGCGGTGATTGAACATGTTTACCGTATGCTTTTGTTACCCTTTTATATACAGCTTTGGTTTCTGAGCTGGTGAGGCAATCCGTGGTTCCACGGAACTTGTCTCAAACGTACAATGCTCACCCAGTTCATGTTGGAACAACCGCTTGCCAAAACCTTTGGCATGGCTCCTGAAACCGCCTGTGCTTCAAGCCACGTCATACCTTCTTACCAAGCCTGAATCTGGATTATCTACTGAACAGCTGATTTGCCGTTGAGCACCCCCTGAAGAATATGCTCATCATTGGGGATCATTGGATCATTATCCCTTGTCTATGGTTGAAAAGGAGCGAATGGTTAATGGTTCAAACAGTTCCAACGACCAGCAAAATGAGTCCTTCAAGGATCCTCAAGGTATAATAGGGAAGCACCCAAGCATGGTAAGTGAGGACCCAAATGATCTTTCAATATTTTTCACAGCACGCCCAACAATCAACGCTCAACGCATGTGATCGGCTGCTGCCCGAGTTCACCCAACAAATAGACAGCGCGTCTGATCAACCTTTCCTTAGAGCCGACCGGGTTTGAAATGGAACAGCTCTCAGCTCAACAGCAGCTAAGTGACGTTGGCGGAATTTAAAGCCATACACATATCTCGCAACACATCTTTGTTCCTCCTTCACATCACTAAAGCAAGCTCTTGGCAAATTTAGCCAGATCGCTGGGAATCGAACTGAAGCGCTGGCAAGTAATGATAGCTGCAAACGTTGCTGATACTTTTAATCTGAGGGATCCAAAATGGGTATCGGTATACAAAATAGTAACTAGAGTTTCTACCCCCAGCTGCTGGAACGACGCAAAAGAAACAGTAATTTTACTGGCCAGAAATTGCCCAAAAAAGTTGTATGTGCGATCAAAACCCCGTCATTCAGTAAAGTTCTCACCACCAAAATAGCTGTTAAGTTCTCGTCCATTCCCTCGTTCGCATTGAAATCACTACTTTTTGACCATCCCCAATATGGTTGAATTCTCCGTGCGTCAGGGCAGAAACCCATTTTTTGATAGAAGAAAACATGACTCAACCAAACCTCATCCGAAAAATGGCCGACCCCCCTGGCCCCAGTCGCTTCACCAAGGCACTCGTTCTCCCACCTGTGCGCGGCTCATGCTGTGCCCCGGGCGCAAGACATCTGCCAGGGACAGCAGAGCTAAGGCGCGCCCAAGGGGTGAATAGAACTCACCATACGACAAAACCAAGCTGGACGCCTCAGGTTGATCGCTTCTGCGGGGATGTTTCAACATGACCCTACCGATCCCTTAGGGTAAACGTTTACGATGTGGAAGCCATGGCCCATTTATGGATCAATAAAACCCATTTTCATGGTGATTCTCCACATGTTGCCCCAGGGTATTCATTGAGATTTCGCTATAAGAAATATGTCGCCATATGGTTGATATTCCCATTTCATATCTCCATGTTACATTTTTGGTGTCATATTCCCATACAATATCCCTCTAATTGTTGGTTTTATCCTATTATATCCCATATGGTTGATATGCCCTTCCATTTGGAGATCATGTTCCAAACGGCGTCTATGAACGTCTATGACCGTCGTTTACCCTGAGGCAATCATCGTGGGTAGCCACCATGTAATCCCATTCAATCCCATTAAACTCATCAAATCCATACAAATCCTATACTGGTTGGTGGTTTCAACCCCTCTGAAAAATGTTTGTCAATGGGAAGGATTATCCCATACATTATGGAAAATAAAAAATGTTCCAAACCACCAACCAGTATATAGTTGATACTGTCTGGAAATTCAACAAATGGAAAATCACCAAATGGAATCTATTTCAGCCCAGCCGCGGCCGCTGGCACGGGCGCGTTGGCGCGCAGTTGCTGCTCCACGGTGTCGAGGTAAGGGGTCTCCTTAGGGAGGTCTGTGCCATGGTCGGGATGGATATTCCATGGGAATGTGAGAAGTTTAAAAAAATATATCCCAAGAATGATGGATAATATCAACCCAACATTTGTTTGGGATGTTTTATGGAAAGATGAAACTGTAAGATGGGGATATGACATGGGAATTATAAAGCAGCAAACTTAACTATACACCATATGGGAACAAAAAGGAAAAACAAACTATCATAGGGATATAATTGATATATGATATAATAATGTGAATATTGAATACTTAACAAACCATGGACATGACATGGGAGAAAACTGACACCAACAATACTGGGAATGTAAACGACATGGGAACGTATGTTAACAGGAACAAGCATGTAGAGGTACATAAGAGGAATATGTAACCAACAATGGGGATATGAAATGGGAATATTACCCTATGGAAACACACTGGGACAGGAGGCATGTGGGAATCTATACGCTAAATCCAAAGAGAAACCAGAATGGGGACGGGGCGTCACCAAAACATAGGGATAGGAAATGGTGCATGGTCATCCCAGCATCCTGAATGGGAGTCCCGAATCTATATACTGGGTATATACCCTCTGATAATTTAACGTACCTATGGAGAATCATTTTTTTTCAAGAGGAAAATCATCATAATCAACTATAGGTTGGCAATTTTCCATAGCTATGTTAACTTACCAGAGAGTAACACCTTCATGGAAAATGGGGGGTTGACTATCCCTGAACTGGTTGGAAAATATACCGTGTAACTTTGGCATGAACCTAGGATTGAAACATAGGAATTAGTCCTCAGAAACATGGAATTCAGCCAAGCCAAAAAATCGCTGGGATTTAAGGGAGGGTTATGTTACATGATTTATTGTATCATCAATTTGATATTTTCTTGGGTGCAATTATAATGGGGAAATCATATGAAGTAATGAGTAGCCAGTGGGTGGGGTGCCCTTGTTGTCGAGACAACACCATGCCAAAAACTGGATAGAAAAAACATTTTGGGATGGTTCCCCTCACTGATCATTTACATTGACCTAGTGGTGACTTTGCTACAAGTCGCAGAAAAATCTGCCCAAATCCAGCAGGAAGCTAGCACAAATATGGAGGGAATCTCCCATGATTTGGTCCAGGAAACAACGAAAAACATCCCGTAGTCATTGGACAATATGTGCTGATTCCTGGCTCCGAAAAATGGGATGTGACCTCAGAAAATGAGAAAATGACGAAATCATAACCCTGAAAAAGCAGGATCAACAAGAAGGTGTGCGGATACCAAGTGATAGCAACAGCATGGTATCCAAACGATTTGGTTCAACCTCCCACGAGGAGAGAATTCGTGAGATGCCGCCAGGGTACATAGGACCAGGTGCCTTTGAGCTGTTCGTTCAAGGGATTCGCCGAGCCCATTTCGAGGTACGCGAAGTACCTGGGGACGCCAATGGTCCATGGGAGCCCTATCAATTTCCATCGTATAAACAGCGGTGTTTTCGTTTTTTTGGGTGATGACATTGGAAATATTTGAGGATAAAGCCCTTAGAATGGGAAAGGGAGCGCCATGGCTCCCTTAAACCAACGCGTTCTGATCTAGGATTGCTGTCTTTCGTTTGAATGGGTCAAATGTTCATCAATCACCAGGGCTTTGGGCGTCAAGGGGCTGAAATCAAATGCCTGCGCTCAACAACAGCCCTATATTTAGGAAAATGTACTGCTTTCAGCACCCTTGTGTTCTAGCATGGTACATGTCGATAGGTCATACCTGCACGCATTTTATATATATATATTAACCACTTATATGCTTGGGCTCTTGGGCATGCATATGGTACAGTATGCGCTTTTTAACCCTTATTATAGGCAATTAGTCCTCTATCCCCTTCTCGGAACCTGCTGTGGTCTCCCAAAAGGTTTTACTGGTTGTTCCTGAGCGATTCTTGGAGATGACCATTCCATTAAATATCTGGAATCTGATCCCAATGGATAGAAAATCTGGTTCTATCATGTTCTATCTCATTATGATCTAATTAATTAGATATAATCAGGTGATATTCCGATTCCAACGTGCTCCCATGATTTCCCATGTGTCTTTCCCCGATCCCTGGAAATCGAGTGGCTCCAAACGGCTGAGCAAGCGAAAAATGGGCCAACCTGGGGGCAAACGGCAAACATGTTGATTTGAGGCATGTTCATGTTGTGTGATATACTTGATATACCCTCTGGTAAACTAACATAGCTATGGAAAATCACCACCTTTAATAGGTAAATCAACTATAAATGGGCCATTTTCAATAGCTATGTTAAATTACCAGAGGGTACTTGACGTCCATTTCTTAAAAGACACAACAATATCAGGAACAATCCACTGCTGGTATTCAACTAGAAGGTGACGAGCCTGCAGCCGCCACGTGATGCCAATCCAGCGTCGAGGCTAAGTAGCGAAGGGTTTCGTGAATCATCACACCTTCGTAGTCCAGACAGCATTGGGACATGGAGAGCCAGCAGCCACGTTCTCAAGATGTTATCATAGTATCGTGCATGTGTTATTTGTGTATATGAATATATATATATATATGCACATGATCGTATACGTCCATATTTATAATTAATCGTAATCATGCTGCTTAAGCTTCCAAGGATTTGGGTGAAGGAAATTGGTTGGTGCAAGTGGTTTCAAGGCCGGAATTGCCAAAGTCAATTTCTTCGAAACGTGAAAGACCCAGGGTCAGAGCCCCAAAAATCAGTACAGACTTGTTGCTCCGCTTTGGTTTCAACCATTTGCAACCATCTATGTGCTTGGATATGCAACCATTTTGATCCACAACGATAGCTGGGGATGATCTCAATGCGCCCGGGATTCGGAAATAATAAGCTTATGACATCTTACGACTATGGGTAGTAACACCCATGATGGTTATGCTATGATTGTTATATAAATCCCTACAGCTAATAATATACAAGGCTATGATCATGATTGCAGTCCATTGATGTCCATTGCGTATTTGCCAACATTATTTTAAAAAAAAACATACTACTATGATCAATGCATTCTCAAGGCAGTAGTACCCTACAACCATCAACCGGGGCTTTGAACCTCGCTGCAATGTAGGACCATTCCTCATGCCACACTGGCAGTGATACTGACCACAACTAGCACCAGGAATGTTTTTTTTGGCAGCTGATATGGTGATCAGTACAAATAAACCAACAATTAACAAAACACAATGGTTATGTTTTCTTGCAGTTCTGAAGCATCTCAACCGATTGCGGGTAATCCCATTTATTTGGACGGTCAGCGAAGGTGTCTGAAACTTCAAAATATGCATTTCTCTGTGGCATTACCATTCTATCGGTATAGGGATTATGATGAAACAAATTATCATTGGTTTGGATCCTTCACCTTCTGAAACCTGTCTGGTCCCAATGGGATATACGAACATCAGCTGAACTGAAACTGTGCGGCTGTGCGGCACGCCTTGTGGTTTCAACAGCTCATCCAATACAGCTGATACCTCGGCAGCACTTGGGAAAATCCATGGAAAAACTCGTGCCTCGTGCCGTTCCATCAAACGCTTTGGATTTTTCTGAATAGCAAATGAAAAAAACATGATAGCAATGGAAACATACCCCTTTTCCATCCCTTTTTACTGGTTGGTTAGTAAATAGTCCGATTATGGGTTGTAATAGGCCCCAAGAAACCAGACAGCATAACCCCCTATATATATAAATAAACAAAAAATAACAATATTTTATTTAACAATAAAATTAACCGTTAATTAACCCATCAACACATGGCTCATGTGACTCATGTGTGGGTTTCCTGTTGGACAAAAATCGGCCAAAAACTCCGGTCCTGGCTGCCCAAAAGTGGTGTATTGAATGGGACCCATGGGCTTGTTGAACCACGGCCAAAACAAACAGGTCGCGCTACCTGGAAACCATCTCTTCTATCTGCTGTACTGAAACCCCGCCTGAGAAAAATCCTGTGGAATTTGGTGGGTCGCTTCATTTAGCAGTCGGCTCTGATTCCAAACAATTTATCACTGAAATTGGATCCCAGGAACTTCAAAACAGGGCCCACTGCGCCCACATCTCCACAAATCAATGTCTGTGCGTTCCACTTCCAAATCACAGAAATTACCAGGGGTTGTAGTGACGACACTACTCTGCATAGCTTCCAACAAAACAACAACTTGGCATCATTTGCAGCCATGGCGCGCTCAGCGACATGAAGCCAATTAATTTCCTAAAGCTTCAGATGTCTACAGCGTGATGGGTTGGACATGTTCATCCCACTTCTTGACACATCAAGTTCTAGCTGGAGAGTTTTTGCAACCGGTAGCTTTGAGAGGTCAATGAAGCTAGTAACACAAGCGGTGCGCCGGTGCGCCCGCGAAACTTGGATCAAAGTGGCCACTACCCGGCTACGGATGGCTGTACAAAACAAAGGTTTCCTACCGGGCTACCGGGCTACGTGGTAGACTTCAAACGCCAAGGGATTATCCCTCCAAATGGTGCCATGGGGCAAAGTCACATATCCCACGGAGCAGTCCTGCCTGAGTCGTAGCAGCTTTGTTTAGCCAAACCACATGGAGCTGAAATGACGCAATTGATTTATATGAATTGGGTATATAAGGCCATGCTTACACGGAGCGGTCCTGCCTGAGTCGTAGCAGCTTTGTTTAGCCAAACCACATGGAGCTGAAATGAGGCAATTGATTTATATGAATTGGGTATATAAGGCCATGCTTATACGGTATAAATAAGCATGGGCTTATAACCCCCAGAAGTCGGAATGTAAACCTTATAACTATGTACAAATACATATTGTACAATACTATTATATATATATATATATTGATGCCTAATATATGCACATGCGACTGGAACTGCGCCCTCCCAGGAATTACATAATGAATAATGAAGCACCTTCCACAATTTGAACTCTGCCATTACAACTCGCAGGGTCCATGTTCAACAATTCAGGCAAATTAGACACGGATCCAGAACTGAAATGATCCCGGAAATAAAAAAAGAACATATGATAGAAGCAACATCACGATTCTCATTATAAATATATTATGTGTATATATATAATGTTAAGTAAAGCAATAGGATCCACCATCCCCAATTCTACCACATTATTTACCATATCATACCCTTATTCACCATCCCACATTCTTTACCATATCATACCCTTATTCACCATTGTTGTTAGCCACTATTGACCACTATCAACCATTGTCAACTGCTTTGCCGTAACTGCTGGTAATCAAACACGAATGGCCATAGACTCAACCATTCTGCTGCTGTCGGGGCACGAGGCACGCACCGACAATGTGGCGTTGGTATCGATGCGTCTGAGGGCCAAGCGGCCAAAATTCAAGCACATGGGGATTTTAAGGTGTGGCGAATCCGGCAAATGTGCCTAAATATAGAAGAATAATTCATCATGAATAAAAATAATCGATCTATTGGAATCTATTGGATATTGGAGGTATGATAATCTGTTGGACGCATGACTGACATGACATTGACTACAACCATACGACACCCGCAACACAACCTCGCCCCCAAACAAAAACGTGGGCATCACCAATATAGGATGGCGGAACTTAGATACCCTGCCACCCTCCCCCCCCATTAAAAAATATCTCTGCTGGGCATTGTTGTCTAGAATAGTATGCTATGATTAAATCATTGCAAATTAGTGTCAGCGAATGTCAAGCCCGGACTATAACTAGTTGATTGGCTGGAGGTTCACCCCCACCCAAATAGTCTTATAATTTGTTACTTGAAATATTTGACTGATCCTTCCCAATTATTCAATTGAAGAGCCTGAGGGGTTGTTAAAGGGTTGACATTAAATCGTGATTACAAGGTGGTAACCCATACTTGGCTATTCTATGGTTTATAGGAGACATATCAAACTAGTTAAGGGGCCAACTTGATGTGGCAAGCCCAACAATAAGCCATCCCCAAAAACGAGATTTACTATTGGATATGCCGTTCTGCCTGTACCCCTACTTGTGATAATGCTTAACATGACCCACAGTCGTGGTTCGTATTCATTGGATGGAGACAACTATTGGTCTTACCACAAAAAAAAACGTGGTACACCACCCTGTAGCCAATATGAACCACTGGATGTGCATCCCACTTGGTAATTGGATTATAAGCCATGTACAAAGTGGGTCAATCAGTGGGTTATACCATGGTTATTAACATTGATTACTCTCTGGTAAACTGTCACATAACTATGTAAAATCACAACTTTCAATGGGTAAATCCACTATTTCGATGGCCATTTTCAATAGCTATGTTAGTCATAACCAAAGGGTAACCACGTTACTAGCTGGGAGGCACCCACATTCAACCCTTCGAGCGCACTTCCACAGTTCCCGCATCTGCCAGTAGACAGGCGATTGCACATCCAGCGTAATCTCTCCTGACAGGGGACAGAAAAAAGGGACTCTTCACCGGCACTAAGTGGAGGATGCGAAGGTTTGACCAGCAAAATTTGGAATTATCCAAGAAAATGGAGGTTTCCGACGGCCATCATGTGGATTTGGCGACAAGTGGTTTTTGCTTAACTAGCAAAAGTGGTGATTTTGCCAACTTCACCACTTTTGGATCAAATCGATGGTGTGAATCATCCCCAAAATTTTGGGGAATAAAAGGTGCAAAAACAGAAGCAGGCACAACGCCAGAGAGTCCGAGCTTCGAGACGCTAAATTCATGGCAGCATAAAAGGACCTTGGTCAGATTGAGCTGGGAGACAAAAAAAGGCAAGCCGTATGACTCACAGACCTTTCCGTGCGTCTCCTCGGAATCCTGCCAATGACTCTGCAAATTATATCGTGCAGAAATGTACAGAATCATTTCTGGTTCCTAAACCCATATCATCATTAATCATCATTAATCATCATTAATCACCATCATTAATCACCATCAAACACCCTAAAGCCTTAAAAGAAAATGCTCAAACTCATGCTGGGTTGCCGGGCAGATTGCCGCGCACCTCATCCCAGCTGGGACCTTCCGGTGCCACCTTCCCCCGACACGACGTCGTTGCCGCATCGGCGACAAAGAGCCATGGCAGGGCCAAGGTCAGCATAGGATGCGGCTGCCACAGCTAAGATGTACAACTATCATCAACCCAATTTTTTTCAAGAACTGGTTGAATGTGGTTGAATGGCTGGAGGAGTCTGCGTACCGGTAGCTTGAGGTATAAAAACCATGGTTGGTCCTAGATGCTGCTGGGTAAATGGTCGAATCTTGATGTTGCATCCAGCTAGTGACCGGTGTTTTCATGATATGGTTAACCAATTGACATATGGAGTGACCTCAGCCAATGGGGGCTTACTAGCTAGTGAAGTGCTTGCTTTCATCATCTTTCATCTATGGGGATTCATCATCCTCGGAACAGTCACTCCAACCTCCAGGTGGTTTGATGATTTTTTCCCATCTGTTCACTGCTACCTGGACAAACCACGACTGAGCTAGGAATGAAAGTGGCATCCAAGTGATCTATGCATTGGACCGCATGGAAACTACCGATCTTTCTGTGGCCTTGTGACAGCCAAAGAATCCTGGCAGCCAATGGCTCCTGATAGGAATACTTAGACCAAGCTGAGGAAACCAAACCAACCATAGTAACATAATATAGCTTAAATTATATAATCCAATATGACATTAAGTTTGGTTAGTGCGGTTAGTGATCCAACATGATCCAATATGCTATTGATACTATATACATACATAATATATATATATATATATAAGGCTGCAAAATGGTTGGTGAAAACTAAGACTCTATTTTTGCGGCTCAGTTTTACGAAGCATGCTCTGATAAGCGAGGTGAACTGGCCCTTGGTCAAGCAAATGCTGTTGTATTTTTGGTTGCACGAGAAGCAAATTGGTTGCACCAATGGATGGTCAATCCTGAAAATGACAAAACAGTTGACTAATGTTGATCAAGAGATGAAAAGTTGAGCCTCCCTGCAATTCGGAATGCTTCTCCTAGGTCAGGTTGCACGCTGTTTTATAGCACACCATGTATAGCTAAGGGGTCTGCAAGCGCCTATATATAGTGGACTGGGCTCAAAGGATGTCGTGATGTGGTGATGGCTCTCCAAATAGTGACCATCATCGGTGAAATCATTTGAGGTCGTTAAAACAGTCAAAATCGGGAGCTGCAAGCAGAATACATTGTGTTCTCAAAGTTTGGATCCCAACCCCCATGATTTATCATCATCATATGGAGCTTTCCTAAAATATGGGGTTACCCCAAGTCACCATAGGTTTCAATACTAAGTCATGGTCATCCATGACCCTGATGATTTGGGGGCACCCCCATGACTTGGGAAACCCCTATATCAATATTCCCCTGTTAAGATTAAGATTGCCAATTTTGGGCCAGCACCAGCTGTCACCAGCTTTCCATCACCTCCAAGACTTTCTGTACTTTCTCCAGGCCACGCCTAAATGTGTGAGTGACATGAAAGTCAGGCCCCAAATGGTGCCGAACACTGGGAATTTGCATGGTTCAGAACACAACGGGTTCTCCATCTGCGAAACGTTCGAATCTGACAAGTGAAATCCACCCAATGGCGGGCACATCACGGCTGGGCCGTGAAGGGATTCTGGTGGTTGGTCCCCGTGGAAAATACAGAGGGGATTGTTGAATCATCCCATTTCCAAGATTGAAAAGACCAACAAATATGTGTGAAACCATATTAACGCATATTAACATTTCCTTGGGACATATGGTTATTAGATGTTATTAGTTATAGTTATAGTCATTGGGGATCATCAACTTAAATTTGTTTGAACACAACATGTTTTTCTTTCACCAAATCATCTTCGGTTTTTCTCCCATGGCCTCCGGTGTACACCACATCTCAACCAGCCCAGGAGCAGCTGCGCCAAGCGAGCCAATAGATGTCCCCAGGCCTAGTCACGAATGCCCAACCCTGAATGAATAAGCCCCTAGGCTTTTTATTTTAAGGGTGCACCATTTTGATGCCCGATTATCACCAATGTGCCAACATTTGGGAAGTACCGTACCCCTATTGGGAAGTCCCACAAGCTTGGCCGAAGCAGTGGAAACCCATGGTGCAAACCCAATGGCATGTCCAAAGAAACTGTGGGTCGAAATACTCAAACATCATCAAACATCATCAAGATCAAATGGGTTCGTCTGAAAATGGATATTCCCAAAAGAGCCAGCTTAGTTGGGAAAATGATGGAAAGTGAGGTTCTAAACTCTAAACCATTCTAAACCTATGGTTTTTGTTTTTTCCTCCCCGACCCTCCCGCCGGATCTCATCCAGTGATGATCAAGTTCCCATCCGACACCTCACGTTCACGACGTGTTTTGTCCTCCCCTGCGTCTGCGCTCTGCGTCAGCGGACTTCCCCATTTTTGGATTTGTTTCGATTCTTATCTCCTGCTTTTTTATAGCCTGTTCTTTACATGAAGCGCCCTTCATTTACAAGTAGTACATGCTGCAAAAAGTCGATCAAAAAGTGGTAATTATTCAGCAATATATAGCACATGGTTTCCTCTCATTCTTACCCTTACACCCCCCCAACAATAACATCACTTGGCCCTAATCTACCATACGTGAACAATCTGTATGATAGTCCAGTTTTGAGGAGGTGGTAAACTAGGTTGTGCCCGTCCCAGCACTTTCACACTTTTCTTGGCAAACACACCGTATTCAAAGAACTGTTGTTGCCAGGTTGCAAATGCGAGACTGAAACCACTAAGCGTTAGCCATCCGTTAACCAACCTACCCTCCACCGCCTCCACCAGTCTGGTGTTCCGCCATGGAGCTCACGAGTTTTTCACGCCATTAGTGCTGGAATTTCTGGGTCAATGGAGGATCATCTTCGTATATCTTGGTAAAGGCCCCACTTGGCAGCCCAATTTGAGAGGGATTCCCATGGGTCCACAATCGAAGTTACTTTCGGGTATTGCATGGTTTCTTCATGTTTATTCAAGCTTTCATTGAGGATCATGCCAGTCATCTTTGATGCGAACTTGTCAGGTGCCAAGCTGGAGCGGGTCCATGTTTGATCATGGCACATCAAAAACCTATCACAGCTGCCAGCAATTCCCTCAAGGGAAAACATGGGAAAACACCATCGCTAGCCTATGTCGCCGCCAGAAAATCGGGGATGAGGAAAGCCATGGAAAGCCAGATTCTTCTGTGGCTGCTGGTGGTACCGTACCATGGGCTTCCCGATGCTTCCCGGTAGCCCAGCTCTACCTTGGACTTGAAACTCCCACATCCTCCGGACGTCATTTTTCCGCGGATTCAGCGTTGGTAAACATGGTGCCATCATTGAGCGTGGCCCAAGCAGGGCCTCCATGCGATTTACAGCAGCTCAGCAGTTGGTTCGTTTTTGGTCTGAATCCAAGCATTTTTCTTGGAAAGGCACTGGGTTGAATATTGAAATCAAACATGGCTGGCCAGAAAATCTCTGAAGTGAATGGAAATATATACTTGTGTGGATATGTTTTATGTGAATTTGATTACCGGATGGTACTTGCAAAGGCTGGCAGCTAAGAATTGAGAATACCAAGGAAAACAAAAGAATCCACGGTTCAGTATTTCGTGATTTTAACGTCGGGCTAATATAGATACCAAGTGTGACCTTACCCTGACCTGCTACCACTGATCCCCCCTGCAAATTTCAACTCATGTACCTCACAAATCCACAGACCGACGTGCTGGCCGTGCTGGGCTGTTTGATTGAAGTCCGTCCGCATGCTGCTGGGTGCAGGGTGTTCATTCCGAAATTGGGATGAAGGGAACATCTGCATGAAGCCCCTGATTATCTACTGGGAACAGCCATTGTATTCTGAAAATTGGTCACTAAATGTCACTGACCAATATTAACTATATACGTTGATATCTACCATCTGATATATTGCCTATACAGTCAGGTAGGCAAAGGACCATGTATCACACACAGTCAGCCACTCAGAGTTCACGTCATGATCGGCCACAGTTGTGGCCCTTTACCAGTTAAAAGCCAGTTATAAGTCAGCACGTCACCAGTCACCCCATGTCTGGAATGATAGCCCCATGTATAATATTGCATAACCACTCATAACTAGTAAAGGATGGTAAAGGGCCCATAACTGTAGTTCTTATTAGTTCTTCAGTTCTTCATGTGGTTTTCCCTTGCTGCACCGTCTTCAAGCTGCACCGCCAGAACCCATGGCTGCAAAAGGATATCTATCCATCCTAGCATCAGCGAACTCACTTCATTTCTGACTTTATATAAGGATCAATGCATCATTGATTCAGCAGAATGTTCATGGATTCATTTAGTTCATGAGGAAAGACGTCTTACAAGGCCATAGAAGGCCTAGGACCAGCAAAGGAAGCCGCCCCAAGGTGTTTCTCTGAAATGGGGACCCTCCCATTTCCCACAGAAGAAAATACAATAAAATACACCAGGGGTTCCCCAAGCTGCCACGCTGCACAAAAATCGTAAAAAAAATCGTAAGATTCGGATGTTTCTGTTTTGGGGTCCCCAATTCTCCGATCTCTCCACAAGGACAAACAGGCCAAGTTCAACAAGAATCCACTCAGCCACCAAGACCTGGCAACCATGGATGCTTTTCAAACACGATCATAAACTCTCGCATGGGACATTCAGATGCCTCTAAATCTGCATCTGTAAGGGAAAACAACGTATCATAGCATAAATCAATATCATATATGTATATATGTTATGATATAAATATGCTATCAAATATGCATATATATATATATATGTATGCTATGTATATCAGATATCATATATGTAAATATGCATATCACATATCCCATGGCCATTGAAAAAAGAAAAAATACCATGACAATCTGCTGGATCATCCCCGATCACCCACCGAGACCATGATTTTTTGAAAAAAACACATCTATGTAGTGCCCGGTGCCCCATACCTGGCTGAGTTAGTTTTTAAGTAGATTACTTGGGAGTAAAAACACCTCATGACATACGTGGTGGGGGCAACCGGGCAACACCTTGCCGAGACATCCATGTTCAAACAAGAATCTAGAGTGCCAATTCATTTAAGCATTTCCAAAGATTAAGATATGTCAGATATTCACAGATCCATGGATCCAGTCTTGTACCCTCTCGTAATTCAACATATAGTCATGGAACATCACTATGTTCAATATATATATATATTTCAATATACAATTCATGGTAAATCATCAAACTAAATGTGGCATCTAGACCACTTCCCAAACTGTTAGTCATCACGGCTAATTGCTTCGCTGAGTTACTTAGCTGAGTCCAAATAAGTAGCGGTCTAATCGGAGTCAGATGAAACACACAAAGTGCAATGGCAAATGCACGGACTCAATGCTGCAATGTTTCACCCATCCATCGGTCACAATGCGAAAAGGTAACAACGCTCTCAGGGCCCCTTAAGCCAAGCCACAAGGTGCAAACGGTATCAGCTGGTTGACATGGATTGCATGACATTTTCACTGGTGTTTTTCTTTTTTGCACCTTGGGGAAAAAGGTATTCCTCATATGGCTGGTTTTCTGGTGACTCGGTCAAAACGGCAAGTGGCATATTGAGCCATCGCCTGAAAGCTTCCAGAAGCTTGTCATCTGTCTTCGTCAAGCCGTCACCAAATTGAAAACGTGTTGGGACCCATCGAATTTCTTTACTCGAAATTGTTTCCTGAATTGCCCTGATGCTCACCAGGGTTCGCTTATCATTGAGTGATGGGTTCTCACTCATGATTGCATCAAACAACGACTTGGCATCTACAGCTTGGAGGGTGGCTAACCTACTACCTACTCGGTGAGCTGCTTGGTTATACATCAGTTCACTTATGAACAAATTCACATAGGCTAAGCGGTCAGCGCACTCATCAGCAGCGGTCGCCTCAGCAGCCAAAGTTGATCGGCAGACTCGCGGTGAACGAGCTGAGCGCCAATCCAGCAAAGTAAATGGTGCCATTGTGGTCTTGACGGATGGAGTCGTCAGGCCCACCAAAACTCCGATCTGGCTGCCAGACTTTCGCGCATTCGCCCAGCTGCTGTCACTATATCCCAGCACTACAGAATCACGGGTGAATGGTACATCCATGATGTTGATTCCATACTGCGGGGTCTCTTTGACATACTTGAGAGTGGCATGCAGCTGTTTCAAGTCTGTGATCTTTGCCTCTTCGCCATGGCCAGACAGGCTGACCGTCGCAGCAATCTCAGGTCGGGCCTGGGATGCGGCCCATTGCAAACATCCGCAAATGCTTCTCAGTTCCTTGCGCTCGTCCAATGAAAGCTCAGGCGAACCTTGCAATCGACCTTTGGCAATGGCGCCAAACTCGATGCCTTCCAGAAACTTCTTCAATGTGATGTGCAGATAGAAGCGCTGGTGCTCATTGCGCTTCAGGGTCAGTTCCTTTCCCTTGAAGGTTATTGGCTTATTTTCTTGGAAGTAATTCAGAGCTCCCCATTTGAACAAACCATGAACTGAACTAAGGTCATGGTCAGACCTACTTATGCCAAGGAAATCATCAACATAAACAATGATGGCAGCTATGATTTGGCCGTCCTTTCGCAGAAGGTACAGCTGCCTGTCGAAGTCATGTTGTGTGAAGCCCAGGCTCTGCAGTCGGCGGCAAACTTCTTTGCTCCAAGTGACTGGTGCATCTGCTAAGCCATACACGTTGCCACGAACTCGATAGAGTGGAGCTGACCAGTGCTGCGTCATAGAGATCAGTCCATCTTGAGGAGGTCGTAGAAAAAGTGGCATAGTGCGATCAGCATTTTGTCCTTGCAGAAAAGCCGTAGAGGCATCTCCAGTCCAAGCTATCCATGAAAGAGTGGTATCAAAGAGTTCGCAGTTCAAACCTGCGACAAGCATGGCATACATGATCTGCTCAGTGCAACGGCTTGGAGTTCCAGCATTGCGGTTCAAAGTTGCTAGGTCTGGATCAAGGTGTCCAAGCGCCACTATGCGACACTTCGGCTGAACTTCTCCAATGCCGCAGGCTTTGTCACGATAGCACGCTCGTGACGGCAGAATTCTTTTGGAAAGCAAGGGGTCCTTCAGAACCTTCTGAGCTTCTTCTGGTGAAAGAGGTTCTACTGAGTTCCATTCAAGCCATGAGTTGGCCTCTTTGGAGATCGCGGCCAAGAACTTGTCAACGTAGGCTGGAGGCATTGCTAAGATTGTCCTCCATGGAATCTCACGATCCAGTGCCTTCTGTTCTTGCCGAGAGAGGCCTTGCTTGTGAATTGCCATGTCTTGTGCTCTCTGTGTTTGTCTTTGATGCTTCATGCTTTGTATCTTGCTGTGTAGCTTCTGCTGCAGTGCCTGTTTGTTCTTGGCATCTTGTCTGTCAAGCTGCTTGTTGTATGTCTGCTTGCCGAATGCTTGTTGGTGAAGGGCTGGTTGTTCGTCGGGCTCTTGTTGCTGGCCCTCATGTGCTGTATTGTTGTCGTCGTCTGATTCATCTGCCGTGGTGTCTGATTCATCAGGTGATTTACCAGGGGCGTTGCGCAGGTCTTCACGGCGTTGGCTTGTGGCCCAATAGGCCTGTTGAAAAACCCTTGAGGCTGGTCCATAGCACGGCTGTGCGTGGACGTGGGTTGGATCACGGTGGATCACGCCTTGCTCATCTTGGACCAATGTTGTCATCATGGACTCAAAGTCCCGTTTTTGAGGTAGTGTTGGCAATGGTCCATCTCGCATTGGTTGTGGTGTTTCTGTTCTTAGTGGGGTGGACGTAGTAGTGATCGTCTGTTGTGGTTCTGGAGAAGGTCTATGTGTAGTTGATGTTGTAGGTGGTGTTACTTGTCGAGATTGTGGTAGTTGTAGTGGAGGTGTTGATCTCCCTGAGGAGACGCTGATGGCTTGATCATCTGCTGTGATCGGTGGTGTTTGTGGTATGAAGCCATCTGGTAGTGCTGAAGTAGGGTGTTCTGTTGCCTGCTGCCGTGTGTTGGATCCTGTTGCATTGGATCCTCTTGCCTGCGATGCCGGTGTGTGCTGATGCTCTGTGCTGCCAGGTTGTGCAGGTAGTTCTTGATATGGGTCTGCTAATGCATGCCGCTGGCTTGGTTGTGCATCAGGTGGGAAGTCCAAAGTGGCTTCCTGTGGTGAAACTGCCGTGGTGGGTGTTTGTTGAGGCGCCTGTGTTAGGCGTCTGCTTGTTGGTGTGCGGGAACGTCTTCGTGAGACTGGTGTTCCTGGCACATGTCCATATCGGTGAAACTGCTGTTGCTGGATGAGCTGGTTGGTGACTCGCTCTGGGCTGGTGTGCAGGTTGATGGTCGTGTTGTGTTGTTGTTGTTGATGGTGTGCTTGTATGCTGGTTTGTTGCATGGTTGTCGGCTGTAGATGTGGTATTTCAAGTTGTGGTTGTGGTGACATAGGTTGAATTGCTTGTGACTGTTGTGGTAGTGATGGCACTGTTAATGCCAAGGGCTCGTTCAGCTCGGCATTGATGTCGAGGTTGGCATTGGTGTCAATGGTGTCGTCATCGACCATCAGGTTGTCTGGTGGTGGTGGACCCTGCTCATCCCTCAAGAGATGGTCGCTGAACTTCTGAGAGGCATCACGAAGTGCTCAGATGTCAGCTTCTTCAGGGGTCCACTGCTCAAAACCAAATGCCGCACGCAGCTGCTCGGCGGTCACCAAAATTGAAGTCGCTCCAGTCTTCACCCAGGCTTGTTTTCCTGGATGACTTGGGTCCCAAGATAGGAACCTTGCAATCACCCAAGTGCCCCGCTTCTTCTGGCCTCTGCGGGCCCAGCGCCAGAAGGCGCAAGGTTGACCTGGCATCAGGTCTGGGATTTTGGTTGTCCTTGTCCTTCTCAGCAAGGCACGTCGAAGGTGTTGAGAAACATCAAGGTCTTAGATGATCTTGGCGGCCTCGGCTCTAACCACCTCAGCTCGAAGTCCAGCATCTGAATCCTGAAGCTGAGCAATCGGTGATGAAGAAGCCAAAACCATAGGATTGCTGAAGTTGCTGTCGATCAACCTTGGCTGCTTCCCAAAAACGGCCTGGTAGGCTGACCGTCCATGGGTGTGGATTCCTGAGTTGATGGCATGGCAGGCTGCCACGAGTGCAGTTGAGCACTGGTCCACCTGGTTGATGCCAAAGGTGTCTATCAGCTTTTCCAAAATGGTTCTCAGCAAACTGTTTCTCCGCTCAATCATGCCAATGACAAAGTGGCTCTCCGCAGGGCAAAACTCCAGTAAACATCCAAGTGCCTGAAGTCGCTCCTGGAAGTGACCACGGAAGGAGGGGTCAGGGTCTGTCATGACCTTCAAAGGGATGCCATAGGGTCGAAGCCAAAGTTGCTCAAAGGCTTCAAACACAGTGTTGGCGTGCCTGTCAGGAAGCACGAGGGCTTGATGAAACCCGGTGGCTTTGTCAGCAAAGCCCACAACCATAAACGTTGTGGCATCCAAGGTTCTGCAGTAGAAGATGTCACCCTGGACCTCATCATTGAACTGGCCGTTCAATAACTTCGGAGTTGTTGATGGTCTTGGTGCTTGAGGAGGTTTCAAACGCTGGCAAGTTGCGCATCTGAGCTTTCTTGCGCATTCATATACTTCATCTGGAACATGACCCTCATAGGCAAGGAGTCTGCAAAGCTCCTCGCGTGATGGATGTCCCATGTTGAGGTGCAAACGCGCCACTGAGGCCTTGATCTCCTGTCTGATCCCAGAAGTAAGGCCTGGGAAGTCAATGTCCGTGGGCAAGTTGGGAACCACGGTTGGTGTTGAAGTAGATGGTTGGCTGGATGGATCTACTCTTTCAAGGTCCAGCGGTCTTCGGTGTCCATAGGCAAACACCGCAAGTCTCACAGGTTTGTCAAAACGTTGCCGTGGAAAGCGGACTTGATCAAGATCCTCCACTTCCACCGCTCTGGTGTCGTCGTTGAAGCACAAGAATGAGGCTCTGGTGAAGTACTCATCCACATTGTTAGGGATTCTTCTGGTAGTTGGTGATGACACAACTTGGATGCGTATGGCATCGATGCGAAACAGACCTTGGATGGTCTGTCCCATGTCGCTCTTGGGGTCGATGTTGTAAGGTCTTTTCGCAGTTCTCTCGAAGCTCTTCTCCACATAGTCAACAACAGGGTCCCATTGAGAGAGATCCTCAGTTGGTTGTTGCACTGGTAGAGCTTCAAAAGGAGAACTGAGGCATACACAAAAGCGATGTGGTTGTCGCCGATGTAGTTCCTCATAGAGCGCTGCTAGAATGGTTCTGCAAAGCTCTTCTGGATATGCCTGAGAAGGTTTGGTCATAGATCCTTGAATGGGGACGCACATGTCCAGCTCTTCCTTGGTCATCGTGCGCTGGAGGGCCTGCTCAAGGCCAGGAAGGTTGCCCAGGAAGGTGAATGGTTTTCGTATTGGTTTGCCTTGGACCTGTGCATGAAAAGCTCCGGCTAGGCAAGTGACTTTCCAAACACCTGGAAGGCGTCCAAGGTCTTTGATCTCAGGCTGTTCCCAAAGTTCACTGTTTTGAGAGTTCTGAATCAAAAAGAAACGGTGTCCAGCATGCTGTTGTTTTGCAAGTGAGGCTGCCAACTTCAAAAGAGGATGTTGAAGTGATTGAGGCCACTCCCAGTCCTCCAGACGATGGCTGCAGTCCAGGCCCATCAAGATCAAAGCTGGTCTGAACTTGTGAAGGACTGCATGGGCTTCGGTCTGCAAAGAACGCTTCATCAAGTCTTGGCCATAGATTAAGTCCCATGGTTGAAGAGCATTCATGTAGTACTCATTGGCCAAGTAAGAACATTGTGCTTCACCTGCAAACAGCTCCCACAAATCTGCTTTGCGGATTCGATTCAGCCTGTCATGGGCCGCATGGTATACATCATGTTCTTTCTGCAACAGCTTTGAAGATCTTAGCCATTGACCTCGAAGCTGCTTCATAGTTCCTGTCTTCATGACCACACCTCCGGCTCCACGCTGTCCCAGTCGTAGATTGGGTCGTCCGGATTGGTCAACACGCCCAGCTCCATCAGGCGGGTCCAACGAGCTTCGTCGGCTGTCCTTTCCAAGGCCTCTCTGGCCTCTCTGAAGGTCTCCTCGTTGTGGAAGATGTGCTCCGCCATGGTGTTGTGAGGGCCATCCAAGGGACTGTCCTGATGGACAATCTGCCACACCTCGTAGCGCTGGTCCTCCGTCAAATGGTCCAAAGCCATCACCGTAGGGTCGAAGGTTGTCCAGCTCTCTGACTGCCTTGGCCTTATACTTGGTGGAGAACGCCGCTCTGGTTGGGGACGAATCTTCGCCGTGGCTCGGGACTTGGACTTGGGTGCTCCCAACGAAGTGGCTATGGTTGCCGAACATGGTGGAGGCAATGGTTGCGAGCGCGAGGAAGACGCGCGCTGGCCATGTTGAACCCACAGTTCCTCTGTTGGATTCCACTTCCACTTGGTCTCGCAGGTCAGGCATTGTGCATACCGACCGTGTGGGTTGCCGTACCTTCGGCACTGAAGATGCTCGCATGTTGTTGTCGATGGTCGCACATGGGTTTCCGGAGGAAACACCTGGAGTGCTGAGCGAGGCATGATGCCGAGGTTGACCAACTGCAAGATGGTGCGAAGCGCCATCATCATGAGGTTCTTGAGGCGGCTCACCACACGCTGCCATGAGACCAACCATGGAGGAGGTGCCTGGTGCATGTCGATCAAGTTGATCCGCAAAAGTCGCTTGAGAAGTCGCGGGCTCCATGCAAGACATAAACTCAGGATTTGGGTAGTGCCACATGGACTCATCTGCCAATGATTGCCAAACAGGATCATGTGCAGGTTGTTCATGAATGAAATCAAGGATGTTAATGACCATGTGACCGGCAAAACGCTGAACTTCAACTGAAACTCCTAAAACGTCAAACTCCATGCGATCATTCTTGAAGTGCAGGTGGGCCCCCAAACTTGTAAATAATGAATTGGATCCAAGGAAAGGAATGTCTTCTTCCAACAAAGCTGCTCCTAACAAAAACGATGTTCCAGAAATAGCTGATGGAAGATACACTCTTGTGGTTGAAGTTGATGGTGCACCCTTTCCAAACTTGAAACTTTCACTGATGGGGATCCGAACTGCCTGAAGACCACGTTCGTGGAGTAGTTGCTCGTGGGCTGCAAACCAAGCCTTGCCACAGCAAGTTCTTTGACATCCAGAGTCCAAAACAATGAGGCCGGCAAAGGTCTCTGATCCAACAAACTTGACTTCATTGACCACATATGGGATACCAGGGGATGGAACCAAAACCATGTTGACGTCAAATGACTGGCCGTAGGAAGGGTTGTCATACACATCGACAACGCCATGCTCATGGTGGATGAAGTTGACACTGTGGGGCTTCTTGAAGGCTGGCTGCGGACCCTTTTTCTCGATCGGCTTTGGCGACGAAGAGGATCCTTTGCCCTTGTTCATCGGACATTCTTGGTCTTTGTACCAATGTCCACGAGCTCCACAAGCAGTGCAGTGAGTGACCTTCTTGGACTCCTCAGGAGTCAGTCTGGTCGAGCCACCTTTGCCCTTGGAGTTGCCCTTCTGCTTTGCAGTAAAGAACTTTCGACCAAGGGTCAAGTTGTTCAACTTCTTTGCCGTCACAGTCAAGACGGATGCCAGCTCTTCAAGGTCATTCGCGCCTTCACCGTCATCTTCAAATCCATCATCTTCTTCACAATCATCTTGATCGTCATTGGGCTCATTCTGATCATCTTCGAATTCTTCCTCAATGGTGTCGAGGAACTCATCATCTTCTTGTTGATCATCTCCAGCATCGTGAGCTGCAACGAAGGCTCTACGTGTTGGAGCTCCACGCACGCTCGAAACAGAGCTCTGCCGAGAGGAGGCAGTAGAGGAGGTCGATGAGGATGGCATACTGGATGATGAAGTGCTACCCATAGACTTGTTCTTGCCTTTTCCCTGACCATCTTTTCCACCAGAAATTGGAGGAGCGCCACGAAACTCTGGAAACTGCAATGTCAGTGCTTCAGCCACAGATTCAAACAGCAAAGACTGTGATGTTGCAACCAAAATCATACGCTGCTGCTCATGTGTCAAGCCACTGCGATCCAAGAGTCGTGAACCCATGCTCTCATTGTCATAGGCTGCCTCAATGTTGATGCCGACTGAACGCAAACTGCGCTGCACTCGGCGAAACCGATTCACAAAGGAGCGCATAGTCTCTCCTTGGTATCGTCGGATGTGCTCAAAGTCATTGAGGTAGCGACGTTTCTGATAGATGGCCTTCTGCTCCATTGGTGCCTTCAAGGCTTCCAGAATCACCTGAACACCATCGTCAGTGTAAATCTCACTGACAGGGGTGTGCTCAAGCTCTTGCTCAGCCTCGCCCTGCAACGCATTGTACAAGCTGAGTGCTGCTTCACGCTTGCTCAGGTAAGGTGCAACCTGTAGCATCCAGATTTCAACCTTCTTGCAGAACTTATTGTATGCACGCAAGTCTGTAGCATCATATTTCCACTGAGGCGGGGACGGTGCAGTGCCGCCGCGCCAACGGATGCCCTTAGAGGGACCTTTTCTGTCATCCCAAGGCTCATCATTGTCATCCTTGTTCAAGACTTCCTTCAACTTCTTGATGGTGGAGTCGTCATCAGCAGATGATGAGATCTTGCGGGCATGCCGTTGATTGGTCACAGTCGTTGGTGATGTCCTTGCAACTCGGTCAACTGATCCATGGTGGTCAGAATGCCATGATGGGATCACAGACGGATCTTCCGTTGGAGTCTCTTCCTCGCCGCGCTCACTCCAAGCATCACCGCCCGGTCCAGGTCCAGAGTCTCCATGCTTTCGTCGTCGTCGTCGACGGTTGGCAGAGGTGGACGCTTGATGACCGTCAGGTGGAGGAGGAACATGGGAACCATATGGCATGTATGTCCAAACACCATCAGCTGTTTCACGTGTTGCAGGATTATTCGTCTGATAAAACTTGTTTGACCCACATTGATTGCAAACCCAACTGTTGCTCAACCAAGCATAAGCCGCTGAATCACAAACCAAGCAACGCCACTGAACAGAATTCGTTGGTGAATCTGACAAGGTATCGTCCTGGATCGAGTCATGTTCAACGTCGAAATGCCAAGGAGCATGATCTGACTGATCAACGACCAGGTCGCCGTTGTCGTCGAAGAACATGACAACGCAAGCTCCGGTGCCAGCTAATCGGAGTCAGATGAAACACACAAAGTGCAATGGCAAATGCACGGACTCAATGCTGCAATGTTTCACCCATCCATCGGTCACAATGCGAAAAGGTAACAACGCTCTCAGGGCCCCTTAAGCCAAGCCACAAGGTGCAAACGGTATCAGCTGGTTGACATGGATTGCATGACATTTTCAAGCGGAGTTCTACTTTTTTTTTGGGGGGTGGTTACGTATGTGTATATAAATATATATATTTATTTATTTATTTATGCGTTTAGGTATTTAATTGTTTATATATATATATGTACATATCAATCACATCAAACAAATTCCTTCCTTTCATATTCAACGTTTCATATTCAACACCCCCAGAAACCATAGTGGATGTAGAGAAACAAACATAGAAACCCAAAAAATGAGGCTGTTAATACTAGGTAGAAGGGATCATCCCATATCACATGAAACCGCCAAAATCGCGAACCGCTGCAAGGCCTCACTGCTCCTTGGCTAAGCGCGATGAAATTGCGACGAAAAGACATGGGATCAATCTGGTGAATTAATGTAATGGTAATACAGTAGTCAATATCCATTAAATCATTAAGGTTTACTATAGGTTTACTATAGGTTTACTATGACTAGGATAAATGATACAACCATCAGACTTCAAATAATGTTAGTAAAGCAAGTAGTATACCATCCCCAAAATTACCATTTTATGGTTGGGATCAAGCCATCAAATATGGCTAGTCTAGTATGGCTTTACCAACATTACCGCTTCGAAAATGCTCAATGTATATGGTTGATATCAAATTGTTATAACATGTTGTGAACACTATTATTATTATTTATTGCTATTATTATTATGGTTCTTATTATTCCAATTTAATGATAACATTTACAGTATAATCTATGAATGTGAGAAACTTTGATGAATCCCATCCCCTGCAGTTCCTATTAGTTACACCAACAGTCAAACTATTGTCCCAGTCAATGTGCAGTTTTTTGGGGCCCTCTTCATCCACGGTGGTGACTCTGCGGGGTGTTGAATGGGTTTGGACACGAAAAACTAGGACCAAACAAAACAAATGATCCTAACCCATTGCTCAATCATCACTATCCCTATCTGATTAAATCCACTGTCAAGCACATCCATACACCACTGGATTAGCACACACACATATATATATATATATATTGTTATATATATATGACCATAAAATGGATCTAAACAAAAACCATTGGTGATATTCCAATTTTTTAACGGCTATCAGTGGTCGAATCTGAACACCTGGAACACCTGGCACCATGGAACCCATGACCCGCCATCCAAGCCGCATCCGGAATGGGTGACTGGAGGCCATCTTCCCGATCTTCATAGGTGCTGGGGGGGCTGGTAGATCTCGCTGGAAATTGGCCTGTCTCCTCAGGAGATTCGGGGGATCAGAGATTCCATGAGAATGCCCTTATAATGTTAAACATATCCCTATGGATTGATCACCACCCTCCAATAAATGGGCCTGGTTACCACAACCCAACTTTTGACCGCAACATGTTTTGGGGCAGGGTCCCCGTCCTCCGTTTCCAATGGAAGCAGCACCTGGCCAAAGCGGTCTACAGGAGCACCGGCTAGGGTAACTCCTAGGGGCCTTAATGTTTGGAGTTTGCATGCGCCCGCCATGTCTATGCCAGTTCTCTTCGTTCCTTTGCATGGCATGATTCGTTGGCTGCATCAAGTTTTTGCAAATGGAATTAGTCCACTTGACTAAGCAAACTTATTCAACATTTACCAAGCTCGTTTTTCTTAAGCTTCATCCATGCGAAACGCCAAGTGTCGCGTCTCAAGGCTTCTTCACGCAGAAGTGCCAGCTCGGCACCTTAAATACCAGTCACCCAGTCGTTTTTTTGGGGGGCAGGTGATTTACAAACAGAGTGGCTGTTAAAGTATATGGTCTTAAAAAATTAGCTGATAAAACATGTTAAACATGTGTTTTCTTCATTTAGGCTTTCCAGTCTGATGGTTGAGCACCACCCCTATAACCGGATTTAGAACCACCAAAACTGAAGGATTCAACAAACCAACGCACACAGTTTAAAACAAGGAACCCCATCCTTGAAAGTTTTTGCTGTTTTCTTTTCAAGCGCCAATGAAGGTGCGCAGCATGACCAAGCCAAGAAAAAGACTGTGAGATAATGATTTCTTTGTATTTACTCATCAAGCCCGGAGGCTGATGGCCAGGATGTTTAGCGACTGAAAGGCCCGCTTCGGGAGGTAGCAGCCTATGTTTGAAATCAGGCGGCACTTTCCAAGGGGTGCAGAATAGTTTTTGGATTTTTTTTGGCTCAGGTTTTGGATTTTTTTGTTGGCTTTCTTCCCTGGTACCATCTGCCTTGTATTTGCAACAGTTTGGCACTAGAATCTGTCATTTTGCATCGTATTTGCTAAATTTTGGCATGGTCACTTTGCATTGTGAATGGTATTTGCTACTTTTGGCCATGATTGCCTTCCATTTTGCATGGTATTTGCCACGCTTTGGCACTTCAACCTCTCATTTGCATGGTATTTGCTACATTTTGGTACTTCAAACGTTCATGTGGGTTTCTTGAGAGTTTCTTTAGGGTTTCATTTAGGGTTTTTTCATTTAGGGCTTCTTTAGGGTTTCTTTAGAGTTTCGTTTGGGGTGTCTTTAGGGTTTCATTTAGGGTTTCATTTAAGGCTTATTTAGGTTTAGGGTTTCTTTAGGGTTTCATTTCAGGTTTCATGTAGGGTTTCTTATCAGGATTTCTTATCAGGATTTTCAAACGTTCATGTTTCAGTTGGGGTTTCAGGGTTTCTTTAAGGTTTCTTCAGGGTTTCATTTAGGGTCTTATTTAGGGTTTCATTTACGGTTTCATTCAGAGTTTCATTTCAGGTTTCATTTAGGGTTTCTTTAGGTTTAGGGTTTCTTTAGAGTTTCGTTTGGGGTTTCTTTTGGGTTTCATTTGTTTTTTTTGAGAGTGTCGTTTAGGGTTTCTTCCGGGCGTCATTTAAGGTTTCATTCAAAGTTTCTTTAGGGGTTCATTTATGGTTGCTTTAGGGTTAATTTATATGGTTTCTTTAGGGTTCATTTAGGGATTCATGTAGGGTTTCTTATCAGGAGTTCTTATCAGGATTTCTTTAAGGTTTCTTTGGGTGTCACCTAGGGTGCTTGCAAACAGCAGAGAATAAAGCAAAAGAAAAGAAAAAACAAAGAGGCAGTAAAGATAGGAAGCAGAGAAGCAGAGGAGCAGGAAGTAGAGCAGCAAAAACACATGACTGAAGAAAAGAAAAAGTAGAATAGTAAAAGTAGAAAGGCACAGAAGCACAAAAGCAGAAAAGCAGAGAAGCAGGGAAAGCAGAGAAGCAGAAAAGAAAAGCAGCAGGTAAAGCAGAGAAGCAGACAAGCAAACAACCAGAGAAGCAGGAAAAGCAAAAAGCAGAAAAGCAGAGAAGCAGGAAAGCATAGAACCAGGAACCCAAAAATAATTCCAGAACCTGCCGCAAAAAAAATACCAAAATAAAAAGCCCTGCCTTTCGACCGGAGCGCGTGAAAGATTGGGGCTACATTCTTTTTTTGAAATTCATTGTGTTTATATACGTATGTTTATATCCTCTGAAACTGCACCCTCCACACACACAGAAACCTCGACCGGTGAAATCCTCTTGTTTCATGGGGGCAGCGAAGCTGGTTTCCGCCCATGGAGCCTGGAATCACGGAGTTTTTCACCTTGTGATTAGCAATAGCATACGGTCTGAAATGTAACATGAAAGGTAATTAAAGGTTTTCGGAAGATCAGTTCAATCGAAAAATAGCTTTAATCTTGCATTACCTTCGATTTCATAGGTGTTCCAGTTGATTGACCTCCGTAAGCATCTGATTCCTTCCCATCCTCGCAACGATCCTCTCAGCATTCGGCGGTAATAATCTGAGTTTGGAACGTAGAATTTGGAACTCTTCCATCACCTGAGTCGCAGCCCCTCCCATCTTGGGCCAACCATCAACGATCATCAACCCCAACAAACAAGAATACACACACACAGATTGCTCCATGTTCGATTTGTACAACATGTATCAATGTATGCCGTAAATGAGCACAGGTGGGTACATATGCCACACATGGGTATGGGATGGCTTATCAAATCCCATTGGAAGCCCGAGCCCCATGAATTGAGCAACTTCCCTAAAGCTTCAGCATGACTGCGGGCCTGGACTCCCACCTTCTACCACCCAACAAGTTGGGGGGCCACCCAGTTTTTCTCCATCATTCCCATCCAATTACTGGAATGCCTCCTTTTTGATATGCATAAGATACACTAACATATTACCCTCTGGTAAACTTTCACATAACTATAAATGGAAAACACAATTTTCAATGGGTAAATCCACTATTTCTATTACCATTTTCCTCTTGCTATGTAGCAAATTACCAGAGGGTACAATTTGAGGGACAACCGAGTATGATTGAAAGAATCGTGAGATAGGATAGGGAGATCATTAGTGACATTTATTGATATTCTTAACATATGGGTTTGTCTGAAAATAGTGTACCCCTACACCCAATGGTTAATGATCATTATCCCTACTAAATGGCTATAATTGGGAATATACCCTATTTTCAGACAAACCCATATTAAAATGATGTTTTGAGAGGAGCATGATCCTTCAAAGCCATCCTTGGTGAGGCTTCCTTGGAAGAGCTGACGCTCTTCCGGTAGCTGGGTGGCATCCCAATCCAAGGTGAGCAGGCTAAGCCGAAGCGCTCATCGAGTGCGAAGAATTGGCTCATCGAAGATCACAGGTCACAAAATATGGTAAAATCATGGTAAATTCATGGTAAACTATGGTAAACTATGGTAAAGTCTATGGTAAAATCCCAGCCACGCAACAACTCAACATTGGTAACATGGAACTTCTGGGATAATTTATGGCTCCCAAGGCGGCGCACCTTGGTTCCGTTGGATTGCAATGTTTGTTGCACCACGGACTGGGCTGTCTGGTGCCCTTTGGGAAACCCAAGCCTATAGAGGAACCTTCAAACCACGGCCCATTAATGGTTGATGATTATCTATGGTTAATGGTTAGAAAGTATCTATCTGGTTGGTGGTTGACCTACCCCTCTGAAAAATGATGGAGTTAAAGTCAGTTGGGATGATGACATTCCCAATATGATGGGAAAGTCATAATCCAGCCATGTTACAAACCACCAGCCAGTGATGCATATTGATGTGGTGGAGCTCCTGAAAAAGTCGTTTTTCACAGATCACAACTATTACATAAGTGGCAAATTTGGAGATGGTTTAGTTCACTTGTCAATCCCTGAATTCATCCTACGTGCGGATGGAGGGGATGGGATGGGATGGATGAGATGCACACGCATATGTCCCGCATCATGACCAGTCAGTAGCATCGGGTTTTATGCCCATCTCCCTTACCCAGTCGACACTAATTTGCTCAAGTGAAGCATGTTCCTCATGAAGGAGCCACGCAGCCATGGAATTGGGGAACCATCATTATTATTTTGACAGGGAAAAAACAATTTAAACAAACAACGCAAACAACCAGATTTAGGGTCTTCCGAAGTCTGCAAAATGGGGTTCATGAGCGGCATTGCGGGATTAGTCATTAGTCTTCGTCTTAGTGACAGTACAATGTGACAGATTTGGCGCGTCAGTCTTGAGCGAAACGCCATCAAAGGAGGAAAACAAATGGATCCGCTTCAAAGAAATGTGACAAAAAAATATGAGAAAGTAAAAAAAAACACCTAACACCTTTCCCATCAGCTACCCGCAACATAGCTATTGAAAATGATGTAATGTGGGTAAAACGATGCCATAAACCAGCCATTTGGGAATGGTTTATATATACCACCTATAGAACAAATGTGATGACTGGGGGCTGGTTTATGGCATTGTTTTACCACCATTAATCACTATTCAGTTATATACATATATATAAATACGATCATCATTATTGATACCACAAACCCCATTCATTCCCCATTATAGTTGGTTTTACCACCATTTGTATTAGGTTTACCTATATCTTACCACCATTTATAGTTGATTATAGTTGGTTTTACCACTATTTTACCACCATTTATAGTTGATTTACCTATATTCAGACTGGTGATTCTCCAGTTCGCTATCTTCGTTCCGGGCCGTTTAGAACGCGGGCCTTGATCACTCGAGACTGTTCCTTCACGTCCTGGCAGCGTCATGGAATCAACGCAGAAATATCTGTTGAAAGTTATTACACGTGCCACATGTATATGCATATAAACAAATAAAGAGAGAGATATATATATATATTATAATATTTAAATACACACATATATATATAATATAAAAATACATATTTTATATATGTAATACCCGCAATTATTACATCATCGTTTTTTTAACATAATTCTATTTGACATTAACCTACACAAATCATCGTTTTTTACACGACATTTACCGTTAAATGAATGTGCCTTCACCGTAGCCGTGTTCTTGCCCCGGAGGTTCAGGATCGTGTCCATGAGGTTGGTGAAATCCATGCCTAAGGGTGTCTCGGGGTGGGTTAAAAAAAATCCGAACTACCCTCTGGGAATGACTAACATAGCTATTGAAAATGGCCATAGAAATAGTGGATTTACCCCCCCCAAAAAAATTGTGATTTTCCATAGCTTTTTGTATGTTTACCATGGGAATTTGACCAATGGATATTGAAATCGGATATGGAAAATGGGATATTGTTTCTACCTCTTTTTGTCACTTAGGATATTGAAAATGAACATAGAAATAGTTGACTTGCCAGACTCGACTAGACTTGGTGATTTTCCAGTTCGCAAACTGTAAACATTTACCAGAGGATAACAGAACATATGCTCAGTATTTGCTACATATATCCCCAAAAACATCAAACCAACTCTGGGATTAATGGCTGGTTGGTGGTTGGAAGATATGTGAGATGGAGTATGCACCTGACAACATGTGGCTGAGACATGAAATTGCAGTCGAACTGATGCAACCACGAAAGCGTAGATTCGAACAACAAAGGCGACATAAACTCCATAATTGGAAAATCATATATATATATACATATACAAGGAGAAAATCCGGAACCAGAATCTGGAAGGGATAGAATTTGCCTACCACGTAGATTGCTGGTTGCGAGCATACAGTAACATTCATTTCACCCCAGGATTCTCCATGACAGCATAAAGTTCGTCTTTCACATAGGGTGTGGAGCCGCATTCAAGAGTTTACTAATAAGTCATCACAAGTCACTCAAGTCACTTCTCAAAAAGGATGGACCCCTCATCAATTTCCCGAACCACCACCCTTAAAGTGGCCGGATATGATGCACAGATATGACAGTTTCTGCCGCAAACCTCTGAAAGCTCGATTCCCAACACTTTGCTTCAGCCCTGGAATTCGAATACTGACGGAACCAAGGTTTGACTACATATCGTTTGAGGCCACTGCAGCCAGCAAATGTCACTTTGGTGCAGTCCAAGAGGCTCATGCCATGCTTGCTGAAATCCTCATAGATGACCTGTTCTTGTCAATGCTTTGGCTGTTGGCATGTCAAATATTTAGGGTATCTCAGGAATTTCAGCCGCTGACGGTATCCAATATGCTCCATGTATGAAATGAATGTATACACGTATCATTCATTATTATCCATAATTATGAGTTATGGTCCATGACTGTCCATTATTACCCATTATTTTCAATAATCATCCATTATATATCATAATGTACGACTATTTATCATTACTCATACAATTGTTTACCTACATTTGGGTCATTCAACAGATTTCAAAAGTGTCTTAATCTCCCACAGATTAGAGCCTTTTCGCTACGACGAAGTACCAGGACAAGCAATGTATACTGTAAATGATTCGACGTCAGCCAGGATGGACAGCGATGTTGGCTTCAACGATTCGTACTTCTCCATGTGCCTAGTTTCTGGAGGCGCCTCATTTACCTATCTCAGGCTCATAGCAGTACCCCGCCAAAAAAAATGGCGGCTATGACATATTCACCCATATACCCATAGGATCCATGGTGCTGGTATATATGCTAACATTTGGGGTATATTGATGGTAAATGTCATCATATATAGCATACATGGATCCTATGGGATAAGAGGAAACCATGAACGACCCTTCACCCCAAATCCACCCATCGATATTGACCAGGATCATCCCATTTGGTAAGTCCCAAAAAAGTGGGTCATCCGCGAGAGTTTCATAAATGGTTTGAAACATGTTATAACCCCAGTTACTGACCACTTACGTAAGAGGATTGATCCTCCAAAATGAAATTCCGTCAATATTCCATTAAACATTTAACCATGAATATATATATAATGTATATATATATATCACATGTATATTTGTATGTTATATACATGACATTTGGTGTATATTACATGTAATTAACCATATTCCATGAATACTATGTATATACCATGAATTATCTACGAAGTGGGGTGATCCTCCAAGTCCAGCTGACACATCCACACCTCTGCTGTGTCCGCCAGCCTCGAAATAAATGAAGGTTTCAATGGGGTGATACCGTGATACCCTTTGATATTTGGCATTTTAATATGCAAATGCCCTATGTAGTGCGATGAGAGACCTATATGAACAAGGGTGATTTCAATAGCCGTGTTACCAAATGGCAATCAATCTGGCTGAATACTCTATAATTCATCAGTAGCAGAATTTTAGGAATATTCCCTTACTAACCCTCTGTGACGTCGCAGTGAGGTTGTGATAATTCAAAATAATTCATCTTTGGATGCGCTGATTTATCGTAACCCCCATATGTGGAAACGTAAGCATTCCAGTAGGATATGACTTTTCCATTTTTTTCAGGGTAGCTGGAAACGCGTTTTATTCCCCACCTGCCAGGTGAGGGTTGTTAGAGTTTATCAGAGCTGTTCTCCTCCTCCGCCTCCGCCTCCGCCTCCTCCACCTCCTCCGCCTCCTCCTCCACCGCGAGCTCCAGATCCCAGTGGGCACTGCCGGACCTCCACCGCGAGCTCCAGATGCCAGTGGGCACTGCCGGACCTCCACCGCGAGCTCCAGATCCCAGTGGGCACTGCCGGACCTCCACCGCGAGCTCCAGATCCCAGTGGGCTGCCGGACCTCAACCGCGACTTCCAGATCGCAGTGGGCACTGCCGGACCTCCACTGCGACTTCCAGATCGCAGTGGGCACAGCCGGACCTCAACCGCGACTTCCAGATCGCAGTGGGCACTGCCGGACCTCAACCGCGACTTCCAGATCGCAGTGGGCACTGCCGGACCTCAACGGGAAGAATGCGAGAAAAGATGTCAGATAGAATGTCAGAAGATATGCCAGATAGAATGCCAGAAAGAATGTCAGAAAGAATGTCAGAAGATAAGCCAGACAGAATGTCAGAAGATATGCCAGAAATCAGAAGATATGTCAGATAGAATGTCAGAAGATATGCCAGATATATAGAATGCCAGAAAAAATGTCAGAAGATATGCCAGATAGAATGTCAGAAAGAATGTCAGAAGATATGCCAGAAAGAATGTTCTGAATGCCACAAGATATGCCAGAAAGAAAATCAGAATATCTGCCAGATAGAGTGCCAGAAAGAATGTCAGAAGATATGCCAGATAGAATGCCAGAAAGAATGTCAGAAAGAATGTCAGAAGATATGCCAGATAGAATGTCAGAAGATATGCCAGATAGAATGTCAGAAGATATGCTAGATATTTCTTTCCAGAGCTGTGGAGTATGTAGCTATATATGTCATGGTGGGGATCATTCGAAGTGACGTATTTTTTTTACTTGAGTATCCTGCAGATACCCTCCGATTCTGGATTTGGGACAAATTAGAGTGTACAACCCCAAGGAAAAATGGATGCCTCTACCATGCCTCCCCAGTGATTGAACCAAAATCTGTCTGGTGCAAAACCAGGCCCTTCTGCTGATGAGACCTGACCCTGAACATCCACATCTTTTGGTCATATTGGGACGTTCGTTTACCCAGACAAAAGGTGAACACAAATGAGAAATGTACCCTCCGGTAAACTAACGTAGCTATTGAAGATTGCCCATTTATAGTTGATTTACCTATTTGGCTGTTGGCATGTCAAATATTTAGGATATCTCAGGAATTTCAGCTGCTGATAGTATCCAATATGCTCCATGTATGAAATGAATATATACACGTATCATTCGTTATTATCCATTATTATGGATTATGGTCCATGACTATCCATTATTACCCATTATTTTCAATAATCATCCATTATATATCATAATGTACGACTATTTATCATTATTCACCACTATTTATCATTATTTACAATTGTTTACCTACATTTGGGTCATTCAAAAGATTTCAAAAGTGTCTTAATCTCCCACAGGTTAGAGCCTTTTCGCTACGACGAAGTACCAGGACAAGCAATTTACCCTCTGGTAATTTAACATAGCTATGGAAAATGGTGATTTATAGTGGATTTTCCCATTTAAAATTCGTGATTTTCTATAGTTATGCTAGTTTACCAGAGGGTATCAAGCACTAGTAACATTATTAACCTTCAAGGGAACTGAAAAATGGACTGCCTTATTTACAGCATTGCCAAGCGGATAACTTCTCTGGATCATTTCACAAGAATCCTCAAGATGTTCCCTTCAAAAACATTGGTTACCATCCGACAATCAGTCATGGCTGGCTGATGCCATCGGCTGATGCTGGCTAAAATACTTGTTGATGCAGCACCACCTTGCAATTGATAAATCATGGCAATCATGGCAAACCCAGAAACTTATGTATTACTTGTTCAATGTATTTTCTCACTGGATTGGTTTAAGGGAAAATTTACAGGAAAGCCCCATATTTAATGGGAAAATCTATGGTTTCCTGTAGATTTTCCCTTAAACCAATCCATTGATTTTCTCATAATTTCCAAGCTGTTCCCATTATGAACCCTATTTTCCCTATGTTTCGCAACTTAAAAAGGTGATCCAAGCGAGCAACGCCACCACATCCACACCGATGTCCCGGAGGAGTCGATCCACCCTGCGTTTTTTGTTCGTTGTTTTGCAGGATTCAACCAGCATAACTATGGAAAATCACCATGGAAAACCTTCTGGTAAAAATCGGTTATAGGTAACAATCAATATGGGATAACTGTTTACAATCAAATTAACATAAATTAACTATATTAAAACTTACTAACCCTCTGTTTAACAGAAGAAACAGCAAATGGATAGACTCCAGTGGACTGTGGCACCACAGTTCAGCAGATGCAAGAAGTGCTTGGTTCATCTTGGTTCCATGCTGATGTCACCCGGTAATTTAACATAAATATGGAAACTATTTTATAGCTGGGTAAATCAACTATAAAAATCTATAAATGTCAATTTTCAATATCCTAAGTAACAAACAAATAGAAACAATATCCCGTGACATACCCTAAAACAAATTGGTAGAAACAATATCCCATGACATATCCTACTTATTCAACAATTCATTTTCCCAAATGTTGAATGTCATGGGATATGTCATGTTAAATGTGATAAGAATGATTTGATTTCACCAACACAATGGGGTCTCTCTCGTGGTGATTTTACAAACCCATGGGATCACAACGTTTTGGGGGAAATCACCATGACTGTATTGATGAGAAATCATGGGGTGGTTACAGGCCTGGGGGTGGTATTTGAACATTTGAAGCGTGTCTTGGCAAAAGAGAACATGCAAGGGGGAGCACACTGGAAAGCACCATAGTTATATAAATAGTTGGAGGGTAAGAATATCGGAAAAAACAAGTGACGACTTGAATCAAACAAAGACATGGTTTCATAGATATTTTTTGTTGAAATCAACCCATTGAGCACTGAGTCCTACAAGTTCTTGGTTTCCTGGTTGTTGCAATGGGATTCTTTCTACATATGGTGTTTTTTTTGCAGAGATGATACTAGTGTTGACGATTCTTCGAGAGTCTAGGTAAATTAACAAAGCGACAAGGACCCCCTAATCAAGCGCTAACCCAGCATAGAACAGTCACCACCACCGTTCTTGCCACCACCCTATGGGATTATAGGATTCCACCGGGTGGGGGTCAGCTCTACTATGATTACCAAGGCCTACCCAGTGAAATATCATTATGTTGTTTGCTTCTTGAAACATTCCAAAAGATACCTGCCCATAGCACATAAGAATCAGCTAAATAAAGTAATTCTAGTACATGGTGTCAACCCATCTCAAAAATGTTTGTCATGGGGGATATCGTTCCAAAGAGGCTTTCAATACAGCATATACCATTTATTTTGGCATGAAACCCTGAAAACTTGGGGCTGGAAGATTATGTTTCTCTCAAATATGTCGAGTCCCATGTTAAATTGACCCTCTATAGAGAAAAAATGTCACCCCAATCCACCCCGTTGAAATCGATGATTTTCCCGACTATCAAACCTCCACGAATGCCATGTTTGACTACGGGTCAGGATGTTTTTTTAAGCATAACCAACAAATGTCCAGCCCCAAATGTCCAGCCCCAAATGTCCAGCGCCCCAGCCCTGCGTCACAGTTTTTGATTCCAAGCGACTCTTCCTCTCGAAGGAGTTGCCGGAACTCACGCTGCGACAATGGCACTTCCTGATGCAGGGTGAAGCTGTGGGAGCAGGGTGGAATCTTTCCAGATCTTGAGATGGGTTGAAACTAACCATTTCAAAAGATTGGTTAATACCCTTCAAATGCGTTTGTTTCTCCAAAATAAGGCTAATCCCCTTTTACGCGCCGTGTCTGTGAGCGGTCTTGGTTTTTTTTTTGATCTTTCAAGATTGAATCATGGATGTGTCATGTCTTGTCTATGGAGGGGGGCATTCCTTATAGGGACACTCCTACAGCATTCCTTGTCGTTCATCTTAAGTACAAATAATTCCATTTCATTTCAAATAATTCTACTTTATTCCAAATAAGGATGTTTATTTATTTTCCATTCCAGATTCCAAAAAACATCACATAACTATTTTTCATACATGTTTGATTTCTTAAAACATGATTTAAAGAATTTATGAGATTGTTTGAGTTGTTTTTGTTGATTTTGTTTGTTGTATTTTGATTATGTGATTTTTTTTGTTTTTGTTGTTGATGCGTTCTTTTTCTTTCTTGGAACGTTTTGGATTGTCTTAGACTGTGTGATGTTGTGTATTGTTCTTAAGTGTTTGGCTTGTTTTTTAGTTGTTATGTTTTGTGTATTTTGTTTGAACTGTTGGATTGTTTCTTTTTTAATTGTTTGGCATCTTTGAGTGTTTTTCATGTGTTATTATGTCTGAGTTTTTGTTGATGTTTTGTTTTTTGTTTTTTGACAGGATAGCAACTTTTAGGAGTAGCCCTGTTGGGAGTAGCCCAAGGCTCTTTATATAATGATCATGTTTGCCTGCAGCCGTTTGGTAGGTTTGTGTGAGTGTATCATTTTAACATTGACGTAAATGGAGCGTCAGAAGCATCGATGTGTTCAGGGTGTGTTATCATCATTTGTTATTTCAAGATTCAGTGACCTTCTGTTTCATTAAGTTGATACCTGTTTCTGTAACATGTTCCAATGTACATTTCCCATGAATTTCATGTTCGCCAGGTTCAACCCATGCCATCCAGAAGTCGGGACATGTCAACCCATGGGTCCAAGTTTTAACATACCTGGTTGTGCGAAAGATCCTGCAGGATTGGGGATGAACCCGGCCTGGTAAACCTACAAAAAGCTATTGAAAATGGCCGTTTGTAGTGGATTTACCCATTAAACATGGTGATTTTCCATAGTTATGTGACAGTTTACCAGGAGGGTACTATACGCAGCCAAAGAATCCTAACGAGAAAAAATGGAAGTTGCGTCCTTGATGATTTCTTCCCAGATCAAGGCCCAAGGAATTTTCTTAGCCCCCCACCCCACCCCCCATGCGGACCACAGCACCTCTAACAGGGCGAACCTGTTGCAACATTTCTTCTACATAAACGAATGCATCATATTGTAGATTCATGGAAAACCCAACATGTTCATAATCATGTCCAAAGGGAAACTGGGGGTCTTCATGGGATTCAGCATCTGCGTTTATTTGCTAGGATTGGGATACATCCTTGCGACACGCTACATTGGCATGCTTCAAGCACCACAGAAACTCCACACATCAATTAATGATAACTACACCCGTTTTTTTTTGTTGGTGGTAACTTGGAATCCCAGCAAACACACATGTATAAGAATGAGGCACCAAAAAAAAATCAAACCAACGACCCAAGTCATTTCTTACCCATCTGCTGAACACATGTACCCTACACAAGAAACACCCATATCAATCCCAGTGTGTTGTGATCGTATGACCATCTGGTTAAGAAAGATATTGAGACAACTGCTAACCAAGACCGCAGTCTGATGCAACTGTCGTGCTGGTGAGGGCCAAAATCAAATGCGCACCACAAACTGCTGTCTTTGCATGGTTTTGTCGAATCCCCATGTGATTATTTGCTGGTCAGCTGGTCATTGTCGAACATCCCGGAGAAAACATGCATCAACAACAGCAGTGTTCAATTTGCTTGATAGGAATTCCCCGAATGCATGGTGATAGTCCCGGTTTATTGGTCAGTATATATAATCCCTTATAATCATCAACCCACTGGACTTTGAACACTGATCAAGTAACAAACCCAATGCACAACTGGCTGGACGTTCCAAGGTCCAAGGGTCTGTGCTGTAATTCAACTGGTGCATAATGGCTCTCAGACTTGTAGCCACATAAGACCTGGGATGTGGCGAAAATGGGCGTAACCTGCTGAGGTGCACTTGTTGCAGGCACACAAGCACGCACACAGCTGTGTATCTATATGGTAGGCACTGCAACAACAACAACAACAACAAGAAGAACAACAACAAGAACAACAACAACAACCGCATGTACGTTCCCTGGCCCTAGTACCTACCCCAAAAAAAAAATATGTCTCTGAGACTTTCGCACAACTGCGTCAGCCGCCAAGCTACACCGTCATCCCCTCCTTCTCAGTGGAGGAAATCACCGTCATCACCTCCACCAGTACGCCCACCTCACGGTGGAAATCGGTGGAAGTTTCTGAAATCAACAAATCCATTTGGAATTAACATATCTACCCCCTGGTAAACTAACATAACTATGGAACATATCATTTTTTCATGGGAAAATTCACTATAAACGGTGATTTTCCATAGTTATGTTAAATTACCAGAGGGTATATGGATATTGAATGAACTTGGATGCTTGGAAGTGCAAGTTTCTAGGTTTTCAAGTGGATAGATTTCACCATAGTTGTGGGGGTTATATGGATATATGTATATCTCAACAAACTTGGGGCTTATACCATGGTTATAGCCCTAATAAAAAGTAACCTCAACTGAACCCACAAGTACCATCTGGGCTCAACTTATGGGTTTCCCGTTGAAACGATCGATCTGTTACAGTAGTTGCCTGGAAGGAAACTAAGCGATGGAACAGAATCATACTGAAAAACGTTAATTCTATGTAGAGGTTTCCATAAATATGGGTACCCCAAAATGGATGGTTTATAATGGAAAATCCGATTCTATGTTTTTCCCAATCAACATCAACCTCCACAAACATCGCAGCCAAGACACCAACATGTACATGATAGTGACCTCGGCAATCATATCTTCCAAGAATCGGGCGAGAGAGGCATGGACCCGCGAGGGGGTTAAAGGAACCGGCTAGCCACTAGCTTTGGTCGTCTCGACGCGCTCATCGTTAAACGCCTTTACTTTGGGGAAGGCCCAATCCGGAAGAACTTTTTGATGGTGGAAATTCTGCCTGATCTCAGATATCGCAAGGGATGGCCACCCCATCTTTCTTCTCACGCCTACATGTGAGTCCCGATCAGTGTCCACGCATGTGTGCATATATATATATATATATGTATGCATATTCTATTAGCACAATGTGTGAAGAAATGGAAGCATCACTCCCCGCAACTAGAAATTGCCATTGTGGCGACTCATTTCTGTCAATGCAACCCATTTTGTGTTGGACCCGCTCGTCTCCCAGTCAGTTCCAGTTTCTTGAGAGTAGAACATACAGCGTTGAAACCACCAGCAAGCACCCTTCGTTAATTTCACATAGCTATAGAAAATGGAACATCTAAAGATTATTTACAGACCTAGCGAAAATATGTGAAAATTGTGATGGCCCATTCAAAGATGATTTACCTACTAAACCTGGTGATTTTCATGAATTTTCCACAGCTATATGATGCTATATGTTCCACTACCAACGGGTAATGGATGTAGATAACTTCCCCATTTCCGCCGAGCTTCTGATGCCAGGAGCACGAAGAACCTGCCGGGGCAGGTCCTAAAAACCACCCATGTTTCGATGGTTGAAATCCCACACATAAACATACTAATATTGGGGATGGTGGTTCCTATAGAATGACAAATTGGTATATAGATAGAACGGCATGGATGCAACATCCGTGAATGATTGTTCATAGACAAATTCCGTGAATGATTGTTCATAGACAAATTGATGATAATGGCAGAGCCATGCGGAGCTTATAATTGGTTTAATCAATTGGTAATGTTGGAATGTTTTTCACCATTTGGTATGGTTTGGTTCAATTACCAAATCTGACATTACCAATTATAATTGGAACAATTACCAGATTGGTAAGTCGAATTTGGTGTGGTTCACCCCAAGTCAGCATCAATGCAGCCAAGTTGCACCAGGATCAGCCAAAAGGCCCAGTGAGCATAGCCTGGCACCCATGGATTTTTTCCAAGACGTGTCTGTACAACGTCATCATCCACCAAAGTGGCAGGTCAAAATGGTTAAAACGATTGGATGTATATATATATATATTGTATATAGATATATACCATCATGTAGCTGCGGAATATCTGGAAGCCAACGTGTGACGGCATCCGTTCATGTTTAAACAGTCTATCCAGGCTGTCAGCATTGCCCTCTGGTAAACTATCAGCTTGCTATTGAAAGTTGCCATTTATCGTTGATTTCCCCATTAAACATGGTGATTTTCCAGTAACGTAAACGTTTACCAGAGGGTATCCCCCGAGCAAACGAACGAAAAAAGGAAGCGTAGCCAAGATAGCAAGCATTCCAGCCGTGGACTCGGGCGACGAACATCCCAACAGCTTGGTAGCCCTTACAAGAAACAGGGCTACCATATAGGGCTATCCCATGTCCGTGGATAACCCCACTTACTAACATCTAATCAGTTGAGTGGGTCAAACCGCCAACCCGGCCCAGGACGGACACGGTCAAAACTGATTCGAAACCTCGGATGGTTTGATGATTTTCTGAGGGCTTTCGCACGGCAGTTTCTTAAATGACAAGGAGTTTCTGTTTGTGTTTGTTGCGACTCCACCTTAGCATTCTATTGTTTACAACTTGTGGTAAAGTATAACACAATTGTGGGAGGCCTCATTGTGGGCAGGTATCCCCATACAACATTGAACTGAAATAACATTAATTTATACATCTTTGCATCAATTTACATCCCATGAACACGCACTTCCGAAACGGAAAACACACACACACATATATATATATATATATATAAAATACATATATAGGCCTAACAAATATATACCTTGTTTAAAAGATGAAATCCCACATGTACTTTGGGGATCAACAAAAATCCGTTGGCTTTTGAACCTGGCTCCTGTCCGATGTTCGCTGCCTGCTTCGTCCACGAGATCGGCTTGGCCCGGAACGATCCCGCTCAAACTTAGTCGGCATCGGCATCTTAATTCGGCGAAGAGAAATGCATATCCCCACGGTCAATGGATTGGTTTAACGGAAAATCTTAACCGGAGACCATGGTTTTTACCATCAAATATAGGGTTTTCCTGTATTTTTTTCCATCATCCAATTCTATGATATAGGGTTTTTAGGGCAAAAGTGAAGGTTCAGTCAGCAGCAATTGGCGTTTCAACAGTTTCAGCCAACCAAAATTTGAACAAGCTATATCCGAAGGACACTCTGAATATTCATACCCTGTTCCCTAGAAGAATATGCATACAAATACGTGTGGGTATATGTATATATATATATATATTATATATATATATATTATATATATATATTATATATATTTATATATATATTTATACGTGTATATAAATACATCTCTGTATGATTCTGTATGTCTTTGTTGTTTGTGCGCGCATCTTGATCATATACACACTTACACATGTCCTCGTAACGTACGTATTAAAAATACACGTGAAATCATGTGAAATCCCAATCTCATCGGTACATCATGGAAAATCGTCATTTTCAGGGTGCAGTTGAAAAATTGCTGGGGCATCCAAATTTGCGTTCCTGCCCCTTCACCCTTGCATCACGGAGCCCGCCAAAGCAGTATGCTGCATGCTATATAATGCTATATAATGCTATATAATGCTATATAATGCTATATATATATATACGATACCAGAATTCACATCTGTATCATGGATATATGTGTTAATCTTAAAAAGTCGCTTAAACGTTCCAAACAATTCTATATCATATCATTTCCCCAGGTCTGGAAGTTTTTCTGGCCAAGGCCGCAGGCCCCGCAGGCAAGGCCCTGGCAAGAGCGTGACCATGGCATGCGATACGGTCGAGAAGCGCTTGGTGCCAAAGTCATAGCCTGCCAGTATCTGCCAGCGCTAAGTCTGAGGGGGCAACCGAAAGCGTGAAAGCAGTGCAAGGCGAGTGCACCGAGGCAGCAAAGACTTTGGAACACATTTCATAGTCTCTATAATATTTATGTATATATATATATATATGATATATATGTTTTCATATAAATATATATATATATATATTTATTTATATCACAACCCCATGGTGGGTTGCAACTGCAGATTCAACTGCCCCTGAGACTTTTCAACAATTGCTTGGTTTGAGCACTTCCGGGGTCGTATTTGCGATTCTGAAAAAAACATCAACAATCACCAATCACCAAAACAACACATAAACAACATGACCTAACAAAAAACAACAACAAATATCAGCAAATACGATACACACATTCACACCACAGCACCCACACATTGCCACAAAAGCCCTCCCGGGTCCTGCGGTGGTTTGTCGAAGGACGATGGCGAAAACGTAGATGATCCTCGTGCTGTTTACACAAGTGGCCATGGTCCCAATGGTAGCGCAATGGTAACCCAATGGTAACCGAAAATAGCTGGCTAATGGATGTTTATTCCCCAAATATGGTGATAATATGTGATAAATAAGTTTTGACTCATGATGTCATCCCCGTGTTTCATGTGGGGTATTTACACATTTACATCCATTTATGGCCCGAAAGGCTTTGACATGATCTGCTACTTTCTTTGGACGGAAAAGGCCGAGAAGTACGGACGCCCAACAGCACCACTTGATGGATTGGAAGATGGCATCCGACCGCGGGACTAGAAGATGTAGGAAAATTGGGTCCAGGGGAGTCCAGGTGATCTTGCTACCCAGTTACACGCTGTTTCCCATCTGTTTCTGTTATTTCTCCGATTATTCAAACCATCCAGCCGTTTGAAGTTGTCCTTTGCCGTTTATAAACATGTGCGCCCTGGTTGCCTTGCTTTTATCATGTCATATCTTGGTAGTCAAACTGTGCCGTTAACAGTTTGGGTCATGGCCAAATTCCAGACCCATTGGAGGGTTAGTTGATCTAAGATGATCTAACAGTTTTGGAACCAAGCCTGTCTGGTAGCCAAACAAAACGTCCTAAATAATACAAAGTATCCTCACAAACTTTGCAACCTTGATCCGTTTTCTCTTGTACCAAAAAAAACTTTATCCTAGTTGTAGCCCCTTCACAAGAGACTTTCTTGGCATTTCAAGTTTCCCATGCCAAGCTCACCCCACAAATCTCAGTTTGGGCCCGAAAATGCCAAGGCTCATCGTCCAAAGTAGGAAGAAAACTAAAACCGAACGGGCCGCGAAACCAATGCCCTTGATGATGATGACCTGGCTTGGTTGTTGATCCCATGCTGACAGGAGACGCTTTTCATGGTATGAGTTTGATGATATAAATCCGATCATTTCGTGTCCAACTGAACAGGAAAAAATGATGGCCGGGTCACTTCAATATTCTTGGTTTGAGGGAGCCTTGAGCCTTGAATTTTTGGAAAAAGCAGTCGGGTATCCCATGTTGGCACCTGTTCTCAAAACTCATGGTCTTCGCCAAGCTCCCCTCCCCCAAAAGGGTACCGCTCTTTGGGAGCGCCGCCTTCGCTACACATGCTTTTGTAATCTATTTTTACAAATCTTCGTAAAGAAAAAGAGAGGAAAGGAAGAGGGAAGGAAAAGGAACGGAAGAGGAAAGGACAAGGAATTGTAGAGGAAAGGAAAAGGAAAGAAAGGGGAAAGCAAAAGGCAAGGAAAGGAGGCAAGGAAAAGAGGCAAGGAAAGGAGGCAAGGAAAGGAGGCGAGGAAAGGAGGCAAGGAAAGGAGGCAAGGAAAGGAGGCAAGGAAAAGGAAAGGAAAGCAGGAAAGGATCTATTTGTGGTCTGGGGCTCCTTTTTTGAACAATTGGATATCGCTAGGGGTATCGCTAATTTCGCCTCTTGCATGTATGCAACTTTGTATAAAACAACTTCAGATGTGGACATTACGCGCAATTATAGGTATCGCTTTTGGGAGTGGGGGCCTATCGCTACACAGCATGTGGTAAACTTTCCAAACACTTCTTGATCCCTCCCTACACAAGTGGTCTGCCAGAGTTTACCGTACCTCATATCTATACATAATATATATGACTATATCCGATTGGCAGTATACCTACCCCTCTGAAAAATGATGGAGTTCGTCAGTTGGGATGATGACATTCCCAATAGATGGAAAGTCATAAAATTCATGTTCCAAATCACCAACCAAATAACATCTATGCTGAGTCGGGACCACTGGCACTTGGATGGACCTGCTGAAGCTGATCAAGTTTTCATTCCCGACAGGTCATTGACTTTAGACACAGACATGCACTGGAAAAACAAACAACCTCCATGAGTAAGTCTGAGAGAGTTCTATGACACGACCATTTATGCTAACAGTGCGGTGAAGTCGCAACAATTTCACCCACAGTGAAAGGCTATTTCCATATCTTTTCCATCCCCACATATCTTATTGGAAGAACTTGGGGCTGGTCAGCCACAGTCCCAGGAGTTCCGGACCAATTCAGGAACAGCGCGCAAGAGCTTTGCCATGCGCGACAAGCGTAGAATCCGAACCTCACGCAGCCAGCATTCTACGCCTTCAAACTGCCATAGGTTTGGCACCCCATCAGAACATTTCAACATATTTCAACATTTGTCAATGCTTGGAATGCATTTTGTTTCGATAGCATGGCAAAGCAACATGGCAAATTAACACTGCCCAAAAAAAAGTTAGCGAATCTATTTTTCTCCAGCATATACATTTTCCAACAAATAATGAGAACGCAGCGAACGCGAATGTCCTTGGCCAATTTCTTCTCCCCCTTTTTTGGGCCCCGGCTAAACGCAGGATCCGAAGAAAGTCGATATTCACCGCATTTGCCAGGTCCTGGAAGGGCGGGGACCCATGGACCAATGGACCCGACACAACCTTTTTGGGCCCCTCTGGTAATTTTAACATCTTTTAACATGCGACATTTGACGACCTAAACTGTCTTGTAAATGATGGTAAATGCTCTATAAATGGGCAATGGCTTCCATAGCAAACTGTGAAATGACCAAATGGTGAGCCACTCTCAGTCACTACCATGTGAATTAGTTGGTTCATTCCAGCTGGCGGCCCGCTGCCCCATCCCCTGCTACAGGTTATAACCTGTATGTCTCAGGTCTCAAAATTTGAATCCCATCCCAGTTCCCATCATTTTCCCTTTGTTAGATCCACATTAAAATCATTATATAAGACATGTCAAGTCATTGCGTATCCTGGAAACCCATCCCTTCCATGACTGGAGTTCATCACATCATGTGAGCAGTGTTCAAACCCCCTCTGTCATTCCATGAAATACTGGTCGCTTCATAGAGAAATCCCGTTCTTGGATTCTTATAATCCCCAATATATGAAGGATAGTATCATCCCCCAACTAATCATCAACCAGCAGGGCTGTCTTGCAGCCACTGCGACTGACTGTCAGCTCACTGTCTTCCTGCTCATTGAGACGCAGAAGGTTGAAAATCAACGGCACGATCCAAGTCTCAGCCACCATCAGGGTGACCTCGGTGGCGGGACCATGACAGTGACAAGCCATGAGGCTCAAAAACAAGATGGGACCATGAACTACCCTCTGGTAAACAAACATAGCTATTGAACATGGCCATAGAAATAGTGGATTTGCCCATGAAAAATGTGATTTTCCATAGTTACGTTAGTTTACCAGAGGGTATCATGAAATCCTGTGTTTTTTTTGTATACCAAATTGCTTCATCAACATGTCTGTCCTTTTTGGGGCGGCATGTCCATCTAAAATCACCAGGAATAGGGGGAATACAAGCCAGTCACTACAGTAATCCAAGTGGTGACTTGAGCCAATCTCAGGTTTTTTCAGCTACCTGAACACAAGCAACTGGAAGCCAAAGGAGACCATCTTCCTCTCAAAAGACAGGTTTGTTCCTACTCTCACTGGGTTGGGATAGGGGAATCATATCCATAGGATCCATGGTGCTGGTATATATGCTGACAAAAATGGGGTATATTGATGGTAAATGTTGCCATATATGCCATACATGGATCCTATGGAATATAGAAATTATGCCAGAAGACATTGGTTTGTAACACTACAATGAACTAATGTTGTGGATCTAATGTTGGGGCATATTGCCTCACCGACATAAGGCAATTTGACCAAAGGAAAAGGAGTGCCAGAACCCAACACTCTGATATATGGGGAACATCTAAAGGACCCACCAGGTTTCCTAATGCTTTTGCATTCGGCCACCCCATTCTGACTCTGAAGTTCACCCTAGTTTCAAACTACATGAATTCTATTCTCCAGATCCGGACAACTGTCCCGCCAAAGGCAGACCTTGCGTTGAAGCAATGTTGATATGCCATTCTCAGGTGTTCACCAGGACTTGGAATTCAAAGTCTGATGCATCCCCAAAAACTATATACCTCAGAATATTTAGCCGTATCTTGTGGGGGCACCCCCAACCCCCAGAAGTCTTTAGAAGTCAAGCAACTAAGAGCAAGTCGAAGTTGAACCAGTAGTCCTGCAAACAATGCCTCCAGGAAATAGTGGCCCCACAAATTCACAAACCCCCAGGGAGGGACCCCAGCGACCCCAACAATCTGGGCAGATCCGAACATAACACATAGCCTTGAAATGCATCGCACATTTGCTTGAGGAAACTGCTGAGGAACTGCTTGATAGATGTGATATGTAGATATACCTTGAATACATGGAGCATCTGCGAAAGTGATCTCCCATTTTCCCAGGAGTCAAACCCAGTTGAGACAAGCTGGACCCCTCCAGGAGAGCAGGGGAACTTGGAAACTTTCAGGGCCGTTGTTGGACCTGTATCTGGTCGGTGACGAGTCCCGACTTCCAGGGCATCTCGATACTCACAATAATTTGTTTGATTCACCTTGCGGTTCAGCCAAACTCGAAGGCTCTTATCAATAAAACCCAGAAATTGTGTATTTTACGCTGGTAGCAGAAAGAAAACATCCCATTTCTATCCATCTCTGGCAAGGAATGCCAGAACGGGGTGAACACTGCCACGCGCCTTTTATTGGCGAAGGCCAGGAAACGGATCAGCAATTCAACTCGGGAACAGAAAACCGTCCAGTCCAGGTCTGGGGCTGCGATTAGCGAATGTGGCCCCTCTCCGCTTGCAGCAACCGCACTGCAACATGTGGCAACATGTCCCATAGGATCCATGGTGCTGGTATATATGCTAACATTTGGGGTATATTGATGGTAAATGTCATCATATATAGCAGCACCATGGATCCTATGGGTGTGGCAACCAACTCTTGAAGATGCTCTCAAACATGTGTTGCTTTTGCTTCTGTTTACAGGGCTACCCAAATGGCCATGATTCGATCAAAATGGGGCCTTGATATTGTGCAACTTGCTGCCGCCCAAAATCTGTGCCGAGGATACGCCAGAGATTCTGGTTTAGTATCGAATCTGCAGATTGTTGGATCTCAAATAGTTATATAATATGAGATGTGGGTGCAAAACCAGATGGTCTCTATTGACTCTCAGGGTCTAGTCTAACATTCAAAAGCCACCCCTGGCTACCGAATCTCCAATCAACCATCCCACCGCAAAGCCCAGAAACGAAATCTGGTTGGTGGTTGACCTACCCCTCTGAAAAATATGAGTTCGTCAATGGGAAGGATGACAACCCATATATTATGGAAAATAAAACTTATGTTTGAAACCACCAAGCAGAAATCATAACTAAATCCATTGGACCTTTTCAGGGCAAGTTTAAAATAGTTTCAGACATGAAGGCCTCATCCATAACAGCAACAAGATCCATGGCTCCCGGCCGAAAAAGTAAGCGCAAAAAAAGTTTTCCGCAATCTGCCAGGGCAAAACTGGTCAGTTCGGGGGTTCAGTTAGGGGGATGCTGGTGACGCTTAAGATTGTTGTGCTGTGGAACCCTTCCAACGAAAAGAACGAAACAGTGTCTTGACATTTGGATTTTACATGATTCCTCAAAGTCCTCAATATAAATTGTTGTTTTTACTTACAATTCGCTGTCTTCCTCGCAGTGCCGCGTCTTGTGCAGAATATCTGCAAAAAACAGCAGCTTCCACTGACAGTCGGCGCCTGGAATTGAATATCGGCCGCCGTAATGATCGCGGCATTGTTCAAGTCGGTATCGATGGCAATCCAAATGGTGTTCAGGCAAACCACAAACTGAGGTCACGTGGCATTATGGCACTTGACTTGGGTTGGATCTGGTTGGATACCCTCTGGTAAACTAACATAACTATGGAAAATCACCATTTCTTATGGGTAAATTCCCTATAAATGGACATTTTCAATAGCTCTGTTTGTTTACCAGAGGGTAATGTGAAAAGCTGTAGGAAACCAGTTTGTTTTCCCATGAAATGCAGGGTTTCCCGCAGGTCATCCATGGTATTCCGCGCCCTTTAACAACCATACTGCTGGAGTTGAGACCACCTATGACTGCAACCCCTTGGCACCCTTGTTGGTCTAGGTTTAGGAATCCAGAAAACCGGGGTGGTTCACCTCTTCATAATTTGAGGTCCCAGAAAGGATCGGGGATTGGATGAATATGATTGAATATGGATGAATCTCACAATATTCAACTGCAATTATCGAATATACGCTCCGATGTGTCATCTTAAACATGGCTTGAAGGAAAATCCACCATTGACTTCGATGATTTTCCAGCTTCACAGCACTTGTTTGATGATCAAATTACCCATAAATTGGTACTCAAACCATCGTTTACACAAAAAATGGTATCAAATAACCCATGATTAACCAGTGAACGGAATGGGCTTTAATAAGAGGACAAGGTTTGAGAATGAAACCCGTGATTTGTGAATGCTCAATGTTTTTCGCCAATCTTGGCCGCTCCAGTTGTCCAAGGGGCCAAGGTGATGTACTCCAACCTTGGGTGGTCGACCATCCACTGGTGGGTGCTTTCTATCAAACGATGTGTAGCAGCCAGAGCAAGAATCAAATGACCCTTAACAATCCTTAGCATTGAAATAATTCCAAACGAGTTAAGCACATACCATATTTTTTTTTAAAAAAAACCTCCACAAACAACAACAGCGTTAACATTAGATTTGACAACCATAAGTCAACCAGCCCGTAAGTCAGCCATGAACATCCCGCAAACGGCTGCCAAGGAACAACCAGTGTTTGGCCAAGAACTGAGCACAGCCCTGGCGCGACCACGCGGCTACTGGAAAACCTTGGGGAACATGGTGGTTCATTGAGCAAAATATGATGTTTAACACGGTTTAAACATCCAACAATAGAGCTATGAACCAAGAATCAATGATTCACTCTTAGATGTCCTGCCAAAAATGGACCATAGGTGTGACCCTTGGCAAGGTCAAACAAAAACTGCACAAAATGCACTCGACTTCCAAGTCATGGTCCCGGTCCCCGGGATACCTTCTTGTGATAGTAGTCGAAAACGTTGTATTGCCTAAGTTTTTTCGCAATTTTTTGGACAGAGAGGATGGAATCTGTGAAACTTCAAAGGTATGTAGTCTGAAACTGAAACTGTGATGACAACACTGCCGTCAACAAATCCAAGTGAGCTCTCCAAACATAGTCATCAAACCACACTAGCCTACTAGATGCCTTTTCCTGTGCTGTACCTGCCTACTTTGGGTCCAACGTGTGTATTTGAATGCGGTTGTCCAGATCATTCATGAGAATTCAGACAGCAAACCTTGAGTTTGTCGGATGAAAAAGGGCCCCATGTAATTTTTGAATCCACACCATATCTTGGCGGAAGCAACAAATTATCATCCATCTGGGTAAATATCATAACATTTCACTAACCTGAATGGTTTGACCATTTGGGGATGATTTCCCTCAAATAAACCATGATTCCCAGGGTTCGGGAAGACAGTCTTCGGTCGTGATGAAATTTACCCAGATCCATAGAAATCACACCATTTTCCGCTGATCCAAGGTCACGAAAATATCCCCATGTTATGGAAACCCTGATCTGTGGGGGCCAAGAATTGCTTGGTGAATGTAGCCCTTAACATACCTAGATTGTAACCTGTTGAATGAAACGCGACTATATGATAAGATAAATCTTGGATACCATGCACATAGTAGCTGAAATTTAAATGCGCTCCTCATCAAGTTCCCTTCGCCAGTCGCTTCTGTCGAGTTTTGTTTGATAATGATATCGGCCCATCTCATGCATAGTCAAATCTCCACGTTTGGTGGCAAACTCCATGGGAAATCCCCCAAAATCATTGTTGCTCAGACAACCGAAGAATCTTGACAATGAGATCATTCTGAAAAGGTTGAATTTATACTCCATAAAATTCAGAATTGAAATGTCTGGGCAAACTAATCACAATTATTCACTGACCTGAAATCGGAGAGTTACCCCCAGTAATCATCATTCCAGGGCTTCGGTCGGAGGGTTCGGTCGTTGTACCCAAAAATGTCAAAATCTACCCGTGTGGCTTCTGGCAATTTGATCTGCGACGAGATGCGGTTTCACTAGATCTTGCCGAGCCTTTTGTTTCATTGCCTGTCGATTTGCAGTGAAGCAGTGCATGATGTACAAGGCTTGAATGTACAGGCCGCGCAGGCCCAAGCTGGTCCAAACATTCACTATTATTTTTTACCGTTCATATATCATTCCGATAATCATTATCATTCATACATCATTATATACTAAGACCATTAGATACATATACCATCATGCCATCATTGCTGAATCTCTCTCATTGAAAATTTGACATGAAAAATGTTTCACCCGAAGAAACAAAACAGAGCGGTAAAATCCTTGGTACAGTTTTGGCCATGGCTATTTATTAGTTATGACTGGTTATTTCTATGGGATTATACAGCTATGGCCCTTTACCAGTTAGAAGTACCTAACAACACCCCATTTATAGAATGTATAATCCCCCAAAAAATAGTTACAACTGATAGCCACGGCCATAACTGTATAAACCATTATATTAACCATATATTAGCCATGTATTAGCCCCATATTAACCATTATAAGCCATTATAAAACAATGTTAACCGTTTATAAACTATTATGTTAACCGTTTATTACCCACATACTAACCATCTATTAACCATGGTTGTTTGTATACGTATAGCATCTTATAACTGCCAGTGACATCGGGCCGTAACGGTCAGTAGATGACTTGCCAAAATCTTTCGGTGACCGACAGCCGGACCGACCTCGGCATCTTGGAAGGCACGATTATGTCCACCGTCCTCCGCAGGAGGTCCCCGTTATATGTGGTTTCACAGGATGTTTAGGCCTCAAAAAAAATATAATGTAATGTATGTATGTTAATGTTATGTTATGCAATGTAATGGTATGTAATGTTATGTTATGTTATAGTATGGCGTGGTATGTTAGGGTATGTTATGTTTTGCTATGTTATGTTATGCTATGCTATGTTATGTAATATATGTCTGTATGTATGTATGTATGTGTGTATGTATGGTAATGTTATGTTATGTTACGTAATGGTATATTATATAATGTTATGTTATGTCATTGCATGGCATGGCACGTTAGAGTATGTTATGTTTTGTTATGTTATGCTATGTTATGTTATATTATGGTATGTATGTATGTATGGTAATCTTGTGTTATGTTATGTAATGGTATTTAATGTTATGTTGTGTTATTGTATGGCATGGTATGTTAGGGTATGTTTTGTTATTGTATGACATGGTACAATAGGGTATGTTATGTTATGCTATGTTATGTTCGGTTATGAAATGTATGTATGTATGTACGTATGTATGTATATATGTATGTATGTATGTATGTATGGTAATTGTATGTAATGTAATGTTATGTAATGTAGTGGTATATAATGTTATGTTACGTTATTGTATGGCATGGTATATTCGAGATTATTAGGGTATGTTATGTTTTGCTATGTTATGCTATGTTGTGTTAAGTGATGGTGTGTATGTATGTATGTATGTATGTGTGGTAATGTTTTGTATTGCTATGTTATGCCATGTTTTGTACTGCAATGGCATGTAATGGTATGTTACGTTACTGTATGGCATGGTATGTTAGGGTATGTTATCTTTTGTTATGTTTTGCTATGTTTTTCTAAGTTATGCTCTGTTCTGTTGGGTTTTGGTATGTATGTATGTATGTATGGTAATGTAATGTTATGTTATGTTATTGTATGGCATGGTATATTAGAGATTATTAGGGTATGTCATGTTTTGCTATGTTATGCTATGTCATGTAATGTTATGGTATGTATGTATGTATGTATGGTAACGTTATGTTATTTAATGTACTGGTATGTAATGGTATGTAATGGTATGTAATGGTATGTAAAGGTATGTAATGGTATGTAATGTTATGAAATGTTATGTTATGTCATTGCATAGCATGGCATGATAGGGTATGTTATGTTTTGCTATGTTATGATATGTTATGTTTTGTTAAGTTATGGTATGTATGTATGTATGTATGTATGGTAATGTTATGTTAAGTTATGTTATGTAATGGTATTTAATGGTAAGTTACGTTATTGTATGGCATGGTATGTTACGGTATGTTCTGTTTTGCTATGTTATGTTATGTTCTGTTAAGTAATGATATGTATGTATGTATGTATGTATGTATGTATGTAATGTATGTACGTATGTATGTTTGTATGTATGTATGTATGTATGGTAATGTTATGTTATGCAATGTGCTGGTATGTAATGTTATGTTGTT